TCGCTCCTCCGACCTCTCTGCCTCTCACCCCAAACCCTCACTAATTACTTCACTATTCATTTCTTTCCTTTCGTTTTCTCTTATACGTTTGTGGCAATGATTTTGTATTCTAGAGTTCTCTCTAGAGTTTCGGGTAACTGATCAAGTGACGGCGCCTTGTAGTCTTAGCACCTAGGTAGTCAAATACCTAGGTTACAAGGTGTTGAACGAGAGAGGTTGCCTTAGGAACTCTGGAGGTGCTCTAGAATAGTTAGCTAACTGGGGACGGGATAACGGACTAGAGAGAGCTGTTTCCCCCGGCCTCGTTAGTTAACTGGGGGGGGGGTGGAATAATGGACAAGATAGAGCTATCTCCCCCACCCCCCGTTACAATGATGGCAGCGGTGTTGAACAATGTTGTAGGTAGTTGGTGTTCTTTTAACATTGTTCAGTCCCACGTGTCTTTTTGCCGCTCAGGCGCTATCAGGGAGATCTTGACAGGTATTTAATATTCGCGATTTAGCGAGTTTTTCAGGTTAGGAGATAGTGATTCTCTGCCGTTGTGGTTTAGTGAGTTTGTGAGTTTTGTGAAGTTCAGGGAATGTTCACCAGAACTTGCGTGTGTTGTGATTTATGTTAGTAATAAGATTTGGCGATTTGGGAACTTAGCGGTGTTGGTAGTGCAGGTCAGCTGAGTGTGACAGGTGACCTCGCATGTCCCACGGGGACACCCAGCCGCCGCTGGTCTCCAGGTCAGTGGGGAGTGGCAGGTGTAGTTTTTAAGTAGTGGTTCTGCTCAGATTATTGCGATCGACTGTTTTACTCCATTTGAACGCAATAACCCGAGGTGTACTGGTATTGTACAGCATGCTAGTGTGGACTAGTGTGTCAGTTGACTCACGTCTAGGGACGCCTGGCGTTTGAAGTCTGGTCACAGGGGTGACAACAGTTTGGAGTTGTTGACCGGCGGAGATGCTAGGGAAACACTCTGGGTCACGTAGGTGGCTGTAGGTTAAGGGTGGGAGTAACGGCGGTTTATGTACTTAAGATTAGGAACGGTACAGTTAAGTTTAGGCTAGTGTTTTGTCTATTAGTTTTGATTTTTTTTTTGTGACAAGTTAAAAGTAGTGATGACCTTATTCTCTCTTCTCTAACTTTCCTCTGTTACTGTCTTATGTTCCACCAAGTCAGTATCATTCAGTGTTAATTGGATTATTTAAAAAAAATTTAAGTGTAGTTGTTGCCAGGAGGAGAGCTTATAATTGGACTGTGTGAACCCTATACAAACTACAGGGTCACACAACAGCATGGAACACGGGTATTGTCGCCTTTATGTTCAATTCACAGGTGGGAGCCAGAGGAGAGGCGCGACGCATATACAGAAGAGGGAGACGGCTGCTGTGTACCACACTCAGGGGCGTTTATCACCACCACCACGACCAGCCCACTACCTGGAGGTCATGGCTCCACCACCATCAACACCCCAGGGGACCCCAAGATGCAGCCCTCTCGGTCGGTCAACATTGGTCTACCCAGTGGACCCCAGGACGGACGGACCCCAGTGGACCCCAAGACTAACGGACCCCCAGTGGACCCCAGGTCGTTCTGCAGACAACCCCAGACGACCCAGTAAAGATGGAAGAGGAGCAACAACGACTCCAGTCTGTCCCACCAACATCGGTCTACCCAGGACGGACCCCAATGTACCCCAGGTCGCTTGTCAAAGACCCATGGGAGGAGGAAGAGAAGAAAGAAGAGAGAAGAAGGAAGAGAGAAGAAAGAAGAAAGAAGAAAGAAGAAGAAGAACATAAGACAAGCTGAGTGAGACACGATGCCTCGTGTCCCTTGCTGGTGTCAGCATCATTGCAGGGAGCGTAATTGCAAGACAGGATCGTTTGCCTTAACTGGCCGCCCCTCCTGCAAGCATGTTGCTCTGTTGAGTGATTCATCCTGTGTCGTGCGGACTTGATGTGGCTGTCAGAAGTAGCTCTCTGAAGGAGGCGTGCTGGAGCAACAGGGAGGAAGAAGAGTAGGATGGGATTTCTACTGTTGGCAACTATATGAAGGTCTCGAAACTTGTAGTCCCTATAGCTGTGAAGAACCCCAATATACGTCTCTCATGGTGACTGACGTAGGGCCAATTACAGATCAGCTGGGACAACCGAATTCCACGGTCCTGTGCGCAGTTCAAGTAGTAACGGCTTTCGGGTTGACCAAGGGTTGTTGTGCGTTAACGACGGAGAAGCGACGGAGGCAGTTGTGTTGAAGAAATGTGGTACAGGATTATCTACAAGACCAAGCAGTGACGTCGCCCAGCCAGAGACAATGGACGTCTGTCTACATATTTCATTTTTTAGAGTAGGATGATGTATATTTGTTTAGCTAGGATGTATTCTTTTCGTTAATAAAGTTGTCGCACACAGCTAGCTTGCTTTAGCAGTGTTGCAAAAACTTTATTTTCGGGGAGAAGGGGAGATGTAACACTGTAAAAGTGTTTGGTTTAGGTTAATACATACATAGAGTACATGAGTCACAGACAAGGATCGGAGAGGCGCCAGTTGTCTGCCTGAGATCTCACACCTCAAAGCGTTAATGACCTCAAGTGACCTGAGGTCAGATCATGAGAATTTCACCTTGCTTCCGCTAAGCTCTTAATTGTAGTCTGGTAGCCTTCAAACAAGCCGACGTTTAAGGAGTGGCTTGGTAGTGCCGGAGGCTATCTACTTGTGGGCGGAGTTAGCTACTAGGTTCCCCAATATAAACTCGGAGAGCTATCCAGCAAAAAGCATTAACGAGACAGAACAGCACACGAGCCAGGAGAGCTGAGACGACGTCCCTAGCAGGGAGGCTGTCGGCCGGCAGGGGCGAGACAGTCTCTGTCAAGCTACAGACCACCCCCCCCCTCTATCCAGCTATAGGCAGAGACACTTGGTGAGTTGAGCAGTAAGGTGACTTGGTCGTGTTTACATATGTTGTGTGATGATCAGGGGCAGTCAAGTTGTAGGGTTCTCGAATTCTTGGATGATGACTCACTTTGCATATTAAACTGGAACATTTTAATTGAATTGCTAAATTATGATACTTCATGGGAAATATAATTATGAATTTATTATTTAAATTGTGTTTAACTTTGTTCCCTAGAGCTTTGAGTTGAGGTGAGAAAGCCTCTGTGGTTACTGGTTTCATGGTTTAGAATGAGTACCTGATAAAGATGGGACCATACTAATAATGATCTCTTGATGACATCTTTGGTGAATATTTTGATACAGACAAGTTCCATTCCTTGTCTTGTATGTAATGATCATGAATGGATGGTGGCAGCTTTTCGTCTCCTACTATCTACTTTCTACTTCTTCTAGCTACTCTTCTCCTACCTATCTACTCCTCTCCCTCCACCCCTCTCTAAACTCTCACTTTCAACTAATGACCCTCCTCGCTCCTCCGACCTCTCTGCCTCTCACCCCAAACCCTCACTAATTACTTCACTATTCATTTCTTTCCTTTCGTTTTCTCTTATACGTTTGTGGCAATGATTTTGTATTCTAGAGTTCTCTCTAGAGTTTCGGGTAACTGATCAAGTGACGGCGCCTTGTAGTCTTAGCACCTAGGTAGTCAAATACCTAGGTTACAAGGTGTTGAACGAGAGAGGTTGCCTTAGGAACTCTGGAGGTGCTCTAGAATAGTTAGCTAACTGGGGACGGGATAACGGACTAGAGAGAGCTGTTTCCCCCGGCCTCGTTAGTTAACTGGGGGGGGGGTGGAATAATGGACAAGATAGAGCTATCTCCCCCACCCCCCGTTACACAAAGGCACCTGGAAACAAACTCTGGGGGGAGCCCCACCTAATTCAAATTCATAAAGGGAGATACGATAACCCCTTACCCTGCTGAGCAGACGCAGACCCTGCTCAGAAGGCACAAGGGCCCAAGCAGGGTCAAAAGGAGCCCCAAGAGCTTCACTGGGACTATCCTCGAGCCCCAGGAACCGTTGATTCTGCAATGGCAGAGCCCTCATCCACACCCACCTCCTGAGAAAAAAAGGCGGAGTCCAGGGGAAAGGCCTCGAACAAGGAAGTTGGCTGGGAAGATGCGGAACCCTCAGTGGGAAAGAGAGGTTCAATTACCTCCACACTCGCATCTGAAGGGGCAACCCCCAGAGCCACCCAAGCCTCATCCCAAGCTAAACCCATCCTCAATTCTGAAACCCTCAGATACTTCAGAGCCGGATGCAGGGGGGGGGGGAGAAGAAGAGAGAGCCAGACCAACTGGGGAAGGAAAAAATGCTGCGGATGGAACCAAGGTCAAAATGACCAACACCTCCAAGTCCCTAAAACTCAAACGGGGCAGCTCCAGGGCAATCGGCCAGGCACGCATCCTAGAGCAATGCAGGACCAAAAATCGGTGATACAAAGCACGTGCTGCTTGAAACTTCTAGACGTCCACAGAAGAATGGGTGACCGTGAGCACATGGGGGGTAACAAGTCCCACATGACATGTTGGGTTGCAGGTGTCACTGACCTAACAAGCAGCATGGTGAAGGCAGAAAGGATGACCGTCACCCTTAAGTAGGGAAGTCTTGAACATTTTCAAGACTTCAGTTTCTCACTGGAGGTCCCAGGCGTCCATCTCGTACCCAACCCACCGCGTGCTCGTTTTGAATCTTATGACATCTTAAAATTGCATTTTCTTGGCTTGCACAATGCCTACCTCAAGTAATGTCGGGTGGCGCAGTGCAGTAGTTAACAGGTGCGCACCCCAGGGGCTAGAGAATAGATACATAAACAAAAGTGTGTGTTTAAAAGTGTATGTACAATAGTGATGAAATAGGAATGTTTATGTATAGCAATTGGATGACTGATTTTAGTGTCATTGGCTCGTTTGCTGTTGAAGTAGGAATGATGCGTTTTAATGTCATCAGTATGCAAAACTGTTAAGTGTACACTATTGTATTTTTAATTCTCCTGAACTTGCTCCTTCTGATTGTTTCTCATTTCAATAAATATAAATCATATTCTTTTACAGGAGATATACTGGCACACGAATTCAAACAATATCCAATGGATCTGGATTTATTGTGTCAGAAGATGGGCTTATTCTTACGAATGCACATGTTGTCTCCAACAGGCCAAGATCGAGCATTGTTGTGGTAAGGTTGTCAAGATACTACTTAATTCTAGATTTTTCTTTTAAATGAGGCTATAACTTTTTAAAATAAAAATACAGTACTGCATGAGTTTTGAACAAAAGGTTAGAAAAAGAAAATAATTGTGAAACAATACCAAGCTGAATTTTGTTTCTGGGGGGTAGCCCTTTGTAGTACCCTGGAGCTATAATTTGTGATGTGTGTATTGCCTAACAGTAAGGACAGCATCAGTTGTGGAGTTTTCAGGCTTACCGGGGACCACGAATCAGAACCTTGTCCCCTCCCAGAGATGCAGGGAGCAGACATCCATTTTGCATATGCCACCATCAGGGAAGGCACCCAGAAAGTGGGTGAGACAAAGCAGATTGCAGCTAGCTACAAGCTATACCAGCAGACTCGAAAATGGCCATAGAACTCCCACAAAGTAGATAAAAAAATAACCAAAAACATATTTTGTTCCAGCTCACGCTCATTTACCCCACCCAAATTTTCATTAAACTTCATATTATGTTACCCATTGAAAGACCCTATTTATATCAGACTGGAGGTTTGTCGTGTCCTCTATATTGTCTACTTGCATGAAAATCGTAGTGTCATTTGCAAGTGATGATAAAGTACTGTAGTTTGTATCCTTGTCTATGTCTGATGTGAGAATGAGATAAAGTACCAGAGCAAGTACTGCCTAACAGGTCCCTCTTCCTTGGCCAAGGTTTTCACAGTAGATCTGTGCTTTTCACTGAGCCCACTTTTCACAGTAGATGATCTAGATTTTACTGTATTGACTATTACACTTGTGTAATTACCTAAGTGATTACCTAAGTGTAGTTACAGGATGAGAGCTACGCTCGTGGTGTCCCATCTACCCAGCACTCTTTGTCATATAACGCTTTGAAATTACTGACGGTTTTGGCCTCCACCACCTTCTCACCTAACTTGTTCCAACCGTCTACCACTCTGTTTACAAAAGTGAATTTTCTTGTGAACAAAGAACCGGCAGCTTTGTTTCGTTAGTTTAAATCTATGACGTCTTGTTCTTGAAGTTCTGGGTCTCAAGAATTCTTCTCTATCAATTTTATCAATTCCTGTTACTATTTTGAACGTAGTGATCATATCGCCTCTTTTTCTTCTATCTTCTAGTTTTTGCATATTTAATGCCTCTAACCTCTCTTCGTAGCTCTTGTCCTTCAGTTCTGGGAGTCACTTAGTGGCATGTCTTGCACCTTTTCCAGTTTGTTGATGTGCTTTTTAAGATATGGGCACCATACAACCGCTGCATATTCCAGCTTTGGTCTAACAAAAGTCGTGAACAATTTCTTTAGTATTTCTCCATCCATGTATTTAAAAGCAATTCTGAAGTTAGAAAGTGTAGCATAGGCTCCTCGCACAATGTTCTTAATGTGGTCCTCAGGTGACAGTTTTCTATCTAGAACCACCCCTAGATTCCTTTCTTTGTCTACTCACCTAGTTGTGCTTGCAGGGATTGAGCTTTGGCTCTTTGGTCTCACTATCAATCAACTGGTGTACAGATTCTGGACCCTATTGGGCTATTGGGTTGTTGATGCTTGGTGGGTCAGGCCAGGGGTGCATCATGTGTTGTTCGGTTGCGGCTTTGTGCTGTTATCTGCACGTTATGGCCTCTGTCGCCGTGGATGCGCTTTGGGTTGCCCGGGTTCCCCTCCTTCCTGTTCCAGGGTTCGGGTCTCTAGGGTCGTCCACAGGGTCATTCGGTTTTACCAATTGGTCTTGATTTTGAATTTTGGGTGCGTGGCATTCGCCTCCTGGATCCTTCCCTCTTTTCCCTTATCTTAGGTGAAGTAGCTCTGGGGAGCCAACGAGGCTTTCCCCAGAAAACCAGCGTTGAATGTAATGAAACGCCATTTTCTGGGTGAGACCCGGAGGCTCCCCGGTACCCTTCCTCCCTCCAGTTGGCGGTGTTTTTCAGTACAGTATTTTGACATCCAGCCTAAGAACTGAAGGGTGGATCGCCGGTGCAAGGGTCTGGAGCTCCCCCCTTCCCCCCTCCCAGGAAGGGGAGGGGGTTGCGCAGATAGCGGCGCTTCAACGTGATGACGTCATGCTCGTGTGCTAATTTTTGTTTGGGGAGTTCTGACCACTCGTTCGGCTTTCGGTAGCAACATTTTCACCAGAATAGGGGTTTGTTTTGGGGTGCCTATCTTTCTAGGTGCTAGACCCGGGCGATGGCAGACATAGAATGCTCCCAACCACATCGAGGGTTTCTATAGGCCATTGCTCCTAGTGCCTCTCTGAGGGGGCCAGGTTCTAGCTCGGTCCCTGGTATGCAAAAACTCCATACACATTGACTGATTCCAGAGACAGTGGAACCTCGAGTGAGGAGCGCCCCAATTTACGAGCATTTTGAATAATGAGCGCGCCGATTGGTGAGAATTTTTCTCGATTGGCGAGCGTTCGTTTGATTAACGAGAAAACCACATGATGCATTCTCACTGGTTCTCGCAAATTCTCGGACACCTCCGACGATGCAAATGACTGTTTTTTGTTTTGTTTTAAAGATGCTAATGATGCTGGGATGTAAAGGGGTGACTGCTGTAATGTTGCAAAGCATTGATTTTTGTTTTTTAGACAAAATTAGAAAAGAAAATAGAAAATATTTGAAAAATGAACAAGTCAAAAATGTTCTTTCAGTGAATGTCAGGTACGCTGCTACACTTTCTAAAAAAATGAAAAATAAAAAAAATGAAAAATAAACAAAATGAAACAATTTGAAAAAAATGACAAAGGTTCATTCAGTAATTGTCAGGTAGGCTGCTCCATTATTAATAAAAAATATGACAAATACAAAACAAATTGAACAAAGTTGAAAACAGGAAAAATGTCATAATGGAGTATCCTACCTGACTAATACTGAACGAACCTTTATGACATTTCTCCTTTTTTCAAATTTGTTCAATTTTTTTTTTTAATTTTTCTTTTTTATACAAAATTGGAGCAGTCTACCTGACATACACTGAACAAACCTTTTTCTATAAAAAATGAAAAATAAAAAAAAAATTGTACAAATCTGAAAAATAGGCAAAATGTCATAAAGGTTTGTTCAGTGTATGTCAAGTAGGCTGCTCCATTATTTAAAAAATTGAATATCATATTGATTTTTTCAGCGGTAGAACGGATTAATTTTATTTTCATTATTTTAAATGGGGAAATTCGTTTTGAAAGACGAGCATTTCACATGACGAGCTAGATGCCGGAATGGATTAAATTCGTTAATCAGGGTTCCACTGTATATACATATCAACCTGGATAGCTCTGGGGAGCCTCCGGATCTCACCCAGAAAATGGCATTTCATTACATCCAACACTTTTTTTTATCATTCCATGTCACATCTAAATGTAATTACTGTATTTTTATAGGTACGGCTGCAGAATGGCTCTGAATATGAGGGCGTTGTGGAAAATATTGATGCTCTCTCAGATTTAGCTTTGATTAGAATCAAGTGTGTAAGTATTGCTCATGGATTTTTTAGTTAATGATGGTACAATATATGCATTTGTTGCAAGATGCATTAGTTTGGTGGATACAAAATTCACTGTGAAGCATAAGAACTTGGTGAGATCCTGGATTTCCACACGAGGGTGCACTGAGACACTTTTTCTTTCTTAAGCTGTATTTTTGTTCTATTCCTATTTTGTATATGTATCAAAGTTGTAGCATTAAGATAAAGATTTATAAAATTTACTGGGCTGTCATCTGAAATAAGTAAATAATATTTTCTGGGAGGGTTCCTATGATGGCTTCTTGGTGCTTACTGTTTGGCAAGCTCCACTCAATTCAATCCACATGAGACCCTTGTGAGATATAAATGCACCTACCATGGACCAGAGGCCAAAACCTGGTTCTTTCTAAAGAGGTGGTAGGAGCCAGGAATTGTAGATCACACTGAAAGGAGGGCAAATCAAAACAGACTACAGCAATGCTAACAGATCATAGAAAGCAGGATGGCGAAGCCTCAAGATTCAAGAACCACTCTGTGGTGAAGCAGTTCTCACTTTAGTTACGCCTGCACACCACCAGGGAGTTGTGCACTTTCCTCCTTCAACCACCAACCTTAACAACTGCAACCAAAAACAGGTATGACGGATCGTGTCCCCTTAAAACTGTAACGAAAAACAGGCGCACCACGGCTTCTGTGTCCGGGGACGCACTTTGGGTTTTGATCCGGTTTCCCTTCTTCTCTGTTCGCGGGTTCGGGTCTCTTGGGTTGTCTGCAAGGTAATTAAATCCAGCCAGCCTGCGGTTTATTCCCGTGCCCATGATGTTCGTAAGTTTGCTGCTCTTGCTGCCGTCTTTGGCAATATGTCTTGGGCTGACTTTCTGGCACGGGGTTTTTGGAGGTCGAACAGGGTCCTGGCTGCACGGTACCTCGTGAACGTTACGGGGCCCAGTCGGGCCTGTGTTGCTTTGGGTCGGCGGTTGCAGCCCGTTGTCTCGACTTCGAGTTGAGGAGTGGAGCACCGACCACCTCCCGGGTAAGTCCCCTTTTTTCTTTTGTTGTCTTTGGTGAAGTAGCTCCGGGAAGCCATTGGGGCTCTCCTCAGAAAACCAGGGTTAAATGTAATGAAACGCCATTTTCTGGGTGAGTCCCAGAGGCTCCCCGGCAACCCTCCCTCCCTCCGGTCGGCGTTTTTTCGCGGTTTTTGATATCCAGCCTCAGAACTGGGCCATGGATCGCCGGCAAAAGGATCTGGGGTTCCCCCTTCCCCCTCCTGGGGGAGGGGGAAGCTGCGCAGACATGCAGCGCGGCTCGTGTGACGTCATGCTTGTTTGCTTGTTTTTCTTTTGGGGAGTTCTGTCCACTCGTTTGCTGATTTTCGTTGTTAACCAGAATAGGGGTTTGTTTTGTGGCGCTTACCTTTCTGGTTGCCTGTTTCAGTCAATGGCAGATATATAATGCTCCAAATTACATGTGCATATCTATGGGCCATTGCTCCCCGTGCCTATGTGAGGGGGACCAGGTTCTGGCTCATGGTCCCCGGTAGGCCTAGAACTCCACCCACATCGACTGATGCAAAATAGTTAGGGTATCCATATCAGCCATGGATATGGCTGATATGGATACCTTTGTGCCCTTGCTGTTTGTCAGTATGCTGCCATGACTACCGTGTTTGGGGGTCTTGTCTTGCACTGCCATTTAGGCACGGGGCTTGGAGGTTGAAGTGGGTCCTGGCCGCCTGTTCTGTGGTGCACGTTCCTGGTCACAGTTGTTCGTGTGTGGCATTTGGTAACAGGTTGCAGCCTGTTGTCTCGTCTTCGAGTTGATGCATGTAGTGCAGCCGTCTCTCGGGTATGTCCCTCGTTTACTTATTTTTGGTTATGTAGCTCTGGGGAGTCAAAGGAGCTCCTCACACAGAACCAGCGTTGCATGTAATGAAACGCCATTTTCTGGGTGAGTTCCAGAGGCTCCCTGGCACCCTTCCTCCTTCTGTTGGTGTTTTTGTTTTCTTTTGATGCTTAGACTCCTAAGTGGGGGGTTGGAGCAGCCGGCACAGGGAACTGCGCGGACGAGCGGCGCGGCAGCGGTGTGGCGGTGTGTGACGTTTGCTTGTTTCCGTGGATGATTGGGGAGTTCTACCTCCCTGTTCGGTCTTTGGTTGCAATTTTCTTACTAAGTGGGGTTTGTTTTGTAATGCCTATCTTTCTGGGTGCATGACCCCGATCGATGGCAAACAAGGAATATCCGCAACTACATGGGCTTTTCCAGAGGCCATTGCTCCCTTGCCTCTCTGAGGGGGGCCAGGTTCTAGCTGAGGGTCCCCTGGTAGGCGGTACTCCTTTGAATAATGCCCCAGACTAATAAATCACATATTAGCCTGATAGCTCCAGAGAGCCTCTGCGGCACATCCAGAAAATGGCGTTTCATTACATTCAACACTGTTTTTTTTAGTTTGAGTGAGTTTACGATTCCCTGCTCCTTGTGCCTTTTTTTGAAGGTGGGGGAGTAGGTTTTGATCTTTGGTTTCCTTTAGGCTTATATGTCTTGCAAGGACCTTGTGGTTATTGAATTGGGTGGAGCTTGCCAGGCAGCAAGCATTAAGAAGCCATCAAAGACCCATCAGAAAGAGGTACTGTATTTCATTATATTAAACACATATTTAACTTTGAAGTGTTTTAATATATGGTTTGTATTTTTCTTTTAGAACAATCTCACTCCAATAACAATGGGAACATCAAGTAATGTGAGACCAGGGGAATTTGTTGCAGCTTTAGGATCTCCATTGTCTCTGTCCAACACTATTACTGCCGGAGTGGTTTCTTCTGTTGGTCGTGGCAGTAAAGAGCTTGGTTTGAGAGGAAAAGATATACAGTATATACAAACAGATGCTGCTATTACGGTGAGTAATGTTAGACATTACAGTTCTACAATTTTCTTTTATTGTTAAATATTGTTTATTTTTATTGTTATTGTTTTATTGTTAAAAGAATATAATATGGTGCACATGAACTTATCCACAAGGGCTGTGATGAGAGTTTGAACCTAAGTTTGAACCTTCGTTTGTTTGTAATCCCGATTATGTTTGTAATCGTGCACGGTCCTTGTGGATTTGTTCATTTGATGTCTAACGCTATTGTGATTTCTGTGTGTATATATGGTGCACATATTATACTCCACGAGCCACCAGAATGAGACGGGACATCACAAGCATGGCTCTCATCCTGTAACTACAATTATGTAATTACACATACATTTTGTATGTTGTCTCTGAGTTAGTGGAGAGAGTTCTGATCTTTGCATCTTAATAGTTCCTATTAATGAAAGCTCTGATAAATACAGCTTCAAAATACTAGTATTGGTTCACTCCTAAAGTCTCCTTTTAGTTGTTTATGCATATATATATATCTTGCTTTTTGCATTCTAAAGTTTTATTTTCCTTTTCACATAGTTTGGTAACTCAGGTGGCCCACTTATCAACATGGATGGTGAAGTCATTGGCATTAACTCCATGACAGTCACAGCTGGTATTTCTTTTGCCATCCCCATTGATTATGCTAAAGACTTCATTATCAAGTCTGAAAAGAAAAAATCTGAGTTTGGTAAGTGTGGTTATCTTATTATTTATAGTTACTGTTTAGTTAACCCTCATCATGTGGTCATTGTCATTTGTTGATCACCCTAACCACTGTAGTTATCATCATTTGACAATTGATAATTATTGCCCAATTTGTTTATCAGTGATGTTGATCAAACCACACACTAGAAATTGAAGAGATGACGACGTTTCGGTCCGTCTTGGACCATTATCAAGTCGATTGTGAAGAGACGAGAAAGGCACGGGCATAAGTAAGACAAGAAAGAGGTGAGGAGGAGGAGGAAATCTTGGAAGAAGGTAAAAGCAAGGTGAAAGATAGGGGTAATAAGGTGTATGAAGGTGATACTACAGGGTATGAAGGGGGGGTAATAAAAAGAAGTAAATGGAAACGAAAGAGAAAGTAAAAAATTATTTCCCTCTTTATTGTCTTTATTACCCCTTCATTCTCTTTATTATCCCTATCTTTTGCCTTACTTTTTCCTTCCTCCAAGATTTCTTCCTCCTCACCTCTTTCTTGCTTCTTGTGTCTTTCCTTACTTCTTGCATCTTCCCGTGTATGTGATGCCTTATTTGTCTCATCACAATCGACTTGATAATGTTCCAGGACAGACCGAAACGTCGTCGTCTCTTCAATTTCTAGTGTGTGGTTTGGTCAACATTCTTGAGCCGCATTATTGTGACTCTTCATCTGCATATCAGTGATGTTAATATGGTAATAATAACTATTATGTGAATTTATTGGAGTTAACCAAGAACTCTGAACAAATTGTGCTATTGTTTTGTAATATCTTGCTCTGTGGTATGGGTACTGTGTGTTAGTGACCTAAGATTCATGTCATACATATCTAGATTTAGTTTTTCCTACCAGTGTATTAATCCATGACGGGTCAACATTCCAAAACATAATTGCATCAAAGGAGTGAGTTGCAAGACATTTCCTGTGAGCTGTGCCAGGAAGAATGCTAAATGTGCAATTGGTGTACAAGGAGTTCCCAAACTACAAATTGATTATGTTCTGAAGAGGTGTTCAAAACGCATTTACTTGGAACGATATTTCCCATAGGCACAATGTTGTAAATGGAAATGCATTGCCAGTCCAACAAAAAACATTACAAAACCTCGATGACTAGCTGGTCTGGGCTCCCAGCTGGTCCACCTGTCTGTTCTCCAGGAATTTGGTTTTCCCCAGCTCGCCAGGTTCGGGTTCTTGGTGAACTGGGGAAAGTCCCATCTGGTCCCCTCCCAGGTTTGGACTTGGCTGGATCTTGTTTGGGACTCTTGAACCGCTTCCTTGTCTCTCCCTCCGGAATCTTTGATTCGCCTGCGATCCCGCCTTTGTCGTTTTCTGGATGGCTCCCGGGTCTCCCGGAGGTTGCTCGAGGGTCCGTGCGGGAGCCTGAATTTTGCGATGTTGGTCTACCCACCGGGTCGGGTTTGGCTGCGTCGCCTGTTTTGGTTCCTTTGGGGGATGTCCCTTCCGCCTCTTGTGATCGCTGGGTTCGACCTCCGGGGGCTTTGCGTCGATTGCTGCATCGCCGGCTTCCTATTTGGGGTTTTCAGGGTTCAGTGCCTTGGCACCTTCCCGAGCCCTCGCTCGATGTGTTCACGGACGCATCGTCTCTCAGCTGGGGCTTTGTGACCAGTGCTCACTAGGCTGGCCTGGGGCAGTGGGGTCCGTCCTTCCGTCGAGCCCATTGCACGGTGCGGGAGTTCGCAGTGGTGTGGTTTTCCCTTCGGAGGGTTTGGGTCGCCCGCAGATTGACGATCTGGCTCCATTCAGACTGCTCACTGGTGGTTCATTGTCTGAACCAAGGGTGTTCGATGCGGTCCTTGGCGCTGGTCACTTCACGTGACTTGTCTGCTGAGTTGTTGGGGGTTTGGCTCTCTTGGCAGTTCATGTTTGGGGGATGCCAAACATCTTGGCGGACGGCCTGTCTCGGTTCGTTCCCCTGTCGATGGAATAGACGTTCGATGCCGACTCGTTCAGTTGGCTCTGCCAGATGTTCGGGTGCTCGGAGGTGGACCTCATCACGTTGGCATGATTGCGGCGCCTTCCAATATATGTGGCGCCCTTCCCTGACTGCAAGGCCGTCGATGCCTTTCGGCAGGACTGGTCGAGGTTGGGGCTCCTGTACCTCTTTTCCCCGGTTCAGCTGTTGCTCCAGGTCCTGACTCGCTTGGAGACTTACCAGGGAAGAGTAATCCTCTTGGCCCCATGGTGGCCGGCCCAGCCTTAGTTTCAGGCGCTGCTTGCCCGGTGTTCGAACCCAGAGGTTTCCCACGGCTCTGCCTCTTTCAGCAGATCGAACCTGTGCATCATGTAGCTGGTTCGATCTTCTCGAGTCTTTGCGTATGGTATTTTTTTACTCGGGTCTATCATCTCTATGGTGATCAGGTGGTTTCGTTGATGGTGTCCTACCTGCGGGCTTCATCTCGGCGGCAGTATGAAGTCTCGTGGCAGTTCTTCCATTTCTTTCTTTTGCTTCGTTGATTGTACTTTGCTGTCGGTTAAGGTTGTCTTATCCTTTCTTTCTTGGTTTTTCCAGGAGCATCGTCTTATGCCGAATACTGTCTCCTATCTTGTGGTGCTGGCGGCGCCGCTGCAGCTTGCTTTCAGTATTGATGTTACTTCTGCACCATTTCATAAGGTGTCTCGTGCGTTGTTTCACCTCCGGCCTGCTCATGCGCTGCTTGTGCCGTCCTAATCGCTTGACAGGGTACTCAGTTATCTCTCTTCTCCTCGGTTTGTAGTGGCCCCTTCGGTTCAGGACTGTTTCTCTAAGGCTCGTTTCTTGTTGGCATTGGCCTCTATGGGTCGGGTCGGGAAGCTTCATGCTCTCCTCCGGTGTAGGGGGTTTCTGCTCATTTGGTCCTGGTGGTAGGTTTGTTCGTTTGCAGCCGTCTCCTTCTTTTCTGGTGAAGAATGGGACTGCTGCTTTCCAGAGGGGTCCTTGGGTTGTTTATGCTTGGTTCATTAGGCCAGGGGTGCATCATGTGTTGTGTCCAGTTGCAGCTCTCCGCCGTTATTTGCGCACCACGGGCTCTGTGGCCAGGGATGTGCTTTGGGTTGATCCGGTTTCCCTTCTTCCCTGTTCCAGGGTTTGGATCTCCCAGGTCGTCCGCGGGGTTTTTCGGTTTAGCCAGCCTGCTGTCTATCCCCGTGCCCATGACTTTCATAAGTTTGCTGCCCTTGCTGCTGTTTTTGGGAACATGTCTTGGTTTCCAAAACCAAGAAACTTGGTTCCCAAATCAACATTCCTGGGCCTCGTCGGGCCTGTGTTGCTTTGGGTCGGCGGTTGTAGCCAGTTGTCTCAACTTCGCGTTGAGGAGTGAGCAGTGACCGCCTCCTGGGTAAGTCCCTCTGGTTTTCGTCTTTTGGTAGGTAGCTCCGGGGAGGCGATAGGGCTTTCCCCAGAAAACCAGCGTTGAATGTAATATAACGCCATTTTCTGGGTGAGACCCGGAGGCCCCCCCAGCAATCCTCCCTCCCTCCGGTCGGCGTTTTTTCGCGTTTTTGATATCCAGTCTCAAATCTGGGCTGTGGGTTGTTGGTGCGGGAGTCTGGGGCTTCCCCCTGCCCCCTCCTCCCCCTCCCGGGGAGGGGGAAGCTGCGCAAACAGCTGCATGGCGACATGTAACGTCATGCTCGTTTGCTCGTCTGTTTGGGGAGTTCTGTCCACTAGTTTGGCTTTTTGTAGCAATTTTCACCAGAATAGGGTTTGTTTTAGGGCGCCTGTCTTTCTGGGTGCGTGACCCGGTCAATGGCAGACATAGAATAATTCCAACCACACGGGGGTTTCTATAGGCCATTGCTCCTCGCACCTTTCTGAGGGGGGCCAAGTTTTGGCTCGTGGTCCTCGGTAGGCCCAAAGAACTCCATACACATGACTGATGCCTATATCTGACATTAGCAATATCAGCCTGGATAGCTCCGGGGAGTCTCTGGGACTCGCCTACAAAATGGTGTTTCATTACATTCAATGCTGGTTTTTTGCTCGTTGCAATACTTGAAGAATGTTGCTGAATTAATTACAATTACTTTACTGTGATGCATTTGGTTACAACTCTAAGGATTTCAGCTTGTCACAAGACCAGAGCCAAGCCAAGCCTAGAGTATGCATGGGAACTGTTGACCATTAGCAACTATTTAAATAAGGCATTTATATTTTGCATGCTGATGAGCAGTGGTTCTGTATGCGACCCTTCTTCAAAACAAAGGGCCTAAATTAATTACATGATTTAGTAATTTTTCTTGTTTATAAAATTAACATCTGCTAGGAGTGAGTACATTTAAAATTTTCTTGAAAAATACCTTTCCCAGTTTGAACGTTCAAAGTATTCATCTCGAAATGATTCACACTTCGGACATTATACAGAGGTTAAAGAAATTTGATCCCTTTCATTTCAAACCTTTTGATATAAAAATATGGAAATAATTTTATTAGATATGCTATACCAATTTTAATTTACTTTATTTTGTTGGCAAATAAACAGAATCAAGCTATCCAGATCGGCGTCGGTACCTTGGTGTGACAATGTTAACCCTTACACAGTCAATCTTGTTGGAGCTTCAAGCCCGAGGCAGTGCTCCCCAGAATGTTCCTCCTGATGTCACCCATGGAATATTTATCTGGAGAATTGTTGTTGGCTCTCCAGCTTACCAGTAAGTACAGTATATAAATATTTTGAATTATAAAGCCTATTATCCCTGCAGAGAAAAAACTAATGTACCGTATTGCTTAAAATAATTTTTCCTTATGGCTATTGCCAGTACTGTACAGGTATTCTGTTGGAAGTTGTTGACCTCTTTTGGGGTATTTACCTATCTGTTTGTTTTTATTACTTGGCATTGTGTAGACGTAACAAAAAATGAGAAATAATACTGTATGTGCAAGAGGATAATGGAAATAACTGTTGCAGAGCGGGCTTGCAGCCAGGAGACATCATAACCAACATCAATAACCATGAAATTCATTCTTCTCGTGACGTATACAAGTTCCTAGAGGGTAAAGGAGACCTCACCATGGTAGTGATCCGCAACGGTCAACGTTACAGTGTCACTGTTGTCCCAGAGGAATAGTGCCAATAAATACAACATTTCAAGTCCAGGTGCTTACTGGTTCACATCTGAAATGCAAGAATCTATGTTTTTTATTGCAGGTTGCCATTGATCATCATGTAATAAGCAGAATATTAACTTTAATACTGCAGTGATAAATTATTTTGGGTATGGTTGGAGGAGACTAAATGTCTGCAGTATCAGAAGATGCACACAACAGAGCGCTGGGAAGAGTTAGTATAATAACTGAAGAGAATATGAATATGGCTTAGGATGTACAGTTTATAAAAAAGTTAATATGAATATAAATTGAAGTTAAAAGTATAGAGTAAAATTTACTCAAGATATTATTTAATGTATTTTGTAATGTAATTTTAAAGGAAAATGATGTGGAATATAAACATTTAAAGAGAATAGAATATGGTAAGGTAAATGGTGATTGATAAAGCAAGTTATGGCTTGTTAGTGGCAGTGTTTTATTGCCATACAATATCACACCAGAATTAAACAATAAATCACAAAGTTTAATAAACAAGTTCTTTCATATTTTGTACAGGAATCCTGATTATATATTATCCTCTAATGATCCATTAAGTTTGTATAATCCTTGTTTCTGCACTTGAAATTATCAGATTGCTGTTCATTCTTTGTACAGTATTGCAACCCAGCTTATTCTTATTAGAATTATGCAAAACCATGAGCACTGTATTCCCATACAGTGATAATTTTCTTAAGCTTGCATAGTCATAAAAGTAAAAGGATTATTCAGAACTGGTGTACTGCTGAAGTATTGACTGCATGCATTATTCAGAACTGGTGTACTGCTGAAGTATTGACTGCATGCATTATTCAGAACTGGTGTACTGCTGAAGTATTGACTGCATGCATTATTCAGAACTGGTGTACTGCTGAAGTATTGACTGCATGCATGCACATGAAGCTAAGTTAGTTGAAGGCCATCACTCCAGAATATATTCCCAGAAAATTGTTTCCCCAGCACGAGTCATGAGCCGAGTCTCTTAGTAACATTCTCAAATTAGTTTCTCTCAACCAGTCATTTGTCAATATTTTCTCTGGTCTGCCTTTTCACAGCCAGCATTAATTTTGTAGTATAACATGATCTCAAAATTAATACAGTATTGGGGCATTTTGTAAATGCTACTAACTCTTCCTTAGTCTATCAATATAAGAGTATTGAACCCACATTTTCTTGAAACAAATGTGGTAATTGTTAATTACAATTACTGTTGACCTATTTCTCTTAATATACAGTATTAATACTTTAGAAGATGAGCAAGGGTTAAATATTTTACTTGTGATATTAATCAAATTACAAATGTTAAACAACACCTGTTGCAGCAAGTGTTGCAGAAATTGATCATTTCACTTGATGTACTAACCATCAAATTGTAAAATGTATAATTATCATGTTGTGAACTTCAAAATGTGTCTTATAATATATATATATATATAAGTCACGTACCAATAAGTTCTCAATGAGGAAGATGTACTGTACTATATTGAATGTCAGGGATAAATCTGTATAATAATAATATTGCTCAAAGAAATGCATTAAGTTTCAGTTATCTTTGCAAACTTTGATAACATTCATAAGTACAATAATGGGAACTCTTCCCATTTATATTCATGGCTAGTAAAACACTCAAGTTAACATAGCGAACTGTAAAGGTAAAACAAGAATTAGAACTGACAAGTCTGGAAACCCAAAAGTTGGCTGGATGTTAACAAATTCATCAAGGAATATGAAAATATGGATAAAAAAATATTTTTACTCTGGCTACAGATAGAACCAGAGAATATTAATTAATGTTGGCAATCATACTTATGGGATGCGTTGTGTGGGAAAAGCAGTTATCCTCAGTAAGAGTTATAACTTAAATGCACTACAAGAAGTGATGGGAGTATATTAGGAGTATATACTGTACAGTACAGGTATACATAGGAACAAAGTGAGAATTGTTAATGATTCTCAACCATCACTAACTGCAATTGGAATATGTACACATATCATGTCTGTATGTATACAGTACTGTACATGTACATTGTTTATTTGTTGTGCTCTTAGGGATGAAGTTTCTTAGTTCAAAATTAACATTTCTGGTATTTGAAAAAATGTGATGCTGAAAAAAGTCATGATACTGTACTTGTGATATTGCTGTGAGTAGCAAGAGATGGATGTAGAACAGTAATAAAGAACAAAATTAGAATTGTTCATATAAATATCCAGTGATGGATCTTTTCAAGTATCTTTCCTAATATTTTGTTACCTGCATGGCTTTCAGTGCTGGAAGTGGTTTGTTTAATAACTAGGATATGCATTGAAGAGAATGTGAGCAAGTGAGGTTGAGAGAAGGACACATCAGAAAAGGAAAGTGACTGGTACAATGATAGTCATATTTAAAAAGAATAGATGCAGTCAAAGCAAGAGCATGAGCAAGTGAAAGTGTGGCCCCACATGTGTACGGACAATGATTTGAAATGAACATGAAAATTCAAGAATTAGAGCAGTAGAAATGGCCAATCTCAACATTATGTAATTACTTAAGTGTAGTTACAGGATGAGAGCTACGCTCGTGGTGCACTGGTCTTATCGGTATCCTTTGTCGTGTAATGCTCTGAAACTACTGAAAAAAAGAGGAATTCCTTTTTGTCAATTTGGTCGATTCCTGTTAGTATTTTGTAAGTGGTAATCATTATCACCTCTTTTTCTTCTATCTTCTAGTTTTTGCATGTTTAACGCCTCTAGTCTCTCCTTGTAACTCTTCTTTTTCAGTTCCGGAAACCATGTTCTAGCATGCCTTTGCACCTTTTCCAGTTTCTTTATGTGCTTCTTGAGATTTGGGCACCATACAACTGCTGCATATTCCAATTTTGGTCTCACAAAAGTCATGAATTCTTTCTTTAGTATTTCACCATCCTCAGTACCTCAGCTTACATATTTAATCCAATTCCAGAGACGGCTCGTAACCCAGAAATTCATAAACCGAAGCGAATTTTTCCATAAGAAATAATGTAAATTGAATTAATCCATTCCACACTCCCAAAAATATTAACTTCAAGGTAAATTTTATACCTAATGCACTCAAATCTTTGGTACTAAAGTATGTGCAAGTTATTGCTTACCTTTATTGATGACTCTTGTTGGTGTATGGAAAATGTGGAGGAGGAAAGGTGTTAGTGTTTGGAAGGGGAGTCCCCTTCCATTATAATATCAGGCAGTGAGGACTTCTCTGGGGTACTCTCTCTGGCATGTTTTGCAGGAGTACCACTAGGACCTGCTTGTGGCTCACTGCTTGCTTGTCTTCTAAGAATCTATCTAAAGACACTTGTTTTTCCCTACATTTTAATACTTGTCTGTAGTGAGGCATCACATTGTCATTTAAAAGGTCAATGCAACGCGGCCTGCTACAGCTTTATCCGGGTGAGTTTTTCAACAAAACTTTGCAGTTCTTCCCATACTTCACACATTTTCTTAATGAGGAAGGGACATTCTTTACTGCCTCTACTCAACTATTTTCTTGGATTGAACCTTACCACTGACTTTCTTGGGATCCATGGCGAGATATATAATAATTATTTTTGTGTTCAAATACCCAAAAAAACGAAAAACACTGAAATTCTTTACAAAGAATTCAGGTGCAATTGTCACTAAGCGGGAGGCACTGGTAAACTGAGCCGCAGTTGTCATGCCACCACATTCTAGGTCGGCCATATGCGTATCAACAAACTACAGTACGTTACCCGAGGCAACATTTGTAACCCGATTCAGATTTTACAAAGAAATTTGGCTCATACCCCAAAAAGTTCGTAAAGAGGGGCATTTGTAATGCCCATTTGTAACGAGGTGTCACTGTAATTAAAAGCAAGTCTGAAGTTGGAAAGCGACGCATACGCTCCTTTCACAATATTCTTTGTGTTCCTCTGGTGACAGCTTACTATTTAAAACCACCCCCTAGGTCTCGTTCTTTATTAGAGTTCTTTAATTCCTTTCCACATAATTTGTAAGTTGTGTGTGGTCTATTTTCTTCGATTCCACATTCCATAACATGTCATTTATTAACACTGAATTCCATTTGCCACTTGATGCTCCAAGCACTTATTTTATCTAAATACTGTTATGACCCCAGGTAGCCTGAAAAACGAGTCTACCCATGTGAGAGTTATTCACTAAACCAGACCCAACTGAGAGATCAAAGGAAATATAGACATGTGAATATATATTAAATACTTGGCTATTGTTGATGAGTAATTTAAGAGCATGGGCAGAGGGTAAATATGTAAATAAGTGACTTGACTTGAAATGTCAAGATTTTGTTGACAAGGTATGAGGCTCGCTGCAGATTTCTTGACCTCACTTGAGCAACAGAGGTAGAGAGAGGAGGTTGTACTGTGTTTGTGCTCCTGGCAGTAAAGGAGGAACCTCTAGTTTCGTGCTCCATCAAGAGGAGGGGACCAGTCAGGCGTTCGTCTATGAATCCTGAGGACGACGTAGTGCTCAAGTCAAGACTAGGAGAAGCCTAGTGAGGCAGAGATATGATATGATGTTGAGGTCGCTCAGTGATCCACCGGCTAGTCCTGCTGGTAAAAACAGTTCTTCCGGCCAGGAACTGACGTGGGAAGTGAGGATGTACGTAGTGCTCTTTGCGAAGAATGGCATCGTTAGTGAGGAGTTTTTCTAGCTCCTCTTCACATGAAAAGTAGAGCACGATATCTTCACCTTCCTGACTAATGTCAGCGGGTTTGAGGCCAGTTACGTCCTTCAGGACCTTTAAAGTATTGCTTCTTCTGATAGCATGACCGTCAAGTGGAGTAGCTCTGACCTTAAGACATTTGGGTCGCATTGTGACCACACTGCGCCCCAAATGAAATTTGGGGCGCAGTGTGAGATGAAAATCTTAGAGGAAAATAAGAGCAAAGCAAAAGATACGGAAGGTAAGGTGTAAAAAAAGGATGTAATAATAAGAATAAGAAAGGGATCGTAAGAGAAAACAAGAGAAAGAAAAAGAAACATAAAAGGAAGGGAAGGCTTATGTTAGGTCAGGTTTGTTAGAAAGTTTAGAACATTTGAGTATGTAATGTGAAAGGGAAGAGTCCACAGCAACAAAGCCAGGACTCAAGTTCATGTTGGGTACATGTGTATTAGAGCAGATTCAACAAGACGGCGTCTGTGAAGAGTAGAGGCAGGAAAGATTATTTTGGAGGAAGACCAATCAACAGGATGATTAGAATCCCTAACATGGCAGAAGAGAACATTGTTTGTGTCTGCAGACTTAACATTTCTTTTGTGTTCTTTAAGTCTGTCATTAAGTGTACAGCCAGTTTCGCCAAAGTATTGGAGAGGACAAGACGAACAGGAAATAGAGTAGACACCAGCAGCATTAGAAGCAGGAGGAGCAGTGTGAACTAGATTGCTACGAAGTGTGTTAGTATGTCGACGAGCTTTATGTCAAGAGGACGAAAGGTATTAGTAAAAGTCGAGTTGAGATATGAAGGGAAGGCAGAGCAGAGTGATAATAGTGTTGGAAGCAGGTTTAGGATGAAAGAAATTACGTTTTGCTTGAGAATAGGCACAGCTGATAAAATGTAAGAGGTAACCAAGGGGAGAGAAACATTTGTAGATGTTTCAGAAAATTTCAGAATCCAGAAACTGAGGGTCGCTGATGCGTAGAGTGCAGAGGAAGAGAAAGACGAGAACACTTTTTTTAATAGAAGGAGGATGGTAGGCCAAGAAGTGAATATACATACCACTATGCATGGGTTATATCCCGACTTCCAGGATGTGCGTCTTGCTTCTCGACTGTCTTGAGGTTATCTTGAGGTTATCTTGAGATGATTTCGGGGCTTTTTAGTGTCCCCGCGGCCCGGTCCTCGACCAGGCCTCCACCCCCAGGAACCAGCCCGTGACAGCTGACTAACTCCCAGGTACCTATTTACTGCTAGGTAACAGGGGCATTCAGGGTGAAAGAAACTTTTGCCCATTTGTTTCTGCCTCGTGTCCTTTGCGGTTATTTGTCTCTCGATAGAATCCTTGGTGAATCAGCTACCTTTCATATCATTTGCCTTATGCACTTTTGTTCACAATGGCATCCTTATTGATATTTAGCATCTTTTGAATATCCTGACACTTAGACGGTGCTTCATCGTCTCTCTGATTTGGTGCCTTCTTTTTATAATTACAGTGGGCCTTCGACTTACGAATTTAATCTGTTCCCAGAGACGGGTCGTAATTCGAAAATTCATAAGTTGAAACGAATTTTCCCATAACCTGCCTCACAGACAAGGGACTTCCGGTGGATGTAGTATGCAAGGATTGTGCTGAAGCCTTTGATAATGTACCACATGGAAGACTGGCAAGGAAACTACAGGCTCATGGAATAAATTGTTAATACAAGTCCACCAATGGTTGAAACAAAGAAACAAAGGGTCGTATTAAATGGGTCCGAATCTGACTGGAGAAATGCGGTAAGTGGGGACGTTATCTTATCTTGAGGTTATCTTGAGATGATTTCGGGGCAGGCCCTTAAAAACCTAACATGCAAAATAGACACTAGGAATGTTGTAACATCTGTTATAAACAACATTGTTAGTGCAAAGAGCAAGAGTTTCACAGTCTTGAAAAACATAAATTAATAAATGATTTCACAACATGGTTTTACAAATGGCCGTTCATGTTTAACGAATTTGCTAACATTTTATCGCAACATAGTTGAGGCAGTTACATAAGAACAAATGTAACTGCAGGTCAATTAGCCCATACGAGGCAGCTCCTATCTATAACCAGCCAATCCCACTCATATACATGTCCCACCCACGCTTGAAACAATCGAGAGCCCCCACCTCCACCACGTTACGCGGTAATTGGTTCCACAAATCAACAACCCTGTTACCGAGCCAGTATTTACCCGTCTTTCCTAAATCTAAACTTATCCAATTTATACCCATTGTTTCGTGTTCTGTCTTGTGTTGATACTTTTAATGCCCTATTAATATCCCCTTTGTTATGTCCATTCATCCACTTGAAACCTCTATCATGGCACCCCTAACTCTTCGCCTTTCCAGTGAATGGAATTTAAGCTTTGTTAATCTTTCTTCGTATGAAAGATTTCTAATTTGGGGAATTAACTTTGTCATCCTACGCTGGACACGTTCAAATGAATTTATATCCATTCTATAGTACGGCGACCAAAACTGAACTGCATAATCTAAATGAGGCCTAACCAGAGCAAGATATAGCTTAAGAACCACACTAGGAGTCTTGTTACTAACGCTTCGATTAATAAATCCCAGTGTCCTATTTGCCTTATTACGAACATTCATGCATTGATCCTTTTGTTTTAAATTCTTACTTATCATAACTCCCAGATCCCTTTCGCAATCTCAACACCATCTAGGTCGTATCTTGTAACTCTATCATCATTACCTAGCATCAGAACTTTACATTTATCAGCATTAAACTGCATCTGCCAATCTTTTGACCATTTTAAAACCCTATTTAGATCAACTTGAAGTGATAGTGAGTCTTCTTCCGTGTTAATTTCCCTACCGATTTTTGTATCATCTGCAAATTTGCAAATGTTGCTACTCAAACCTGAATCTAAATCATTTATATATATTATAAACAACAGAGGTCCCAGGACAGAGCCCTGAGGTACTCCACTAACAACATTATCCCACTCTGACTTAACCCCATTTATACTAACTCTTTGTTTCCTTTGGAATAGCCATGCCCTAATCCAACTTAATATAGCACCCCCCATTCCCATGAGCCTCTATTTTTTTAATCAGTCTTTCATGTGGCATTGTATCAAAAGCTTTGCTAAAGTCAAGGTACACAACATCACAATCCTTACCACTATCAACTGCCTCAACTATGCTGGAATAAAAAGATAGCAAATTTGTTAAACATGAACGGCCATTTGTAAAACCATGTTGCGACTCATTTATTAATTTATGTTTTTCAAGATGAAGACGAATTGTATTTGCAATTATTGATTCAAGTAACTTTCCCACAATAGCCATTAGGCTAATTGGCCGACAGTTTGACGCAAGTGATCTATCTTTCTTAAAAATTGGTACCACATTAGCTACCTTCCATAACTCTGGCACTCTGCCTAACTCTATTGATTTATTAAATATGGTAGACAGTGGGTCGCAAATCTCCTCTTTGCACTCTTTAAGCACCCCGGCAAACACTTCATCCGGCCCTGGGGATTTGTTTGGTTTGAGTTTTACTATTTGTTTAATTACATCCTCCCTGGTAACTGCTAAACTTGTCAACCTGTCCTCATCCCCACCCACATAGACTTGTTCGGCTGAAGGCATATTGTTAAGTTCTTCTTTAGTAAATACACATATAAAATATTTATTAAAAATACTACTCATCTCCTCGTCATTATCCGTTATTTCACCTGTCTCAGTTTTTAATGGACCTATCCTTTCCCTAGTCTTAGTTCGATATAACTGAAAAAACCCTTTAGGATTTGTCTTCGCTTGCTCTGCTATGCGAACTTCGTAGTTTCTTTTTGCTTTCCTTATCTCTTTGTTAACATTTCTAACCAGTTGTGCGAATTCCTGTTCTAAACTGACTTCCCCATTCTTAATCCTTTTGTACCACGCTTTCACGAGTGCTTTTGCTTGGGTTCGTATTCTGGCTATGGAGGACTTAATGGGCGCTGGGACGTCCACCTCCTGGGGCTCGTGCGGCGGCCCAAGCTCTGCTTCAGGAGGCTGGGGGCGTTCTTGCCCTTACTGAGGTAGTTCTTCTCCGGCCCAGACCACGGCGGTCTCCGGGGTTGGAGTCCCTAGCTGTGCCTTCTTTTACCAACTTCGAGGTCAACTCCGGAGCTCACAGTTCCCGCGACGGCGCTGGAACCAATCGTATTGGCGTTTGCCTTTCCACTGGAGACTTTCGGCGCCGCGGAGAGGGGGGACCTGCTGCATGGGTAACAACTTCTCCTCCGTATGAACCTACCCCGGCTTTGTGCCCTGGAGAGGCTACTTCAGATCGACAACCAGAGCGCAACTCCATAGTCTCCTGAGACTGATGGATGCCTTCTACTAATCCCTAACTGCAGCCTCTGTTCACCCAGTAGTGAATGAGTACCGATTTGGCGGGTCGTATTTCGGGAAAAATTAAGATTAAGGACTTACCGAAACGCTATACGTGCTAGTGGCTGTACAAGAATTTAAGAACTCTTGAATATATAAATAAATAAATAAATAAAATAAATTAAAATCAATTTCCACAGATTCCAACATGGGGGAGAGGTTCCACAGGAATCTGACGACTCTATACAACACTAGGAAGGATCTCAAGTCCAGGATAAGGAGTTGGGGGGGGGGGGGGGAAGGAATGGTACCCAACCACTTGTAGAGCGACGGTCTCGCTTCATGCAGGTCGGCGTTCAATCTCCGACCATTCAAGTGGTTGGGCACCATTCCTTCGCCCTCTCCCTGTCCCTTTCAAAATCCTTATCCTGATTGATTGATTGATAAAGATTAAACCACCCAAAAGGTGGCACGGGCATGAATAGCCCGTAAGTCCTTATCCTGACCCCTTCCCAGTGTCATATAGTCGTAATGGCTTGGCGCTTTCCCCCTGATAGTTCCCTTCCCCTTCTTCCCTGATTGGTTAGCAGTCCTCACAACTCCTCTTGATTTCTGTGACTATCACAAGGTTTTCTGCCACATTTTTACCAAGGCTTTTGTTGCGAGTAAACCTTATATACTCGCTCCAATCTCTCATTACCTTAATGACAAACTCAATAGCACTAATTATGACTACTCAAATCCTTTCCCCAATTACAGATAACATTCTTTCCATCCTGTTGGAGGAAGCTGAGGTGTAGTCACTAAATATAAGCAAGCGGGAAGTGAATAGCTAATATTACGGGCTATTCATGCCCGTGCCACCTCTTGGGTGGCTTAATCTTTATCAATCAATCGAATAGCCAATAGTACAATTTTCACAGTGATTCAGATAACTCCAGTACAAACGCTTTGTTCTTACCTCACTTCTTCAACTTCTAGAGTGTAGCATTCAGCGTGTACAGTTCTAATCGACCCCAAGACGCTACAGCTTCAACACAGAGCAGACAGCAGACTACGCCCGCATCAAGCTACAATGCTCTCGCTCCCCGAGTTCAGACACTCACGATTCCCCATCGAGCCTCCACGCTCTCCCACATAGAGCTCCGCGACTCCGGCCTCACTCAGCCCTCTGCTCTGCTCCAAGCTCCGTCTGAACGTCTATGATAATGCCAACAACCGACTGATTGATTGATTGATTGATGAGCCACCCAAGAGGTGGCACGGGCATGAATAACCCGTAAGTGGTGGCCCTTTCGAGCCATTACCAGTATCAAAAGATGATACTGGAGATCTGTGGAGGCGCAACTGCACCCTGCGTGACGGGCGGGAGATGTCTCCCGGACCAAATGGTGAACAACCGACTACTGTAATCATTAATAAATATGAAACTCAGTAAACACTGTGTATCTAATCTACCCAACAACGTAACATAATCGTACGTTACACTTTGAAGTGCTGCTTGAGAATCAGTGCAGATCACTGCACAGCTGTTAGTGTTTCTTTCCAGAAATCTTAAAGTCATAACAATGGCAGTTATAGCCTTGCTTACGTTGAAGAGGCATAGTTCTCAATACGTGCTTTTTCTCCATTTCCGTTTTGAAAGACATTATACCTAATTACAGTGTATTCTGCCCCAATTCTGCCATTGGTAGGATTAGCTAACCCATCAGTACTGCATGTTCTATGTCCCTCAACATTACACACCACACATTTTTCGTGCAATAAATAAATAAATAAATAAAAAGACTAGCCATCCTGTGAGATGGGCATATTAGATGTACCTTAAAGCTAGTTTTTTATCTACACTTTGTAACCTTTCATATATAATAGGGTCGCAGCACCTTGCTGTGTATACCTAAGCGTGTTAAAGAAAATAGACGTTCGGAAAATGTCTTTGGCTTAGATATTTTACTTATATTCGCGGGTATTGATTATCTGTATAATCTGATTTTGTGTTAGGTTACAGAGTATTTAAATTAAATAGAACTTATAGTACTTAGTATATGCAGAGTCAAGCATAAATACAATTGTGGGTTTGGAGTGTGAGAAACATTAAACGAACACGGACTCTGGAAAGTTGACGTGTCTTTACTTAGAATCTTACGCTGCTCACAAACCCTTTAAAACATTCTGTTTATTTTATTTACTTATATAAACACGAGTTCTACAATGCTTTCAGCTACACATTTAGTATAAAAATATATACATTGAAAGACAGTTAGACTTAATTTGAAACTATGTGTATATATTTGAAGTACATGTAACTTTCATTCAAGCAACGATAGAATAAGCTCACATGATATCTAATCGAGAAAATACAATTTTTGTCTCCAGGAATACTTTACCATTTACTTCTAATATAAATTAGTCGCAAGTGGAACAGGAGACCATGATTACTCAAGTAGTTAACCGAGAGAATGAGATATTGGCGCGTGTTGTGAGGCGAGTGTGTGGAGACTTTACTGAGAATTACATATATGAGGGGCTAGGGGTCTTTGGGGGGTCCCTGGGGACTAGGTTATAGGGAGGATGGGGGTTCAGGTCCAGGGTTGCCCCTGGGGTACATATAGGGACCTGGGGGAGAGGTGGTGGCTGGGGGGTGGCGGGGTGACAGGTGAGGCGGAGTGTTGGAACAGTCAACAGCTGAGTGGTGTGATGGCTGCATCATGGGGTGGAGGCTGGTGTTCGTGCTCCTGGCGGCCGCCGCGCTCCTACCCGCTCTACAGGCACACATCTCAGACCTGCGACTCTGTGCTGACACCTACTGTAAAGGTCAGCCCAAATGACTCGCCAGCTCGCGAATAAACACAATGTTATTGAGTGAGTGGGGAGGGGGGAAATGGTGTTGAGGGAGCGGAAGATGCAGCATCTTGGGCCCAGCTACACTTGTCTTGGGAGGAAATTAAGCAACATGTGTCGCTCTAACACCTTCTCCTCACTATCTTAGCCAGGGAGGGGAACTATGCCCATAAACGTTTAACTCCAATCAAATCTATAATTTGTTTGGGCTCACAATTTGTCTCTGTTCAATTCCTGAATTATTAGCTAATTGTAAAATTTATATTTATACATTATTAGTATCACTGCAGATGAAGATTTACATCAGAGACTAATTTGCTCAAGTTTTATTTCTTTATTAATGGGCCTTGAAGGGTGTAGGGAATGGCCCTCACAACATATGGCAATACATAAACACACAGTAACCCTTTAGGAGGAATTCCTGCCAGCCTTGTGGTGTGTCTGGCAGTGACCCTTAAACTGTCTTCACTCATCAAACCTTATGAGGAGTGTGGTGGATTCACGGTGGTGCTTCGTGGTTGCGCCTCGCGGTGGGGAGTAGCGGTGGCGCCTCGCGGTGGGGAGTAGCGGTGGCGCCTCGCTGTGGGGAGTAGAGGTGGCGCCTCGCTGTGGGGAGTAGCAGTGGCGCGTCACAGTGGGGAGTAGCGGTGGCGCCTCGCTGTGGTGCTTCGCGGTTGCATGTCGCGGTGGAGATTAGTGGTGACGCCTCGCTGTGGTGCTTCGCGGTTGCATGTCGCGGTGGAGATTAGTGGTGACGCCTCGCTGTGGGGAGTAGTGGTGGCGCCTCGCTGTGGTGCTTCGCGGTTGCATGTCGCGGTGGAGATTAGTGGTGACGCCTCGCTGTGGGGAGTAGTGGTGGCGCCTCGCTGTGGTGCTTCGCGGTTGCACGTTGCGGTGGGGATTAGCGGTGGCGCCTCGCTGTGGGGAGTAGAGGTGGCGCCTTGTGGGGCGTAGCAGTGGCGCCTCGCAGTGGGGAGTAGTGGTGGCGCCTCGCGGTGGGGAGTAGCGGTGGCGCCCTGCGGTGGGGAGAAGCGGTGGGGCGTCGCAGTGGCACCTCGCGGGAAGTAGCAGTGGGGAGTAGTGGTGGCGCCTCGCGGTGGGGAGTAGCGGGGAGTAGCAGTGGCGCCCTGCGGTGGGGAGAAGCGGTGGGGCGTCGCAGTGGCACCTCGCGGGAAGTAGCAGTGGAGAGTAGTGGTGGGGCCTCGCGGTTGCGCCTTGTGGGGAGTAGCAGTGGGGCGTTGCGGTAGCGCCTCGCGGGGAATAACGGTGGCGCCTCGCAGTGGGGCGTCACAGTGGTGCCTTGCAGTGAGGCCAAGTAAAAACTTTCATTCTTATACACCAAATCTTATTATATCTCATTACTTCTCATTGTATGTACATTACAACTCTCGGTACCAAGTTGTGAATTGGTGAGAGAAGTAATGTATGTATGCAAATTTATTTCCTTTATTTCCATCTTGTGGAATGAGGATGGCTTAATCCAGATACAAAAAATTGATAAAACTTGTTATTATAGATGTAATATTTGTAATACGTTATTTTATTTGTTTATTATTATAATTCATTTTGTTTGGGACAGGCAGCCTGCATATATATTTAGGCTTTAGACTTGTATCAAGGTCATACTGCTGACCTTTCCCAGAATGCAACCCCACAACAGTTGCTTAACTCCTGGGTACCTAGTTACTGATAAGTAAACAGAAACATCAGATGAAAGGAAACATGCCTGATCAATTTTCTCCTGGGCAGGATTTGGACTCGAGGTTCCCAATTGAGAGTTTAGAACAAACTGACCTATGCTACCAAGACCCTAGGATTCACGGCACAATATATAGTATCCTGGATATACAGGCACCACCACACCACTTTAATATGACCAGTATACTGTACAGTGATCGTTCCCTTAAAATGCTTCTAGCCAGCCTTGTCAGTTACTATATCTTGTCTTGTTCATACTGTACTTTCTCTTGGCTTACTCACACATTTTCAGAGGAAAAAGATAACAAACAAGAGGGCTTCACAATGGTCATGAGAGGTTACAGTAAAAGCAGATAAATAAATCACAGTTGCTGGTACCGGGGGACTTGAACTTGAAAACAATAGACTATGAAGCAAAAATGAAGGACATTTGGACAGGCAGATCTGTAAACCTCATTCTGGAGACATGCATGTATCAACATGTCAAGCAGGCCACAAGAATGAGGGAAGGGGATGTTCCAGCAATACTGGATCTGATATTCACCAGGAAAGAAGAGATATCTAACATTCAGTACCTTCCTCACTTGGGAAAGTGATTACGTCCTGTTGGAAATTTATTATGCTTTGTGATATACAGTATATATAATCAGAAGAGCATTTGGACATTGAAACAGTTGATAAACTCGATTTCAAGAGAGGACATTATGGGAAACTTGAAAAATTCTTAAATATATTTAATTGGCCAGACTTGTTGCTAGGCAATCTATCTTGAGATGATGATTTCGGGGCTTTAGTGTCCCCGCGGCCCGGTCCTCGACCAGGCCTCCACCCCCAGGAAGCAGCCCGTGACAGCTGACTAACATCCAGGTACCTATTTACTGCTAGGTAACAGGAGCATAGGGTGAAAGAAACTCTGCCCATTGTTTCTCGCCGGCGCCTGGGATCGAACCCAGGACCACAGGATGACAAGTTCAGCGTGCTGTCCGCTCGGCCGACCGGCTCCCCGCTCCCCTTCTTCCTGGCAAGGAAGTAAAAGAGTTCCATGCCAAATTTTGTGACATGTACGATGAAGGAACATTCATACCAAAACATATGCTGGACCAGAAAGCAGGATTGATTTAACGGAAATCATAAGAGGGCGAAAGGAAAAGACAATAAAATGGGTTCAATATAGGAAGAAACCTTACCTGCAAACATACAAACACTTCAAGCAAACAAGAAACAATTATACAGCAATGAGGAGAGAGGCAGAATGGAATTTTGAGAAAGATGCAGCGGACAAATGTAAAACAGATAAAGGCCTGTTATATAAATTCATTAAAAGTAAACTGCATGTAAAGGATAAAATCCAGAGATTGAGAACAGGGAACAGACCTATTAAGAATGAAAAAGAAATGTGTGAAACTCTAAATGAACAGTTCCAAAGTATATTTGTACAAAATGAGGATTTCATAGAACTGGACCAAATGCCAATTCCAGAGCAAGCTGTAGAATAAACAGAGGTATCTTAAGATGAAATGGAAAAGTTACTCAAGGGGCTAGGAAGAAATAAAGCAGTTGGACCTGATGGAATTTCACCTTGGGTGCTGCGAGAATGTGCAACTGAGCTGAGCATTCTACTCCAATAAATATTCCAGACATCCTTGTGCACAGGAATCTTAGCAGATGCTGCCTCAAAATAAATCTATAAAATCTATAAAAATGGTTGTTGAGAAGAATCTTTAAATTATGGACCCATAATAACAAGCATTGTAGTCAAAACACTAGAAACAACAGTTAAAGCCAAATGCGTTGAATGCCTAGAGTAATTACATAATAATGGACAGACAGTATGGTTTTCGAACAGGAAGATCCTGTGTGACAAATCGACTTAGTTCCTGTGGAGAGCCCCTCCATCTCCTCAGTGCTATACTGGGCTGATATGTATGTATTAGACCATGACATCAACCAATTCAATTGGAGTTCTAGGCCTACTGGGGACCACAAGCCAGAACCTGGCCCCCCTCAGAGAGGCACGAAGAGCAATGGTCTATAGAAACCCCCATGTGGTTGGAAGCATTATATGTCTGCCATCTATAATCTACCTTTCTGCCACAGGAAGGTAGGTGTCCCAAAACAGACCCCAACTGGTGAAACAAGGGGGGAGCCCCAGACCCCACTTCGGTTATCCAACCCTGGTTATGAGGCTTATGTGTTGAGTGGCGGTCATTCGACTCTGGCTCTTGACTCTGAGCAGTGCTGTGCCTTTCAGAGCTGTTCTGCTGTGTTGTGGTGTCCAAGCCAGGAGTAATTCAAGAAGTACTGGGGGGGTGCATTCACTTAGGGCCTTCTTCCCTAGGTGCCCTGTAAGTACTACCATTGCAGCTCAGGGTTTTCTTGTACAAGTCATTTGGGAACTACAGTACCTCTGTGAGGGTCTTTTGCTGTTCAGTGATTGGCTGGGGTTTTCTTAACTGCTGTCTGGTTTTGAGTAGGAGGTAGTATCATTGCTGGTAGGGGCACAAGGTACTGTGCAGCTTGTCTTATAATATCAGAGCAGCTGGTTCTGTTTCCCTGGAGACGTACGTTTATGAGGTTTTCTTTTCTTTTTGTCTTTGCCTGGTGGGGGGTTGGCTCCTTGGTCATAGTTCACCCTCTGTTATTCTGGTGGTCCCCTCACAAGGCCCCCCATGATTGTACACGTCACAGGGGTTCAGCTTGAATTGTTCTCAGGGTTTTGAGGGTTTGGAATCTGAGGGTTTTGGAGTCAGGGCAGGGTTTAGTTGGTGACGAGACTCAGGCAGTTTCGGGGGCTGCTTCATCCAGTTTGGCAACAGAGGCATTTGAGCTGGCTCCTCCTGCTGGGGGCTTCTGGGTCTGACCAGCGAGCCCCCTTCTTCCCAGCCTTTCCGGTGGACTCTGCCTTTTCTTCAGGGGCAGAAGGTTTGAAGGACGGCTCTGCCCCGAGTCCTGATGTGGAGGATCCCTTGGCTGGGGAGTTGTCGTCTTGGGGGGGGGGGCTTGGGCCCCGTTTGATTTCGCTCGAGTCAAACTCAAGCGGTTTGACATATCCACCCTCCCTATACGAGATTGATATGGGTACAGGTCCTTCTTGGGTTATGTTCTGGGTTCACTTGTGTTTCTCGGTCCTTTCCTTCTGGAGGATTTCGGCTTACCGCATCCCACCTAAAGAGGTTCAGGAGGCCATTGCAGCTTGCTTCCTGTGTGACCCGGATTTTGCCTCGGTAAGGGATCCTTACTCGTTTGAGTTTGGTGCATCTTTTCCTTATTGAGTGCATTACGAGGTGCTGGAGTCATCCTGGTTGGCAGACTCCCTTTTTTTCATTGGGTGCATGGCATACGTTCTTTCGGACCCGTACACTTGAATGGTGGGAAACGTCAACTGTTGTTCAGGTTTACCTTGTGTAGGGGGTGAATTTGAGCCCCTAAATGTGTGCTTGTTCGCCCCTGCTCTTCCTCGGGATGTCGGCCAGGTGCAGCTTCACATGATGCAGGTTCCTGCCCTTTCCGTGTGTCTGGTAGCTGAGGATTTGCGCGCCTGTGGGCATTTGGGTTCAGTTTTGTTTCTTTTCCCTTATTTGAGCTGTCTTTTTGACTGGCTTGAGGAGGATGTGGAGGCACTGGGAGCTGGGCCTGCATCCGGTGCATTTACCTCAGCGACTAGGGCATTGGCTGCTTTGTTGAAGTTGTTTGCATCAATCCTCAAGGAGGCAGTGTCTATTAGCTTCTCGCCTCATGTGCTGACAGACTATGCTCATTCCCCCCTCCTTGGAATCCACTTGGGCCCTGGCTCTAAAGTTTTTGTCGCCTTTTTGCTTGAAGCTGTTTGCAGTCTATGGTTGTGCAGTATTTGCAGGCAGCTTCGTCTCATTATCAGCCTATGTTTGACTAGTTGGTTCTCTGGGGGTGGATGTAGGGGTCCTGCCCAGAAGGGTTGTACCAGGGTTTGGTGTTCCCTTGGTCTTGGTAGGCCAGCGGTGCCAGTTTTGGAGCTGGCGGCATCTGGTCAGTGCGGTGTTCGCTCTGCGCGTCGGTCGGCTTCTCGTAAGCCCTTTTGTGGTTCACCCTGTTGACAGGGGCGGCGCTCATGCTGTTTCCTTATGCCTGGTCCCACGATTTGTGGGTGTTTCGAGTTGTTTCTGCCGGACTACCGTGGCGCTGGGGTGTCTCCTCCTCCGGGAAGTTCAGGGCTTGCGGGGTAGGTTTCTTCTCCTGCGCTGTAAGATAGTCTTGGAGTGGGTGTGCTTGGGAGTGGTCGAAATGACGACATCCCTCACATGGGTTTCCCATCTGTTCCCAGCCCTGAAACGGGACTGGAGAAACAATGTTTTCCCAGTTGGGGTCTGTTTTGAGATGCCTACCTTTCTGAGTGCCTAACGTGGTAGATGGCAGACATAGAATGCTTCCAACCACATGGGGGTTTCCATAGGCCATTGCTCTTCGTGCCTCTGAGGGGGCCTGGTTCTGGCTTGCGGTCCCCAGTAGGCTGAAACTCCAATCAAACTGACTGATGCCATGGTCTAATACATTCACATCAGCCCAGTATAGCTCCGGGGAGCCTCCGGGACTCGCCCAGAAAATGGGGTTTCATTACATTCAATGATGGTTTTTAATGACACAGCCACAGAGATACTACAGGAAAGAAAGAGTTGTATTGAAAGTGTACCTGGACCTAAAAATGGCTTATGACATAGTCCCCCACAAGATGCTGTTCTGAAATCTGGAACCTGCTAGAGGTTGTGACACGCAGACTTCCGACATATATGACAAATTTTTAAGTGACGGATGAGGGCAGTAATAAAAGACAATGTATCTGACTGGAGTGTTTCTAGTGGAGTGCCATAGGGATCAGTTCTTGCACCAGTAATGCTCAGTCTACATAAATGATCTTCTGAAAGGAATACAGAATTATAAACATGTTTGGATGTTGCTAAGGTACTGGGGAAGATAGGAGATGCAGACGATTGTCATGTCCTTCAAATTGATCTAGGTAAAATAAGTGCTTGGACCGTCAAGTGGTAAATGATGTTCAATATGAATAAATGCCATGTTATGGAATGTGGAATTGGAGAAAATAGACCACACACATCTTATAAATTATGTGGAAAGGAATTAAAGAACTCTAATAAAGGAGGAGACCTAGGGGGTGGTTTTGGATAGTAAGCTGTTGCCAGAGGAACACAAAGAACATTGAGAGGAACATATGTGTTGCTTTCCAACTTCAGACTTGCTTTTAATTATATGGATGGGGAAATACTAAAGAAACTGTTCATGACTTTAGAGAAACCAATGTTGGAATATGCCACATTTGTTTGGTTCCCATATCTCAAGAAGCACAAATAAACAGAAAAAGGTGCAAAGGCATGCTAGATGGCTTCCAGAACTGAAAAGCAAGAGTTATGAGGATAGACTAGAGGTGTTAAACATGCCAAAACTAGAAGATAGATGAAAAAGAGGTGATATGATCACCACTTACAAAATACGAATAGGAATCTGTGAAATATACAGTTGAAAATTCCTGAAACCAGCAGCTTCAAGAACAAAAGGACACAGATTCAAGCTAAGGAAACAAGGGTGCCAAAAAATATTAGAAAGTTTTCTTTTGCAAACAAAGTGATAGATGGTTGGAATAAGTTAAATGAGAAGGTGGAGGAGGCCAAAACTGTCAGTAGTTTCAAAGCGTTGTACAACAAAGAGTACTGGGAAGACGGGACTCCACAAGCGGTACGCTCATGGTGTAACCTTCTTGTCTTGTAACTACTTGGGTAATTTGTTGAGTAATTATCTTGTTTCACCTCCAGCCTGCTCATGCGTGGCCCACCCATTTTTTGAGTGGGCCAAGTTCTGGCTCTTGTCCCCACTAGGCCTATACAACTTAATGGCTGCATGCACCCTAGTCGATCAACCCTTCAATCATGCTGTTCATTCAAAATAGGAATTTTCTCAAATAGAAATTTATATTATATATTTGTAAAGTATGAATACTTTAGGCATTAGTTAGGTTAGGTGTTTAGGTTCTGTTGGTGATTATTTTATTTGTAGTATGTGGGTGAAGCATTTACAGCATTGTGGTGCGATCAAAAATTGTCAGAGAAGCACTTGTTTGAGAAGTGTTCGAATGTCATCAGTTGTAATCCGTTTTTTCATTCGTAAACGGGCTTTGGCGGGTGCATGGAATGGACTTTGGCCTTTGTTTATGAGGATGGGCAGAGTTAATGGTACTATCTCGGCATATAGTAGCGTCAGGAAGCCACCGGGGCTCAACCACAAATTGTCATTTCATTACATTAAATGCTTGTTTTTTGCATTCAAAGAGTCCATATTGTGTATAGGTATATACCTTTACAGTCACTGTTGGATGGTATAATTTTTGTAGGGTTTATTTTAAATTAATAAAATTTCCTAGTTATTCCTTGCAGTGTTTTGATAACCAGTTTTATTCCTCCAGAGCCAGTGTCGAAGGGTATTACAGTCCTTAACTACAACAGCAACGATGAAAAAATTCTATCCTTTGCCAATGGTGTAGAAGTAACTGTATATAGCAAAGAAGCTGGAAGCAGGGAAGATCTTTGGGGAGTGGAGGTGAGTGGTCTGTTTGTGTTGTAGCGAATTCTTTAGTCAGAGAACTAAGTTTCTGGACCCGTTTCTGGAATACTGTAGAGAACCCAAAGAAAAGAGTAGACTTCAAAGTTGATAACATTTTGAAGGTGCACAGGACTAGTGCTTATAAAGGGGGTCAATAAGACTGGGTTTGAGATTATTATTACATTTTGTATTTATGAAGTATTAATTTAACAAAGGCATGTTGAATTTTTCTTTGACTGCACCCCCTCTACGTTCTTCTTAATGTTTTCTTTTTTGATAAAGATTTTAGCATCCCTGATGTTTAGGGATACAAACTGGTTGTTTCCCGGTGAGGGTGATCATAATGATCTCATCCGCTCTGTCTTTTTGAGGCTCTGGTCTCCAGTAAGCCAACAGAACACCTATGACTGATGTGATTTAGTACTGTATTTGGAAGCTATCTCGGTGACATACCTTCAGGGAGGCACTGGGGCTCGCCCAGAAAGGGGCATTTTATTACATACATTGATGGTTTTTCTGCATTCAGATTTTGCAATTAAAAACTGACCAGCTGATATTTGGTGTAACTATTATTACCTAAGTAGAGAACCCTACAGTTTCTGGAGGCAGCCCCTTGTGGCTCCTTGAAGCTATCTTCCCGAGATTACTTCATACTAAAAGGTCACATCAGCTGTGGCTAGGTCTGCTTGGCTTACCAGGGATCGGAGTCAGAACCTGGCCCCCCTCACAGAGGCAGAGAGAGAGCAGGTGACAGCCCACCACCTCACCAGAAAAAGCTTGCAGAAAGTCAGCGCAGCTTTACAGACAACTGGAAGGTTCGCAGAAAATGAGACCTTGATAAACGGCTAAAGAATTACTGCAAGAGAGTTGCATGGAACAAGGGATTCACTTAAGAGCTCAAAATGAACTTTGTGGTGAACAAACCCACAATGAACCTATGAACCTGGAGGGTGGGAGGGAGGCAGGAAGCCATCGACGCTCCTCCAGAAATTGGCATTTCATTACACTCGATGCTGGGTTTCTTGAGGGAGCCCATTGTGGTCCCCCTGAAACTAATCTAACCCTAGAGAACAAAAAGGGATTTATCAAGGAGGTGGAGATTCAGTAGGCACCTAAGTCAGAGAAGAGAAACCAGGCCGGGCAACATGGCCCAAAGCCACACACGACTGACTGAAGTCGTGGCCCTAATGTTACTGTGGCCCAAAGCACAGTAACATTAATCAAATACTGTTCTGTCTAAGCACACTTGCCTGAATTATATGGGAAGGCCCTGCACTGGATAAGCCAGACATTTGGATAAGCAGAATTGTTACAAGAGGGGAAATGCAAAAATGAGCATACTGTATTTGCAATTTTTTTTACCACAATCACTGTAATTCTCATTTCCACACACTAAACCAAAAATATAATTTAAAAAAGAAACTTTAGCTTTCCTTGTTTAGTTTCTTCTTGTGTGAAACTGAAAATCTTGAAATGTGTAGTTCCTGAAAATTTATGCAACATAATCACTGGTTATCCGAATTTCAGTTCAATATGGCGAAGTTTTACTAGAAAACTATGCGAATTTGACTTGCTCTCTGCCAGTCTGCGTTATCCAGCCAAATTTATGGTTATCCAAATTTCTGTTCGGATACAGAGAAGTTTGATAGAAAATTATCCGAACCCTGATCAGAGAATGCCGGATCAGGTAATCAGGAGAATCAGAGGAATAACTTTTACATCACTACTGTGGCCCATAGAGGGGCCATGGGATGTTTATCGGCTGGTGGGGTGCACTGCGGCTGGTGCAGCCTGCTTAACACAGCACACTGCACTATGCCACCCGACAATACTTAAGTAGGCATTGTGCAGGCCGAGAAAACCTGAGTTTAAGATATCGTACGATTCAAAAACGCTCGTGCGGTACGTATGATATGGACACCTAGGACTTCCAGTGAGAGGCAGTCATCTTGAAACAAATTCCCAGCATGCCCTAGGGCTGCTGACTGGCTCAGTTCTGAGTGAGCAACCATGGGTGGTACTCATGCTTCTGGCTTCCAATCCCCTGTCTGACGTGGTGTTGAAAGATCGCTCTCTGGTGGTGAAATTCAGACTTTATTTTTTGAAGATATGGGCTAGTAATATTGATGAAGCAAGGCACAATAAAGACTTAACACAAATGCTGGATACAAGTGATACAACACGGACGAGGACAATACAGCGAGCGTATCCAGTAGAGGCTGAGCGCCAAGTGTGCTATGGCCTCTCGGGCAATCACACTCGCCATTATCATCACCCGTGTCATCTCCAATTTTTGAATAATGTGATACTATAGATGATTCGTTTTTCTTGGTTCAGTAATGATGCTTCTGATATAAGTAGGATTAATGAACAGTGTGTTAGTGGCTTCCATGGTGGAGTTTTTTCAGTGGTGGTGCCTGTACAAAGAGCACGGGTGAATAGGCAAGGGAGGACTGTGATGATTTTGTAGCACACAAACTACAATTTGATTCTAATGTTAGTGTTGCACCCATTTTTCATATACAGGTGAAGATATGAGTGATACCAGGACATACATTGTCGTTGATCTTTTCTTATATCTTTTCAATCCCACCTTATACTTCACATGCTTGCTTACATACCACCTACAGGAACTAAAGCCAAGGGTGTACGCGAGTGCGTTTTTTGCAAGCACACAGAACTTGGAAATAGGAAGCGAAAATCTTTGTGTACTTGGTGCATAGAGTGCAAAGTCTTGCTGTGTACCATGGACTGCTTCTTTATCACTCACTCCTGAAATACTGAGCGTATAATAGTGTATGACTGTGAATAGTGTGAGTGTACATATTGTAAATAAATTGAATATTGAAAAGTACTATTGTGACAATAAACATTTTTTGTGGACACATTAGTGACATTCTTCGGTTTTGTTCCGTCCGCGCCCCCTTGTCTTTCCCCTGTTGTGGTTGTCTGGTTCCCCCTTTCCTCCCTGCATCCGGCTCTGGACCGTCTGTGGGTTTCGGGGTCGGGGCGGGGTTTCATTGGTCTTGAGACTCGGGCGATCATGGGGGATTGCCTCTTCTGGGGTGGCGGCAGGGGCATTCGAGCCTGTTCCTCCAGCCGTGACATATGGGTCTGGCAGTGGGCTCCCTTCCTTGGTATTTTTTGGGCTGCCCCGGCTTTTTCTTGAGGCTGGGGCTTTAGGGAAACGGCTCGGCCCCGGGTCCTTCCGTGGAGATTCCCGGGGCTGGGGAGGGGCTGACTTGGGGGCCTTGGGCTCCGTTGGATCCCGCCGGGATTTTTCTACTACCCTCTGAGCAGGGCTTGCGGTTACAGGGAGTGGGGTTTTCCTGTCCCCTCCTCTGCATACGAGTTTGTTGGGCGTTGGCCTGTCCCCGGGTTCAGTTCCTCGTCTCCTTAGGTCCGTTGGTTCCGTCCTGCCGGTGGGTACATGTTCATATAATTCTATATTCCTTCTGGTAAATTGTTTGTGAACAATGAACATTACTTGTGCAAGAACTGAACCCTGTGGTACTCCGCTAGTAACACCACTCCAGTCGGATACATTGCCTATCGTTACTGCTCTCATCTGTCTGTCAGTTAGATAATTTTTCAACCATGTCAGAAGTCTCCTTGTTACCCCCACTAGCATACCTGCTTGATGGGGTTCTGGGAGTAGTTCTACTTTCCAAGGCCTGGCCCGAAGCTAGGCATGACTTTAGAGCTTGGTCCAACAGGCTGTTGTTTGGAGTGGCCTGCAGGCCACTTATCCACCACAGCCCAGTTGGTCCGGCACTTCTTGAAGAAAACTATCTAGTTTTCTCTTGAAAATGTCCACGGTTGTTCTGGCAGTATTTCTTATACTCGCTGGGAGGATGTTGAACAACCGTGGACCTCTGATGTTTATACAATATTCTCTGATTGTGCCTATGGCACCCCCTGCTCTTCTCTGGTTCTATTCTGCATTTTCTTCCTTGTCGTTCATTCCAGTATACAGTATTGTTATTTTACTCTGTATCTTTGGGACCTGGCCCTCCAGTATTACACGTATATATTATTTCATCTCGTCTCCTTTCTAGTGAGTACATTTGGAGAGCTTTGAGATGATCTCAATAATTTAGGTGCTTTATCGTGTCTCTGTATGCTGTATGTGTTCTCTGTATTCCGTTTATTTCAGCAATCACTCCTGCTCTGAAGGGGGGAAATGAGCACTGAGCAGTACTCAAGACAGGACAGTACTGTACAAGCCAGGACAGCATGTTACAGTTACCAGAACAACTTCTTGTGTGGGACTCTGTCAAAAGCCTTTTCAAGGTCCAGATACACAGCCAGCCCAACCGCTTTTTTCCTGTAGAATCTCTGTGGCTTTATCAGAAAAACTAAGTAGATTTGTTACACAGGATCTTTCTGTTTGAAAACCACTGTTTGTCCATTGTCATTATTCTCCAGGTGTTCAACCCATTTGGTTTTGACTATTTTTTTCTAGTGTTTTGACTACTACGCTTGTTAGTGATACGGGTCTATAATTTGAAGGTTTTCTCGGCTACCATTTGTATAGATTGGTACTATGTTTGCATTTTTGCATTTATCTAAGATTACTGTGCACAAAGATGTCTGGAATATTAATTGGAGTGGAATGCTTAGCTCAGCTGCACATACTCACAGCACCCAAGGTGAAACTCCATAAGGTCCAACTGCTTTATTTCTTCCTAGCCCCTCGAGTAACTTTTTCACTTTGTCTTGAGATACCTCTATGTATTCTATGGAGTGCTCTAGAATTGGCAGTGGGTCCAGCTCTCTGAAATTCTCATTTTGTATAAATACACTTTGGAACTATTCAATTAGCCTTTCACTCATTTCTTCATTCTCAGTAGCCCTGTTTCCCTTTCTCAATCTCTGGATTTTATCCTTTGCATGCAGCTTGCTTTTAATGAATTTATAGAAAAGGCCTGGATCTGTTTTACATTCTCTGCTATCCCCTTCTCAAAGTTCCTTTCTGCCACTCTCCTCATTGCTGTGTATTGTGTTGCTTGCTTGCTTGCTTGCTTGTAATGATAGTATGTTTGTTAGGCCTCTTCCTATATTGAACCCATTTTCTTGTCTTTTCCTTTCTTGCCCTCTCTCAATTTCTATTGAACCACTCCTGTTTTCTGGTTCTGTATCTTCCTGAAGCAAGGTAGCTTCAGGGAGCCACCGAGGCTCTACCAGAAAAAAGTGCCTTGTTACTTTAAACTTTGGGTGTTTGGATCTTAAGATACATATTTCTGGGGATACCCCTCTTTATTGATTACATTTGAAACATACCTAGTTAAATAATTGCAGAAGTGGGTTTGCTGTACTGTACTTACTATCCTTAAATAATTTTCATGTCTATTGGATGTCTTTTCATGTCTATATAAAACCTTATTTTTTTTTTTTCTCAGATCAAAGGGAAAAGGGGATACGTGCCAAAGCAATATGTTCGTGAAAACAAATTGTTTATAAAAGATCTTAAATATAAAGTGCCAACTGAAGCCTTTATTGATAACAAAAATACTTGGGATAACGATGATAAATACAGTATAGACAATGAAGATTCGAGTAAAACTAATGAATTAACGCAAAATGATGCGAATGAGGATAAAGTATTGAGATTAGAAGAAATTGCCATTAGTGCTGAGGATGTTGAGTATAATCGCTTAAAAGTAAAGACTGAAGATGAGCAGCCCCACCATGCAGAGAGAGAAGGGCCAACTTATGAAGATAAAGAGAGTACAGATGAAAGCCAAGAGCTGCCAAAGCATTCACAGGGTGATGAAACTGGCAGTGAAGACGTTGATGAACATGAAAGTAAGGAAGAGGGAGTGGAGGATGTCAAGAGAGAAGATACAAAGGAAGAGTTAAATGATTTAATTAGTGATTCTGATGAAGAAAACAATGACGGCAAGAAAGAAAAAGAGGAGGAGAACGTTGAGCAGTTTGACACTGCAGGTGAAAATGAGTCAATTACAGAAATGCTTGAAAAGAATGGAAGCCTTTTGGATTTAGTTGCAGCTGATGATACCACTGAGCTAAATGAGTCAACAAAGAATGGTTTTGACGTTGATGATGCAAAAAGCGTAGACAGTGTTGATAGCTCTCCAGTAAATTATGAAGTAATTGATGGTACTACAGTATATTTGGATGATGTTACTGTCACTGTCTCGACTCCTGTTGAGTCGTCGTCTACCGTTCTTGAAGCCTCTTCGGGAGTCGCTGAAAATTTGGTGTCGGCACATCCACATCCATCACTTTCTCTGACGACATTTGAAACGGCTCAACCTCAAGTTGTTAATACCAAACCTACAGTAGCACCAAGCTTAGAAGATATTGCTTCAGTAGCTCCAGATGTTATAAGTTCAACTTATATAGTTGAAAATTCAGAACAGATCACTCCCATTTTGCCTTTTGAAAAGGCACCCATAGTGTTGGAAAATATAGCTAATTCAGATATTAGTCCATCTTCATCATGGTTGTTTAATGTTGCTACAACAGTATCATCGTGGGTTAATGCTGAAGATAAAACGGCTATTGAAGAAAGCAAGGAAGAAGATAGTGATGACAAAGAAGATATAAATACAGATAGTGAAGAAAAGGGGAGCAAATCCAATTACAGCCAAGAAAATGTGGAAAGTATTAATGAAGGGAGTACTGATGCGTCCCCTACCATTAATACAAATGCTGGTGATAGTATTGGTGCAACAGATGAAATACCTATTCCTGAAGAAATTGGTGGACCAAAGCCCAGTTCAGGTGTTGAAGCCTCTGATATTCAGGCAGTGGCAGAAAGTGAAGGGTTCTTTTCTTCTTTGTTTGGCAGCTCTGAAAAAACACACAATTTGGAAGTAGAGGAATCTACCAGTGGCACCGATTCCCCAGAAGCTCTGTTAGTATTGAAAGAGGCCGAGGAAGTAGAGGCTAATAATGTCTCGGAAGATGGTAGAAGAGAAGGTTCAGAGACAGACCCAACTGATTCCTCCACTATTGCAGCTATTGACAATGTTCCCATAGATGACACTGAAATCCCAGAAAATGTTGTACAGACCCCGTATCATAAAGAAGAAGAATATAATACTTTCACCACCCGGGAAAATGTCCCTTCCTCAGCAGGTGACGATCCTCATTCTTCAGTTTCATCCACTCTGGAGGAACCTCCACAAATATCTCTGGAGACTGATGACCAGCCTCCTGTGGGAGATGGTGTGCATGACAGTGGTGAAGGAGCAATAGGAGAAGAGGATACACATGTTGATATAGGTAAGGATACTTAGACCAGCATTGCTTTTCATATTAGAGGGTGTACATTTAGGCAATATGATTTATCTTTAAAGAAGACAAAACTTTTGCAATATGAAATCTGTTAGTTACATTATGCATTGTTAAAAGTAGTAAAAGTAACTCTTGTAGTAAAAGTTTTCATTAATAAAAATTTAAATAAATTTGTTAATTATGCTGTTCTTTAGAACGATAGTTGATTAATAATATGTCTGATCTTGTTGAAAATTAAAGTTGTAGTCCACAAATAAAACCAGCATGGAATGTAATGAAACACCATTTTCTGGGCAAGTCCCAGAGGCTCCTCGGAGCTATACCGGGAGGCTATGTATGTATTAGACCGTGGAATCTGTCAATTTGATTGGAGTTCTAGCCTACCGGGGACCACGAGACAGAATCTGGCCCCGTCCCGTCAGAGAGGCATGAGGAGCAGTGGCCTATAGAAACCCCCATGTGGTTGGAAGCATTCTATGTCTGCCATCTACCGGGTCAGGCACCCAGAAAGGTAGGAGTCCCAAAACAGACCCCAACTGGTGAAACATACTTCCGAAAATTGAACTGCTAAGCAGAACTTCCTAATCTGAAAACAAGCAAACAAGCATGATGTGACACCCACCGCCCTGCTGCCTGTCCACACACAGTCCCCCCCTTTCTGGTAGGGGGAAGGGGGAGCCCAAGACCCTGTGCCAGCTGTCCAGTTCTGAGGCTGGACATCAAAAATGCAAAAACTGTTGGCAGTTTTCGCATTTTTACTCCTGGCTCAAATTACTCCTGGCTTGCACACCACAACACAGTAGAACAATCCCACAATGCACAGCACTGCCAAGAATCAGGAGCCAGGGGGGCCTCCGGGACTCGCCCAGAAGATGGCGTTTCATTACATTCAATGCTGGGGCTTGGGGAGTAGAACAACTCCCAGAACCCCATCAAGCAGGACCTAAAGTGACACATGGCTGACTAGGGCCAGGAACATTGTGATAACAGGCAGCCAGGATCCTGTTCGACCTCCAAAACCCTCACGCCCGAATGTAAGACCAAAATAAATTACGAAAAACGGCAGCTAAAGCAGTAAACTTGCGAACATCATGGGCACGAGGAGAGACTACAGGCTGGCTTGACCGAATAACCCTGTGGACGACCTGGGAGACCCGAGCCCTGGAACAGGGGAAGAAGGAAACTGGGTCCACCCAAAGTGCTTTCCCGGTTACCGAAGTCGTGGCGCTCAAATAACGGCTAAGAGCTGCAACTGGACACAACACATGAAGCACCCCTGGCCAAACCAACCAACCAAGCAACAACCCAAGAAACCCTCTGGAAAGCGGCCGTCTCAAACTTCGCCGGAAAAGGAGACTGCTGCAAACGAACAACCTCCCACTAGGACCGAAAGAGCAAAAACACCTGCACCGGATAAGAGCATGAAGCTCCTCAACCCCCAGAGGCCAATGCCAACAAGAAAAGAGCCTTATCAAGACAATCCTGAACCGAAGGGGCTACAATAAACTGAGGAGAAGAGAGGGCACCCAGTCTAATGACCAGGACGGCTCAAGTGCCGCATGAGCAGGCCGGAGGTGAAGCAATGCATGAGACAGCTTGTGAAATGGATCAGAAGTAACATCCACCCCGAACGCAAGTAGGAGCAGCTCCACCAGACCTGTATGATACGAAATGACAGTATTCGGCATAAGATGATGGTCCTGAAACCTCCAAGAGAGAGAGAGAGAGAGAGGACAAAACAACCCAAGCTGAAACCGAAGAGAACCTACGAAGAGACAAATGATGATGAAAGGATCGCCAGGAAACTCCATACTGCTGCTGAGATGAAGCATGCAGGTGGGACAGCATCAATAAAGCCACCTGATCACTATGTCAATGGTGATAAACCTATGCCAGAAAGACCAGACACAAAGATCAGAGAACACTGAGCTAGTCATGTACCGGTCTGGCCTGATCTGAATGAGGCGGAGCCCTGGAAAAGTCCCCGGGTTCAGACACCGAGCAAGCAGCGCCTGAAACCAAGGCTGGGCCAGCCACCTTGGGGCCATCAGGACTACTGTCCCCTTAGTAAGTCTCCAAATGAGCCAGAACTCGAAGCCCCACCTCGACCAGTCCTGCCAAAAGGCATCGATCCAGATGGCCTCGCAGTTGGGGGAAGTGTGCCACATACATTGAAAGACGCCTCGACCACACCGACGCGAAGAGGTCCACCTCCGGGCACCTGCATGTCCAGCAGAGCCAACTGAACAAGTTGGTGTCGACTGTCCATTTTGTGGATTAGGTAATGAACTGGAACAGGCCGTCCACCAGGATGCTGGACACTTCCTAGACATGAACTGCCGGGAGAGACAAAACCCGAGAACTCGGTAGACAAGTCGCCCCGAAGTGACCAGACCCAAAGAGCCGAGGACCGCATCGAACTCCCTTGGTTCAGGCAATGAACCACTTAGGCACAGTCCAAATGGAGCCAGAGCGTCAATCCGCGAGCAACATGAACCCTCCGAAGCGACTGCCACACTGCCGTACCGTTCTGTGAGCCTGATGGAAGGATGGACCCCACTGACCCTGGCCAGCCTGGTGAGCACTGGTCACAAAACCCCAACCGAGAGACGAGGCATCTGTGAACACATTGAGCGAGGGCTCGGGTAGGCGCTACTGTACTGAACCCCGAAAAACCTGAAGAGGAAGCCGGCTATGCAGCACCCGACACAAGGCCCTCAAAAGCCGAACCCATCAATTGCAAGAGCAACAGAAACCAGAACAGATGCCAAAGCCAGACCAGACTTGGCGGTTAAACCAGCACGGCGAAGTTCATAATCTCGCACAGCTGCTCGAGCAATCGACGAGTGACCTGGGACCTTTCCCAGAGGCAGCTGAAGGTGGGGGACCGCAGGCGCAGCAACGATACTGGAGAGAGAGACAAGGAAGTGGTCCTAGAGTCTCGATCAAGACCCATCCAAGTCCGAATCTGAGAAGGAACCAGATGGGACTATCGCCAGTTGACCAAGAATCTGAACTTGGCGAGCTGGGAAAGAACCAAATCCCTGGTAAGCAGACACACGGACTGGCTGGGAGCCCACACCAGCCAGTCGTTGAGGTAGGCCAGAACCCGAACCCCTAACAGAAGCAAGCTGGGCACCACGACCCAGGTAAGGTTGTAAAAATGCGAGGTGCTAGATTCAAGCCAACAAAAATGGTAAGCTTGACACCCCACAACAAAACTGAGCCAGTTCCTGAGCCCTGAATGAATTGAGATGTGCCAATACACATCTCGGAGGTCCAGAGATACCATCCAAGCATCCACCTCTAAATGAAGTCGGACCTGGTCATCCGAATGGAGGGGCAAAAGACCCAGGGGGGGGGGTCAGATGGGACAAGTCCAGAATGAACTTAAGATCCCCATAGTCCCGTTTCAGGACTGGCAACAGACAGGAAACCCACCTCAGGGGTGTCATCGTTTCGACCACGCCCAAATGCACATACTCCAAGATGACCTGACAGCACAGAAAAGGAGGCTTGCCCCACAAACCCTGAACTCCCCCAGAGGAGGAGGATCCACCCAGCGCCACTGCAGGCCAAATGAAATGACCCAAAACGCCCACAAATTGTGGGACCAGGTGTGAGCAAACATCACGAGCTTCCCTCCCATTGCTCCATCAACGGGGCGAACAGCGAAATGGCTGATTCCTCTTACGAGAAGCCGACCTACACAGAGCGAACACTGCGCTGTCCAGATGCCGCCGACTCTGAAGGAGGTGCCTGCTCTGAAACTGACACCGTTGGCCTACCACAACTGAGGGAAACCTGAACCCTGGCACAACCCTTCCGGGCAGGATCCCCACGTCCACCCCGGAGAACCAACAAGTCCGACAACTAGACGAAGCCGTCTGCAAATACTGCATGAATGCAGACTGCAAACAGCAATGAGCAAAAAGGCACCAAAAACCTAAGAGACAGGGCCCAAGCAGATTCCAAAGAGGGAGTGAGCACAGCCTGACGGCATGTGAAGTGAGAAGCGAAGAACAGACACCGCCTCCTTGAAGGTCGGCGCGTACAACGTCAATAAGGCAACTGATGCCTGAGCCGCCAAGGTAAGCGCACGGCACCCAGTGCCTCCACATCTTCCTCAAGCAAGTCCAAAGACAGCTCAAAAAGGGAAAAGAAAAGCAAGACCAAAGCCAAATGACCAAGGGCACGCAAATCCTCGGCTACAAGAGATGCCGAAAGGGCAGGAACCTGCATGTGAAGCTGCACCTGGCTGACATCCTTAGGAAGAGCAGGGGCGAACAAGCACACATTGAGGTGCTCAAATTTGCCCCCCATCCTCCCAGGTAAACCTGAACAACAGTAGATGTTACTTCCCATTTAAGTGTGTGGGTCCGACAGAGCATATGCCACGCACCCAATGAAAAGAAGGGACAGTCTGCCAACCAGGATGACTCCAGCACCTCGTAACGCACCCAATAAGAAAAAGCTGTGCCAAATCCAAACGAGGAAAGATCTATTACCGAGGCAAAATCTGGGTCACGCAGGAAGTCAGCCACAACGACCTCCCGAAACCTACCTCCTTAGGCGGGATGCAGGAAGCCGAAAATCTCTGGAAGGAAAGGACCGAGGAACACAAGTGAACTGGGAACCAAACCCGGGGAGGAGCTGTACCCATATCAAACTGGTACAGGGACCAGGGGATAAGAAAACCCCTCCTCCTGTAACAGAAAACCCTGCGCTGAGAGTATCAACATCCAAACGAAGTCAAATGGGACCCCAAGCCCCCCCCCCTCCCTAGGACAACCTTCCCCCCCCCCTCCCCAGGACAACCTTCCCCCCCCCCCCCCCTCCCCAGGACAACCTCCCGAACCCTGGGATCCTCCATGTCAGGACCCGGAGCAGAGCAGTCCTCCTAACCCAATATACCTGAAGAAAAGGCAGAGTCCTCCAGAAAGGCTGGGAAGAAAGAAGGGGGCCCACTGGTCAGATCCAGAAACTTCGGCAGGAGCCGCCGGTTCAAATGCCTCTGTTGCCGAACCGGATGGGGCAGCCCCCAAATTCGCTAGTCTCTTTCCACCAGCTAAACCCTGCCCCGATTCTGATACCCTTAGATGTTTGGGAGCCAGTAGCAGAAGGGGGAGGGGGGAGAGGGAGCAGGACAAGTAGCAGGGGAAGGGCGAGGGAGCGTGGTCGAAACTACAGTAAAGTCGAAGGGACTAACGCCCAAAGTCCGGGTCCCTATAACGAAAGCGGGGCATCCAGAAAGGCAACCGAGAGCGTTGCAGCAACCTGAACCTTGCACGCAATGCTGCTGATGCCTGCACCCACTCAACAGTATTATCAGACTGGGGTGAACTGGAGAACCAACAACGAACACCACTCGCAGGCCTCCAGGTCAAAGGTGTCGTCAACCCAACAGGCAGCATGATGGAGGCAAAAATGGTGAGTGCCACCGAGACATGGGGACAGCAACCTTAGACCTTAGAAAGATGGGACTCAGAGGACACATCCATCGACCACTGAGTACCAGTGGGCTTTTACAGGGCCCTTAGGCTGACTGCTAAGGGAAGCCCAGGCAAGGTACTGCTAACTTGTGACCCAAAACTAGCAAGAGAACAAATATAGCTGAACCCCTGTGATGTGTACAATCACAGGGGACCTAGCGGGGGACCACCAGAAAAACAGGTGAATTATGACAAAGGGACAGACCCTCACCCGGCAAAAACAAAAAGAAATAAAGCCCGCAAAAGTACAGCATCTCCAGGGGAACAAAACCGGCCTCTATTATATTATAAGACAAGCTGCACAATACCTTGTGCCCATACTAGCAATGATACTACCTCCTACCCAGGGCCAAACAGCGGCTAAGAAAACCCCAAGCTGACCCCAAGGGCAGGCAATCGCCGAGCAGCAAAAGACCCTGTGTAGGTAGTTCCCGAATGACTTGTGGAAGGCAACCCCATGCCGCAAGGGCTATACTTACAGGGCACCTAGGGAAGAAGGCCCTAGGTGCATGCAGCCCAAGTACTTCTTAAATTACTCCTGGCTTGCACACCACAACACGTAGAACAATCCCACAAGGCACAGCACTGCCAAGAATCAGGAGCCAGAGTCAAATGACCGCCACTCAACACATCAGCCTCAAAACTGGGGTTAGATAGCCAGTGCGGGTCTGGGGCTCCCTCTTCCCACTCCGGGGGGGTGGGGAACTGCAGGGACAGGCAGTGCGTGTGATGTCATGTTTGTTTTCAGATTGGGGAGTTCTGCTTGGCAGATCAGTTTTCGGTAGCAATGTTTCACCAGTTTGGGTCTGTTTTGGGGGACATACCTTTCTGGGTGCCTAACCCAGTAGATGGCAGACCAAATGCATCCAACCACATGGGGGTTTCTATAGGCCATTGCTCCTTGTGCCCCTTTAAGGGGGCCAGTTCCAAGCTCGTGATCCTAGGTAGGTAAGGACTTCAATTGAATTGACTGATGCCACGGTTTCATACATACTTATCAGCCAGGTAAAGCTCTGGGAAAACGGAGGGGCTCTCCACAGAAATAAGTATTTTGTAGGAATCTGGTCTGTGCCAAGTGGAACAAAGGCTGTATTAAGTTCATACACAACTGCCAAAAAATCCTTGAAATTACAGATTTAAAAGTAATCTTTAATCTTAATTGTAAAAGAAGAAATGATATTCATAAGTTTGTAAACAATTATGTATGGTGATTTGACTCGAGATAATTCTCTTGAAGTATATTGAAGATATTGCTAATTTTTGAGTTTTCAAGTTCCCACAGTGCTTCATGGATGCCATTATAGTAATAGCATCGTTATAAGCACGATGTCAAATGTTGAGATTTAAATGAATAACCCTAATCATTCCTTCTTAAAATTATCTTCTTTTGAGTTTAGTATTTGGAAATGAAATGATTATAACCTTTATTATTAATGAGGATGGTATTAAAGTGACCAATTAGCTGATAGAGAAGTTCTTGATGCTGCTTTTACTCATGATCCTGTTCAATCATATGTTGTAGACACAGAAGAGCCGAGGGTTGCAACAATTTCTGAAGTAGAGGATCCTACTGATCTTTCCCCTTCAAGTGAAGATGAGGAAGACCCTGGGCCCAGTACTGCACGACCAATGTATGCAGAGCCTCAGCCTTCGTCTCAAGACTATCCCGTGGAATCCCACGGAGACTCCAGTGATGTAGTACATCTAACGGGTGCGTTTAGTTGCAAAACATTTGTACTTGACTAGCGTTGTCTTACAGGTCTGATATCTAACACAGATCACATTTGTAATTTGTACTCATTTTAGACGAGATTAATTTTCAAGTTATTTTCCAAAAGTATCTTCAGAAATAATATTGCGTGCGAGACAAAATTATCGCACAACTATAAATCTTGTTCAATTTTTGTTTACTAATTGAATATGCTCACACCACATTATCTTTAGGAACAGTAAAGTGTTTTTTATAATTGCTCAGTTATTTGCACAAGGGAGATTGAGTAAAGATAAGCTTAAGCATTTATAAAAATATTCATTCCCATTTATCCAGCTGCTAATGAAATATAAAATAAATTTTATCTACCAAGTAACATGTAACAATTACATGCTTCAATGATTAAAAGAATTAATTTTGTTTCACATTTTTTTAAACTGAGCTTCTTAATTATTTAGTTCTTAGTAGGTGAAATTGGGGAAGCCAATTTAAATCTATTTGATACTGTATTGGATCAGAATGTAAGATAAATTAGCACTTGCTGGTGCAATAATTAAGGAAACTGATACTTCTCTATATAGGGCTTAAGTGGATGAAATGGAAGTTTTGTGTATACTGAGTAGTACTAACATCATCACGTGTCGGCTGGTGCACCACCACACCCAATAACGTGTCGGCTGGCACAGTGCTGGAGTAAAAAACTGAAGCCGGTTGGCCCGGCTTTCCTCTTTTTCCTAGTCGAGCCGGCTAGTTTCACCAAGTTTTCGTTTTCTTTTCTTCTAGGGGGAGTTCTTCTGATATTTTTGGGGCTTCGGTCTTTTTAAACCAGACGGTGGTTTGTTTTGATTCGCCTATCTTTCTGGGTGCCTTCTCTGGTAATGGCAAAGATGATAACCTTTAAATATAAAGTGATCATAGGCCCTCACTCTCTGCACCAAGTTCTGCCTCATGGTAACCAGTAGGCAAAAAGAACTCCGCAGCTGATGACACTAGGTAGTATGGCACTTGATCAGTGATGATAGCTTCACGGAGCCTCTGGGGCTTAGCCAAAAATTGGTGTTTCATTACATTCAACACCATTTTTCTTCAGTAGGTAGTTTGAGCTGCAAACGTATTTATTGAGGGGAGAAGTTACTTTTCATAACTATAAATAGCCCACAATGTGTGTGGGAGCACCTGCTCAGGGCTTGTGTGTGTCCATATCACATTAGAGAGAACCTTGGAAAAAACAGATTAAGTAAACAAAGATACCCTTTTTTTTCAAATTTAGTGGAATAAATTGCATCAGTAGTGTGTTCCAAAAGTATTTCAAAATATACAGTATATGCCAGAATATAAAGAAAACAAGGTACTGGGAGCTTAGATCTCTCCTTGTAACTGGAATTTGACTGGCATTCCATTCCTGTGTTAGAGTACAGTACAGCATAGTACTGTATAATTTTGAAATTAAATTGTTACAATACTGCATAGTATAGTGGAACCTTGGTTTTTGTATGCCCCTCTTTTCGGTTCTCAAGATCGGTTTCTCTGAAAAATTTGACGCGGTATTCGAGGTTGACTCGGTGCTTGAGTTTGTTGATACACACATGGGCTGACTGAGCACATGGTGTGCTTGTTTACCAGCGTCTCCCGCTTAGTGACGACCTCACTGAATTCTTTGTGAAGAATTTCATTGTTTTTGTGCTTTATTGGCTTCTGAACATAAAAGTTCTTATTATATATCCATGCCATGGGTTCCATGAAAATTAGTGGTAAAATTCAACATAAAAAAAATAGTTGAGTATGACAATAGAGGAAAAACAAGATATTCATAGTGAGACAATGTGATGTCTCACTACAGACAAGTGTTAAACGTAGGGAAAAACAAGTGTCTTTAGACAGATTCTTAGTAAGACAAGCAAGCAGTGAGCCACAACCAGGTCCTAGTGGTATGCCTGCAAAACATGAGAGAGAGAGAGAGAACTTCAGAAATGTCATCACTGCTGTTATAATGGAAGGTGACTCCCCCTTCCTATCACTAATCCCCTCTCCTCCACCTCCCCTCCTCACTCTCTTCCATACGCCAACAAAAGTCCTCAATAAAGATATACTTGTACATACTCTAGTACAAAATATATGTAGTAGTATGTTAAAAATGTATTTTTAAGTTAATATTTTTGGGTGTGGAACAGATTAATTCAACTTACATAATTTCTTAGGGGAAAATTTGGTTCGGTTTTCGAATTTTCAGTTTTCAACCCGTCTCTGGGAACGGATTAAATTTGAAAACGAAGGTACCATTGTATGTGAAATTAATGTGGCTAATAAATGTATAGCTATTATATGTTCATTGTTGTGATGCTATGCACTAATACTCATAAGACCAATGTTTACAGGAGGAGATAAAGTATGTACAGCGGATCATAGTGAGGGTGTTGATATAGTCCAAGATGAAGGATCTTTGTCTGAGGAGTTCCTGAGGGCTTCTCACAGCTTGGTGAGTAAGATGAAATTATTTACATTGCAACGGTGATGGAGGTGACACAGTAGTTCTCCTAGGCTCTTGTGGTTTGCTTGAGGTAATTACACTATATGGTTATGTTGGGTAATTTGTAATTTTGACATCTCCAGCTAGCTCGTTGTGGTGCCTGCTTATGTTATAGTACGATGAGCTTAGCAGTATTATTATTTGCCTGTTTTGGGTTTGGTGATGCACTACAGATGAATGGATATGAGTTTTAAGTAAATGAAGTGCCTGCATACCTTAATACCATAGCACATTTCTAACACTGTACTTCATTTGTGTGTTTGTGCATGCCTGAACTCTACATGTGTATAAAATATGTTTGTTTTCTTAAGATTATTGCTGGTAATCGGTTCATAGTGTATAATTTTCTGGGAGGGCTTCCTCGGTAACTCCCTGGTGCTAGCCACCCGACTAACTCGAAACGTATTGTCACTCAAGGCCCTAGTGAGTTGTAGTATCACCTACCAGAGACCAGAAGTCAAAGCTTGCTCCACTCAGAGGTACTGGGAATGGGAAATACTAGATCACCAAAACAGAGGTAAGAAGGTCAAGCAAACCAAAATAAAATGCCGAAGAAGTATCAGCACCCCTTATGACAAGGAACTCGCCAGCTAGACTGTTACCCCCCCCACTAGTTACACACCCCAACCACCAGTTGGCAGCCTTAGGACTCTGGGATCTGCCTAGCATCAATGGACCAGTCGTGCTCCTGGTGTGGGTCTGTCAACAAGTGCTTTCCATGTTTCCTCACTGGTTCTATTTTTCCAAATAAGTATTGGCTGCCTATCCTTTGCATTCTCTTGCAAGGGCCTGTACTTATATTTCCTGTATTTAATGTTTGCTTCACATAAGTATGTTTCACAACTTTACTATTGCATGGACTTTCTTTATTTACCTCGGTTCAGCTTACCCCTGCTAGAACTGGAAAGCCCCCCCCTGTGGGTCTTGGGTGTGGCTCTGCTATAGACCTGCTTGGCAAGACTACTCTTCTTGTGTGTGAGTGGTTTTTGGGGGTGCCTGTGCTTTAATTTAATTGTCATTCATTCTGCCTCTGCCAACTGCCATTAAGTTTTGTTTACATCTGGCTTTGGTTATCTTGCCATGCGCTGTCATGTGATTTGTTTTATCACTGTCATTGTCACACCCTGCATCTCTGTGGTGGGCTGGGTTTTGGCTCTGGTCCCTGGTAGGCCAAACTGAACTCCCATATCTGTGACCCATTTGGATGGAGCAGTCTCAGCAAGATTACTTCAGATAGCCACCAGAGCAAATCCTGAAAGACAGGTTTCATTACATTCAACCCTGGATTTTCCTATACAGTTTATAACTCATTGTAATATCAAAAGTTGCTCCAGTAACGTAATATCAGACCATGTATGCTTCTTAAGAATGGAATGTTGTATATACATCATATAAGATTATTTGACAGGTAACTTGAGATTTTATTACAAATTACTGTACAACTAAAATAAATTTTTGCCCTTTTTCTGGGATGGCTTCCTTTGGTGGCTTGCGACCTTGATAATTAGGCTCGCGACCAGGCCTATTGCATCATGCCAGGCCTTAACATCTTGGCTCACCTGTAATGTTCTAAGGCATTTTATCATGAATTTACCACTTTCTTAGTACAGCTAAATGTTTGAGTATTGTATTCAACTGTAAGTAGGAATTTGGTAAACGACTAATACAGTGGCACCTCGACTTAAGATTTCCCCGACTTACGATAATTTCGAGTTACGATATAAATTTGATCGGAAAATACGACTCGACTTACAGTAGTGTCGTCGACTAACAATATTCGTTGATACACGTTCGGGTCGACCGAGAGCGTCGCTCGTGCCGAACTGCCTCAGTTTACTAGAGCCGCCTGCTTAGTGACGATGACACTTAAAAGAAATTACATTTCTTTGGTGATTTTTTGCTTTTTTGAACATAAAACTGATTATTATACATCATGCCATGGGTCACAAGAATGTCAGTGGTAAGGTTCAACATATGAAAACACATGTGAGGATGACCATAGAGGGAGCTGAGCAAATTTCTTCAGGGAAGGAGGCGGCAGTACAAAATGTCCCTTCCTCAACAATCGGTAAGTTATGTAGACTGTGGGAAGAAATGCAAACTTTTGTTGAAATGACTCGCCCAGAGCAAGCTGTAGTAGGCCGTTGCCTTAACCTTTTCAATGACACTGATGCATCACTACAGACAAATGTTAAAACAAAAGGAAAAACAAGTGTTGTTAGACAAGTTTTTAGTGAGACAAGCAAGCAGTGAACCACAACCAGGTCCTAATGGCATGCAGGCAAAACGTAGGAGAGAGAATATCCCAGAGAAAGCGTCATTTCCTGATGTTATAATGGAAGGGAACTTCCCTTCCAAACAGTAACACCTCTCCAACTTCCCCCTCATCACCATCTTCTAAACGTCATTAAGAGTCCTCCATGAAGGTAAGATAAACATATGTACTGTATTGTAGTTAGAGAATTTTTTTTTTATTCAATATAAAATTTTTTAAGTTAATATTTTTGGGGGTGTGGAATGGATTAATTCAATTCCCTTTATTTTTTATGGGAAAAATCGCTTCGACTTAGGATATTTCGACTTACGATCCGTCTCTGGGAACGGATTACCATCGTAAATCGAGGCCCCACTGTATTTGCAAATTTGTGTGTCTTTTCCTGTGAATGTGTAAGATGGAATTACAGTAGTGAGTGAGCAGTTTGTTCATAAGTATACCATCAACCAAAAACACCCTGTTCTCACCTAATTGAGCTTGTGAGGCTGAGCTTCAGGTCTTTGGTCCTGCTTCTCAACTGTCAATCTTCTGGTGTACAGGTTCCTGAGCTTTTTGAGCTCTCATATCAACATTTGAAACTGTGTATGGAGTCAGCCTCCACCACATCACTTCCTAGTGCATTCCATTTACTAACTACTGACACTGAAAAAAATCTTTCTAATTCTGTCTGTGGGTCATTTGGGTACTCTGCTTCCACCTGTCTCCCCTTGTGCAAGTACCACCCGTGCAATAAACTTTTAGGGCTATGATAATATGAAAATAATGTCCTTATCTACCCCCTGTCAATTCCTCTTTAGAATTTTGTATGTGGTACCTGATAGACAATGTTTCTGTCGAAAAGAAATATGTTTTATTCACAAGTATAATCATAGTCATTTGCAAATATATCTGAAATATATACTTAATATATAATTGTTTTTTTTCAGCTACCAGAAGGCTTAGCATTTGGAGTTGAAGCAGAAGTGGCTGATCCACACATGTCTGCTGGAGCAATTGTTTTCCTGTTTATTGTTGTCTTCACTATCATTACCATCTACTTTGTTCATCTGATCATGGTTGTAAGTGTACCAGAATTTCATTATTAGATTTGATTACTTATACTGCCTTCTGCACACATTTTGTGCATGTTTTAGTGACAATAAAATTGTTATATTTGGAATGGGACTCACATGGGTCTATTCACATGAAGAGGTGATGCAATTAGCTCTAGTCGGCTATTAGACAGAAAAGAACAATTGTATTGATAGGATAACAAAAAAATGGAAAGTTTGAGAAACAGTGGTTGTCATCATTGACTTTAAGAGGACTCCTCACTGAGGTACAAGTGGTGGCCAACAGTGGCAGAGAATGTTTTCTGGATAGGCAGGAACCAGCAAGAATAATAGGTTGGTAAATATTGAATTCACATAAAATTGCCATCCATACTTCCATGGAAATAAACATGACATTCACCTGGACTTTGTGTGGGGGTCTCAAACTGTGGACCCCACGCGTGTGAGGCTGTAGCTCTACTGACTGTGCTATGAGCAGTCTTAAAGGAAAGTTTCCAGAAGCAGCATCCTGCTGCCAAACTTGCAATTAACCTAGTAGTCAGGGAAAGTTTGAGAATTCCAGTTTAGCAGCAGGATGCTGCTTCTGGAAACTTTCCTTTAAGACTGCTCATAGCACAGTCAGTAGAGCTACGGCCTCACACGCGTGGGGTCCATGATATGAGACCCACCCAGTCCAGGTGATTGGAATGTTGAGTTCACATGAAACACTATTAATGAATGAATGCTTCATGGGGAAAACTAAAGGAATCAGTTCAATGGCTTTGCAAACTGTAAAGTGTGCTTAAAATGATATAAAAAATTTTTTTGGCAGAGGTAAGTTGGTGGTGCGTGAGAACTGAAGAACTATTTCACTTTTGGTGCATAATCCCAGTCGAAGCAGGAAATGAGTAATAACCTGAGCCAGCATGTGTGTGGACCCATGAGCCAGACTAGATCAAATATTCTCTAAGTTTGATGCAAGTAATGAGGGAGGCAGCCTGCAAAAGTCGATACAGTACAGTGTATATGCCTTGTAGGTCAGAGGGAGGAGGGGAGGGATCAAATTATGATTAATGTAAACATTTCGTAAATTACGCTGGCTATGATTTGTGTGATTTTGCATTAAGTAGATCATGGCATATTCGGTAAAGAAATTTTATACAAAATTTTGAAATGCAATCTGAAAACTTTGTCTCGGTGGCTTAATTAAGCATGGATTAACAGGGATTAATGTTATAGAACTCCAGATTTTAAAATCTATGGTAAACTAAAGCAAGAAAATTGGATGCTATGAGCATTGTTATTTTCCTGTAACTACAAGTAGTTTATCACACCTGCAAATTAATTTGCATTGAAAGCATGCAACTAACTTTATAAATTTTTTATGATAGACAAATTGAAAAGATTTTGTCACTGTTTGACAATATGGTTAAATTTTGTTATTAAATGAATACAGTTCCAATAATTTAAAAGATAACCTACTATATACAGTGGAATCTCGGTTTTCAAATGCCCTTGTTTAAGAATTTATCGGTTCTCGTGCTCAATTTCTAATTTCTTTGAAATATTTGACTCTGTATTTAAGGTTTGCCACGGTGCTAAAGTTTGTGTTCCTTGATTGTTGATTTGACCTTCCACTCATTACATTTTTGCTTTCTACTGTTAACTAATGCCATTTACTCCAATACTGAAATTTAATAACCAAAAGAAGCTTATTGCATTCAGTTTTTGTTTACAAAATTTATCTAAAATCTTAAAACAAGTAACTTGTCGAGGCTAAATAGGGTATTAATGCAATGCCAAGTGAGATATGGGTAGAGAGATCATTGTGTGCTACACCTAGTGTTATGTACTGTATTGTTTCTCTTTCTCTTTATACTTAATTTTATTCCCATTCCAGAAAGCTTCTCGTGAGGCTCCCATGCTGCGAGCATTAAATCATGTTGAACATCAGAATCGTTTAATGGCTGAAGAAAATACATCCTTGCATGAACAGCTATGTAAAGCACGAGCTGAAGTGAGTAAAGTAGCTAAGATTGCATAAATCTGCTGTGAGAATTTTTATATTTACTGTACTTATTTCTGTACTTCAAGAAATGTCACATAATGGGAGTAAGAAGTAAATGCTCCCTCAAACATTCAGTTTGTGTTTGTAGCAAGTCGACAAAAGTCAACAAAAATTTCAGACACTCAGTAGCCACCAAGATAATTTTCCAAGATTTATTTTTCTTTTGTAAAGTGGCATTTTGAAAATTTTAGGTTTGCAATATTTTCTCCCTTTTCTTTGTATTCTTTTTATGTTTTTTTTTTAATTTACTTGCATGTTAATCTGTCATAATCTTTTGCATGGTTTTTATATTCAGTTGGAGGCTGTGTCATCAAGTGTCATGGGATCAGTTGACGATATTATAGAGCCAGACTCCCGACTTGAATTAATTAAGGTTAGATACTGTGAAGTCTTCTATTATTACTAATTATTTGTTAGTATAAAATATATTTTGTGCGGGGAGCCCCTTGTGACCCCAACTACTAGGTCACATCAGCTGCAGAATTGTGTTTGGTCTATTAGGGACCACAGCCAGGACATGGCTCCCCTCTGAGGTGTAGAGAGCAGGTGACTCCTCCACCCCACTGGGAAATCATCCAGAAAGTTAGCAAACCAATACAGACCACTACTGGATTCTAACAGACTGAAACCTCAATACAGTACTGCCAAAGCTCTCCCAACAATGTAAACCAATGATTGAATCAATCAAAACAAACGTGAGCTTGTTTGCACTACCCCCCTCACCAACTGTCAGAGCTCCTGGTCCTTTCCTGTCTTCCACATCAGTTTTGTTGATGTATGTGAAGGTTTACTATGGGGCTTCTGGGTCATTATTAAATAGTGTGGGACCTGCTGCTTTTAAGCCGAGTGCCAGCCATCCTTGGACTTTGTCCTGTGGGGACCATTTGCTTAGTCTTGTTCCTTCATTGTTACACTTTGAGTGTTTTCTGTCTGGTTTGTGCTGTATGGAAGTGGCTTATAGTGTTCCTGGAGCTCTTATGTGCTCAGGGTTACATTCCTGAGTGATTGCTGGTACTGCCCCTGCACTGAATGAGTTCCTTTATCTGGTGTGTTGGGGCGTTTGATTTTTTAGACCACTGAAGACCAGAGGTGGGTGCCTTCCCTTGGGCAAGTCAGGAATCTTTCTGCCCTTCTGTCTAAGCCCCTTGTTGTGGGCGAGTATTTAGGCTGGTTGGGGCACACTGTTAATTAACACTTGTTTGTATGACATAGTTTGGCACTTATGGCACGTGTTGACTAGGATGTGTTGGCCTATTTTTTAATATACAGCAAGTCTTCTCAGTGCCTGGGTGTTGTGCTTAGTTTGTCCCCTGGTCCCTAGGAATTCCCTGTGGGTTTTGGTGTGGTCTCTCTCTGAATCTGTTCTTTCATGGGAGCTTCAGGGCTATTTGTCATCTTTACCATGGGGTGACAAACATTCTCCCTGCCTCCACCATGCTGCCTGGTAGGTTAGTAACACTTACGGCCCTGAGTCCTGTGGAGTTTGCTCTCCCCTCATGGCTCTTTTCTCTGACCCTCATGATAACGTTCAAGCTTATCAGGCAGCTTCCACATTGTGGGTTCCTCTGACTATCTTCAGCGGTCTCAGTTGTGTGCCCGGTTGGATGTCCTAGAGTTGTCCCATCTTGTTTTTAGCGACTCAGAATTAAAGTGTTTGTGAATTCCACATTGGTTCTGTCTGTGCCTCCAATGCTTACCCCTTTGGGTGTGGGAGAGACTGCTTTTGTTCTCATCCTTTCCGTCCTCCCCCATGCTCCCAGTTCTGAATTGTTGAAGGGTTTCAGAGCCAGGCTGGGCTGTAGCTCGGGATGGGGCTTGTCTGTCTCCAGGGTTGGCTCCTTCCACTTCAGGCATGGAGAAAGTTGAGCTATCCAGCCTTGCCAAGTTTTCTGGGTTTTCTTCTTTTCGGCCAACACTTTCCTCCGAAGCCTCTCCCTTGGACTCTGTTTTCCTGTTCCGAGCAGTAGGCATGGACTCTGGCTCTGCCCTTGAGCCTTTGTTTGGTTTTCAAGGCTTTGGGGAAGGGAGTCAGATATGTGGTCTTGGGTTCCTGTGGGGATGAAGGACCTGGTCCTTCATCCAGGTGGGATGAAGTGCTGCCAACTTTTATATGCTAGGGTACAGATGTAAAAATAAAATGGTGTAAAAATTTTATTTTGACATAGTTATTGTAATAAATCAAACACTGAGGAAACCGAGTATAAACATTTTAGGTATTGCTGAGCAGGACTATTTAATAGCTGGAATGTTGATGGGAAATGCACAACATGTTGGAATATTAGTGTTAACTTGTAAAATTGCAATTGGTGCATTTAGCTGTGGAATAATTTTGTATATAAAAATGATCCTAAATAAGTCAATATATTTTACAATGTGTAATAAACAGTATTTTTATAGTAACCTGTATTAGTAATTTGATAATTGCTTGCCAGAGTGAATATGATAAAGAAAAAGCACAGCAAGAAGAAAGGATACTTCAGCTGGAACATGAGCTTGAGGAAGCAACATCAAATGGGTTAGAGATGCACAAGATGCTGTCAGAAATGTTGTCTGCACAAAGAGATACATCAGCTTTCCAGGTAAGAAACTATACACAATAATGATTATATCATTTATCATAATTAGTCCCTATTGTCTCCCAGCTTAGATAGGAAGGGCCCTTCCCACGAAGGATTGAAAAGTGTTGTAGAAAAGAGGGCTTAATTAATATAATAGAAATAATGCAATAAATAAATGACTAGCCTATGAAAAACATAATAGATTTCCCTGCTTTGAAAACATTCTTGGATTTCATTTTCTTTTGCTTCTTCTTACAACAAAGAATTGTCAGCAAATAAACTTACTTGTTAAGTTTAATCTTAAAATACTGTACTTCATATATGGAGAAAATTGACAATAATTGACGAGTAAGGAGGGTGCCTGAGGAGTGTTTTGAGAATGTGTAAATGCAAAATTTAAAAATTTATTATGTATTTTATGTTTTTCCTGTATTTTGTGTGAACATATAAATGTGTATACAGTGGACCCCCGATTCAGTGAGCCTCAATTCGCCGAATCTCTGGTTATGACGCACATTTATCAGGCCGGATTTACTCGTTCGATTCGACGAACTCTGGTTTGCCGACACTGGAAATGTGGGGATTTGCTTAGGATGTCGGGACAGAGTTCACAGACTGGTGGAAATATTTCCCATCATATTACAGGATAAAATGTTAAATTTACCTTCATGTGACAGATTTAATCCCACCCCTCACCGCCATTCTCCCTCCCCTCACTGGCTCCCTTCCTCCGCTGCCCTCACTGCCTCTGTCCCTCCCTCACGTTGGTATCCACCATAGTGGGAATAGAAATGTTTGTTTATAGTTGTTGACATCCTTTGTTACCGTCATGCACAAGGTGTTTACAAGTATAAATGGTGCCGCAAGAGGATTCGAGCAAAATGTTGCGTACAGTATACTATATACAGTATGCCTTTTCTATGGTACACAAAGATACAGTATGATTCATTATTGTACAGTTTAGTAGTACTGTATATAACAACGAATTATTCTTTATTTATATTACTACAAAAATGCATTACACAAATGGCTCCCGGAGGCATCTTGCAACTCTGGTTGCAATGAATTTCTCACTAATGTATTAAGGATGGTCCCAAATAGTTTGCTGAATTAGGGGGTCCACTCTACTATCAGTTTTACATAAGGAAAACTTGCCAAAATGTATTGAAAAAAAAGAATAAAAATAAATATTTAATTCTTAAGCTGATGATGAGTCACAGTAATGTGGCTGAAGACGTGATGACCATCCACACATCACGAAATGGAGAAACGACGTTTCGGTCCATTTTGGACCATTGAGTTGTGTGTTAACCTGGACCATTTATCATCACATGATTTGATAATGGTCAAGGACAGACCGAAACGTTGTCGTTTCTCCATTTTCTGATGTGTGGTTTGGTCATTATATAATTCTTAAAGTTCAGGTGGTGTTCTAACCAATGTAGTCCAAATATTTTAGGTTACATTGTACAATATTATTTTCTTGAAGTAATAATTGATCATAAAATCAGGTGATTTGGCAGTGAAAAAGTTGCAAAACAAAGTACTTTATCAAACTACATCTTTAGAGTACTGTACTTTAAATGAATAAACTTGATTAGCCTTTATTTTATTTGTGCTTCTTGCAGGCATCAGTTGATGAACTTCAAGCAATGCTTGATGGACAGCAGGAGAAAGTCGAAACTTTGACTTCCAATTTGGCATTGAAGACTCGATTAGTAAGTCTGAACATTCTCTTTAGTGGTGTGCACATTTTATAATTCACAGGGATTTCATTATTTTTATAAATTGGCATTTTGGTATCATCAGTATGTGTTGCAAGTTATGTTGACAACCATAAATTGCCTCAGCAGATGAATGATGGAATCCCTAGTTATCATAATAAAATTGTTTCAAATAAGCTTTTGTATAACCAAAAAGTGGATGCTCATGCTGGACACAAGGATAATTTATGAGCACTATGTTGTATGGTAGAGTAGTCAATTTGATAATTTTCTCGATTTAATATGCCTTTTCTACATACTGTCATACTATTTAAATATTCCATTTATTTTATGCTGATTTTCTGTGGAGAGCCGCTACGGCTCCCTAGAACTATACTGGGCTGATGTGTGTGTGTGTGTGTGTTAGTCCATGACAACAGTCAATCAATGGAGTTCTTAGCCTACCGGGGACCATGAGCCAGAACCTGGCCCCTTCACAGAAGCACGAGAAGCAATGACTTGTAGAAACCTCTGTGTAATTGGAAGCAGTCTGTCTGCCATCTACCACGTCAGGCACCCAGAAACGTAGGGATCCCAAAACTACAGATAATGAAAAATTGCAAACCTAAAGCCAAATGAGCAGGAAGAACACCCCAATCAGAAAACAAGCAAACAAGCATGACGTTACACAGCCGATGCGCCGCTGTCTGTACAACTTCCCCCTCCTTTGGGGCAGGAAGGGAGAGCCCCAGACCCCTCGCGCCGGCTATCCAACCTCGGGTTAGAGGCTAAATATAAAAAACGTGAAAAACCGCCAACAGGAGGAAGTGAGCAATGCCAGGTAGCTCCAAGGAGCCCATTCGGCTCCCTGGAGCACCTAACCGAAGATAAAAGAAAAGAGGGACTTGCCCGGGAGGCGGCCACCACTCACTCCTCAACTCAGTTGAGACAACTGGTTGCAACCTGTGACCCAAGGCTACACACGTCCATAGTAGGGCCAGGAACATTAACGAGGTACAGTACCGTGCAGCCAGGACCCTGTTTGACCTCCTAAAGCCCTGTGCCAGAATGTGAGCCCAGGACATGTTACCAAAAACAGCAGCCAAAGCTGCGACCTTACGAATGTCGTGGGCACGGGGATACACAGCAAGCTGGCTGAACTGAATTATCCTGCGAATGACCTGGGAGACTTGTGCCCTGAAACAGGGAAGAAGGGAAACCAGGTCAACCCAAAGTGCATCCCTTGCCACGGAGACCATGGCACGCATGTATTGGTGAAGAGCCACAACCGTGATGAAATGATGCATCATGGACACAAGACGTGATGCACCCCCTGCCGAACCAACCAAGCATCAACAACCCAAGGATCCCTCCGGAAAGCAGCAGTCTCATTCTTTGCCAGAAAAGGAGACGGTTGCAAATGAACAAAATGACCACCAGGACTGACGGTGTTCGTTTCACCTCTGGCCTGCATGGGCAGGCCGGAGGTGAAACAACGCCCAAGAAAGCTTGCAGAACAGAAGTGACATCCACCCCGAATGCAAGCTGAAGTGGCTTCATCAGCACCAAACAATATGAGGCGACAGTATTCATCATAAGATGACAGTTTTTGAAACAACCAAGAGAGAGGACAAAACAACCCGATCAGAAATCGAGGACAACTTACAAAGAGTAAAGAAGTGCTGAAAGGCCCGCCAGGAAACTTCATACTGCCGCCGAGACGAAACTCGCAGGTGGAACACCGTCAACGAAGCCACCTTATCTCCACACAAGTGGTGATAAACCCACGTCAAAAAGACCAGATGCAAAGATCAGAGGAGAAGATCAAACTAGTTACATACCAGACAGGACTGAGCTGCCGAAAGAGCCGAAGCCGCAGGCACACCCTCAGGTTCGGACAACGAGCAAGCAGCGCCAGAAACCACTACTGGGCTGGCCACCAAGGGGTTAACAGGAATATTTCCCCCTGGTAAGTCTCCAAGAGAGCCAGGAACTAGAGCAACAACCGAACTGGGGGCGAAGAGGTACAGGTAACCCCACACCTCGACCAGTCAACTCGAAAGGCATCGACTTCGACGGCCTCGCAGTCGGGAAAGGGCGCCGCATATATCGAAAGACGCCTCGACCAGGCTGACGCAAAGAGGTCCACCTCTGGGTGCCCGAACATCCGGCAGAGCCAACGGAACGAGTTGGCGTTGACCGTCCTTTCCGTGGACAAGGGAATGAAATGGAACAGGCCATCTGCCAGGATGTTGGACACTCCCACACTCGTGCGAGTCCCACACAAGACCCAGCCAAGTCTGAACCCGAGAGGGAACCAAATGGGACTTCCTCCCGTTCCAAGAACCCGAACCCGGCGAGCTGGGAAAGAACCAAATCCCTGGCGAGCAGACACACGGACTGGCTGGGAGCCCACACCCGCCAGTCGTTGAGCCAGAACCCCAACCGCTAACAGATGCAAGTGGGTCACCACGACCTGGGTAAGGCATGTGAACACTTGAGGTGCCAGATTCAAGCTGAATGGAAGGCAACGAAAGCGGTAAGCTTGTCTCCCCACGACAAACCCGAGCCAATCCCTAAACCCCAGATGAATCGGGATGTGCCAATATGCATCCCATCCAGGCACCTGGCGCCAAAAGCAGCCAGACCTGAGACAAAGTGCCTCTTTGGTTCCTCTCAATTTTTGCTTGTGTAAGAAAGGTCATGGGATAGGTGACAATCGGGTACACCTGCCCAAGAAATCCTCTTGTAGGATTCACCACTGATTCCTTGGGGCACGACCACTCAACTGACTTCAGGTTGCCCCTACTCATTGCCACTATTTAAGAGAGATGTCATCAATCGCCCTCCAACAGCTTCCTTGCGCTTCACTCACGACGCTACTCACAAAATCTTCTCCATAAGCCACAAATAACTTTCTTCCTCTGGAGCTACGATGTGCGTCTTTCTCTTCAGACTTCCTCATGACAAGTGACGTCCTAAGACCTTTGCATGTGACATGCTCCCGCAACGACGTCATTTTTGCACACGGCACATCATATACAGTTGACATCTCGCCTCCAGGTGACTTGTCCAAGTGCTCATCCATGACTTATCTTCCCCTTGGTCATATTTAATGACAGTTGCTGGCACTATTTAATTCCCTGACTCCTCACTATGGCCAGATAGGGAATAACTCACACTGTGGGGTAGATCTGACTCATGAGACTACATGGATGCTCATAATGCCTCTTTCTGTGGTCCTCTGTTCAGGACATAGCAACAGAACCACTGAAGGACCCATCAGGTAGTCATATTATTACATTCAATGCTGGCTCTCTCATTTATATTATAATTTTTAATTCACAGAATGAAGAACTTCAGAATGAGTTATCTCTATCACTGGAGCGTACAAACAAGCTTGACTATCAAGTGCAACAGGTCAGTGTTATGTTATATAAACCACATTTTGTCAGTCAATTTCCTAATTTGTCATTGTTGTATTATGGTGTCCTTATGTAGTAACTCGTACTTGAATGCATAGCTGTATGTCTGGGTTGTGTGATGTTCCCTTTGTTATTCAGTATATACATTGATGGAGGCTCATGATATAGGTCAGGTAAGTATGTTAGTTGGGTGTAGATCTTGTGTTTAGCCTAATGAGTTACTTGACTATTCTGTACATTCAACACTTTATATTATTTAGCATGGAATGATCCCTATGGTAAATTGTTTACCTTCACTGGCACAGTTTTCTCATGCCACTTTTGCTTATAATGCCCAACTGCATTGTTGACATTAGCCAGACTAGCTTTCTCTGGCACTTTGCTTCATCACCTTCACTCTGAACCTAACATTCAGAAGTATAAGTTTCAGCCTGTAAGATACAAGAGTTGTCATGTTAGCATTGTGTGCAGTGCACTTTAGTCTGTGAGGATAACTTCTCTATAATTTCTCAATTACTGGGTAGCTCTGCTTTCTACTTAAAATTTATCACTAAATATTTTCTCTGGTTTGCTGGTAGATGTAGTCATTGTTCTCTCTGCTTGTATTTTGTACTAACATGATAGTAGAATGTTCAGTGTTTTCAACAAATTATCAAGGAATGAGATATAATGACAAGCTGTGCAGAGTACAAACACTATGCTGTGTTTGTAGTGTGCAGTGTTTGGTGTGTGCTCTCCTGAGAGCTACACTAGTAGTGGCTCAGGCTGTCACACTGAGAGGTCGGTGACTTGTACAGTACAAGGAGAAAGTTGGTCTGGAGAATGATTGTGTGGTCAAAATTAGGAAACCAGCTTGTACTGTATTCAGTTTTTAGGGTTTATTTAACCTTTTCTTATGGCAATGAATTAATATCATCTATAAATTTTCAGTTAACACAGTCTCTTCAAGAACTAACTACTACAAAAGAAGAAACAAACAATAGATTTGAAAGAGAAACTATGCTTGTAAAGGAATTAACGGAAGCCAATTATTCCCTTTCTCAACAAGCCAATGAATATGACTCTAAGATTTCATCATTGAGCAGTGAACTTGAGGAACTAAAAGATACAATCTCTCAGCTGCGGGAAAGTGTGGAAACCAAAGAATCGGAACTGCAGGTAAGATTTAAAAATGATAAGTAATGAATGTATGGTTGGAAGTGTAGATAGTAATCCTAAATTGATATGAATAGTATTAAATATAGCCCTGTGATTTAAGTGCTACAAGTACAGTATAAAAATGTTAGAATTTGGGGTGTTGTCAGCTCGGTGATGCAACTCGAAATTATGTGTAATGATACTTAAGTGTCAAATGTATCTACAGGTTTCTAAGGAGTGTTTTAAACAACTTCGACTTACCTCGGATGATGATCTTGCAGCACCAGATGAAGAAAAGCTGTCGGCATTGTTTGATGTCGTTAGAGTAAGTATACATAATACTTAGTGTTGACAACTGCAGTTTTAGCGTAAGTGGTGAATACATCATAGTATAATGATAGAAACTTGAACATCATGTGAGCCGTTGATGACCAAACTTGCATATCTTTTATCAGCAATTTAGTTTACCCAATTCTAATATATGTACAATGGCACCTTGGTCACATGAGTCACAGCCAATTGGAAGAGGAGCCACGGGGTTGTTGGAGGCGGAGAAGGGTTGAGTGGGAGTGATGGAAGTGAGAGAGGAAGGATAGTGGGGTGTAAGTGATGGAGAACTTCTGCAACCTGTCATCCCCAGAAGGTTGGGTGGAGGAAGTGATGTTGGAATGGGGAGGGGTAAAGAGGGAGTGTTGGGTATAGGGGTTGGGATGGGGAAGGAGTGATATATGGAGGTCAGGTCAATTGGCTGGTTTAGAGAGTTCATACACAATTCCACCAGGACAAATTCCTCCATCCTAGGTGTTTATTTTAATTAGATAATGATGCATGGATGGAGAATTTAATTGGGTAAACCTTTACAGAGCACAATAAAGTAGCTGTCACAACTGCAAGAAAAATGACAGGTTGGATAACAAGGACCTTCCAAACAAGGAATGCCATAAAAATGATACTTTTCAAGACATTAGTGCTCTCTAAGGTGGAATATTGTTGCACTCGAAGAGCCCCATTCAGAGCCGGAGAAATTGCTGACCTGAAGAGCGTGCTGATCCTTTACCGCTAGAATCCACTCTATAAGTCTAATATTTGGACCGATTAAAAGTTCTAAATCTGTATTCTCAAAGCGCAGGTGGGAGATACATAGAATCAACATGTGGAAGATATTAGAGGGGGGGACTGGTTCCAAATCTGAACACACAAATAACATGACACAAGACCAGTAGGCTGACAGGATGTGCAGAATACTCCCATTGAAATGTAGAGGTGCAATAGGTACTCTGAGGGAGAACTCTATCAACATCAAGGGCCCAAGACTTTTCAACACTCCCGCTACACGTAAAGAGCATAACTGGCCCGCCTCTGTGTTCGAGAGAACTCTACAAACACTTCCAAAGAATACCTGATCAACCAGGCTGTGATTCATACGTCAAGCTGCGAGCAGCCGTGTCCAACAGCCTGGTTGACTAGACAACCAACTGGGAGGCCTGGTTGGAGACCGGGCCGTGGGGCCACTGATTCCAGGAAGGTACACAAGGTAGGTAGGTAGGCTGCCTGGATGGTGAATTGTGTTAGATAAGGCTGCCTTGTTTTCTGCCTTGATAGGTGGCTGCTTGCCTAGCTACTAGTTAGTTTAACTTGATCCATGGTTCAGAGTTAAGATGTAATAGAACTGGTTACCACATAGGCCATACTAAGGCAAAGATGCTTTACCAAGCTCATCTAGCTTTACTCCCTCCAAACACACGACGAAACTATGATGTTGCTGCAACATTCGAACAAGTTGTAACACCTTCCAACAATTGTAACAACTTTCTAGCATGTAAGAACTTTAACATGTCATAAAAACTTTATAACAAGATGTAACAACTTTGTAACAAGTTGTAACAAGGTAACAATGAGGATTGCTATATTATGTGTTTGCAGGGTTAGAACATACCAAAAATGGTATGGAGAAAGGGATGTAAATGTGAGATAATCTGGTTAAATACCTGTGTATCCATCTAATTCTTTTATTTTTTGAATGTCCTTTTTCATATTAATTAATATCACTTTATTTTTCTTTAAAGATGTAAGTATAACTTTTTGATTTATGCAACAGGTTAAGGCTGAGCTCCAAAGGGTGAACAGGGAACGTAACGAACTCGGCGAACAGCTACAAGAGGCCAAAACGGCGCAGACAAATTTAGAAGAGACAGTGTTGTCCCTTCGTTCTGAGGTAGCAGAACTGCGGGCACACCATGATCTTGCTATTCAAGAGAAGCAAGAAGCACTGAGCAAATTAGCAGTTTTGTCACAGTACTTTGGAGAGAAAGAAGCACATCTTACCAAGTATGCTATTTTCATTGTTAATTTAGTTTACAGACATTAATATTTGAATATTATTTTTTTATCAATATAAAAAATTACCCCCCCCACTCTGAATATTTTTTTTTTACGTTCTCCTCGAATAATTCTAGGGATAGATGGATGCGAGCCCCTTTTTTTGTCTCGTCATGCTGTGCTTCTTTCTGTATCCCATCTCCTCACTCAGCCCCCACCCGGCCCCCCACCCGGCCCCCCACCCGGCCCCCCACCCGGCCCCCCACCCGGCCCCCCACCCGGCCCCCCACCCGGCCCCCCACCCCACTTTGCCCCTACCCACCCCATTTAGCACCTTCCCTACTCGGCCCCCACCCCCCACTTAGACCCCGCCCGCACTCGGGGCCCCCCCCCCACTCTCCAATTGGGCCTCCCCCCCACACCCCACTCATCTCCGCCCTCCCCTGCTCAGCGTTCCCCTATCCCCCACTCGGCGCCCCTTCACCTCTGGCTTTATGCCTCCTTATTGTACCTTTACAGCAAATAAGTCTTGGTATAATCCTTCATGAATCTGACTGTCAACATTGATTAATGCCTTTGTTCCTATATAGGCATCCAGAGTGAGATCTAGGGACTTTTGTCTCCCATCATGAGAATTAATTTTAATAAGTTTATATCTACTGCAGCAGGGCACTGTTTTATTGTTTAATACCTTGACCCCACTTAGTTAATAGTAACAATTATTTACATCATAACACAATAATAAATGCTTTAAGTAATCAGTATATGAGAATTCAGCCAAATCTTGTTCTTCAAATATTTAAATTGATAGGTTATATATGATCATCTGAATTAACAATTAACACTTAATATTAATAAGAATTAATACAAACATTTGGATGGGTTTAAAACCTGTGATAACAGATCTCTTGTAAGAGAAATGGTGGTATATATGCCAATCAAAATGGTACCAAATCAATTTGGAAAGAAAACCATAAACTACTCTTTGTAAATTGTAGATAGTGGAATCTAAGTGTCTTGAGTCTTTCTTTTCTGTCCAGACTCCACTGGCTCTCCTTCAAACCAGGTACAGATTATTTTCTTTATAAACTGTGAGGAAAATTTGGCATTGTGGCAAGCTACGAGGTAGACGTTTATTTATTTCACTGCTCACTTTTTTTTTTTTTTTTTTTTACATTTCAATTTAGTCTGATAACTTAAGTACATTAATATTCTGTTAATGAAGTATGCAGTATTGCTGTTCTTTAAACGTCCAACAACATTCTTGGTTGTCAGAAGCAGCCATTAACGACGTATTGCATGTAATCTTGTTGGTGGAAATGCGTGCACTTGTTTACATTCATTCAGAGGGAATAAATAGTTCACTATTGTAAACATGCATACTGCCTTGGCTGGAGTTGTAAATCTCACTTTCCACAGATACATTTATAGCTTTGGTTCATCATTAAACTGTAAAGCATATTAAACGGGTCCCTTTCTTACAGTATTGTTGCCACAAAGCAAAGGTATTATTTAAACATATTTTACTTTTAAATTCTTCAATTTTTTGGGGATATAGATGGCTTAGGTCCCTTAAATTTTCAGAGAGAGAGAGAGATGGGTTATATTATGGGAGAGAGAAAGGGGGAGGGGATAGGAGGGATGTTGGTGGGGGAAAGAAAGGGGGAGGGGATAGGAGGGATGTTGGTGGGGGAAAGAAAGGTGGGAGAGGGAAGATGCTTCCTTGTGTAGCTTGCGGGGATCAATGATCCCAAGGCCCAGTCTCCGACCAGGCCTACCAGTTGGTCGTCTGATCAACCAGGCTGTTGGATGTGGCTGCTTGCAGTCTGACATATGAATCACAGTCTGGTTAATCGGATATACTTGGGAGACTTTTAATCGGTCCCAATAATAAAGATGAACTTGGAGTGGATTCTAGCAATAAAGAATCTTTGCACGCTCTCCAGGTCAGTAATTTCCCCGGCTCTGAATAAGGCTGTTAGAGTGCAACAATATTCCACCCTAGAGAGCACTAGTGTCATAAAAAGTATCATCGTTGGTATGGCATCCTTTGTTAGGGTCTTGTTATCTAACCTGTCATTTTTCTTGCAGTCGTGACAGCTATTTTATAGTGTTCTGTTAAGGTAAGGTCTTTTGATACGATTACTCCTAGGTCCTTTACGTTGCTTTTTCGTTCTATAGTGTGACTTGATTCCGTTTTATACGTGGTTTCCATTTTTAAATTTTCATTTTTTCCATAGTGCAGGAGGTGAAACTTATTTTCATTACCCAATAGCTGCTGTTAATTGCTGACAACCCCTGGTGTGCTCGAGAAAAAAAATTGTTCTGAAAAAAATGTTTGTTCTTGTGATATTGTTAATTAGCCTTCAGAAAGCAGAAAAATCAAATAAAAAGTGTGTAGCTCTTGTGGTTTAGCTGTAGTGGCCTGGAGAAGTGTCTAGCTCTTGTGGTTTAGCTGTAGTGGCCTGGAGAAGTGTCTAGCTCTTGTGGTTTAGCTGTAGTGGCCTGGAGAAGCTGCATATCTTTAGGTAAAATGAGTTGAGGTGCCGCATGGGAATAACTTTGTTGATATATTTTCATTGTTTCTCACTTTGTTTTCATGCTAATAGGTTGTATTTGTGTGTCAAAGGTAATGTCTGTTATGTATAACCCTTAAACTGCACAACACATCAATAGCTGTGGTGAGTAACTGTCATGGAATTGTGCACCACAACTATTGATATGTTGGAGTACCACACAAGATTTAAGTCCTGTGGCTACACAGGGTTCACATCTGCTTCCTCAGGGCTCTTGTAAACACACCATTTTTTGTTTAAATAGTGGGCAACATTCCTGGGTGTGAAAGCCTCAATACTGAGTGAGCCACCAAGGCTGGTGCATGCAGCATGAGCTAACAGCACTGCTGTTCAGCTTGTGACCACAGCATTGCCCAAAAAATGTAAAAATATATATGTAACTGGTTATTTTTAGCAATAATAGTATTACAGAAGACCCCTGACTGTGATAAAAATGACCAGGATTCTGATAATAGCAGGATTGTTGTGACAATTAGCGCTGTGCGTAGTATGGTGGGAAGAGTAATGCTGAGGGAGGGGAGGTAGCTTCGTCTGCTGACTCTGTGTGGCCACCTGTTATTGTCAATCACCATATCAGCTTAGTGGTTCTCTATAGTGAACACAAATGTAGATACTTATATACATAACGTGAGTATATAGTGTATTAACAGCACAAACAATATGGTGGGGGGAGAAATCTTAGTGAAGGAGGGAGGCAGCATCAACTGTGTGTTGCAACCTCTGTTGCCGTCTGAACTCGCCATACCAGCTTTGTTGTACAGTTATGGTGAACAAAACGTGTAGATACTGTACTTGTATATAATGTATATATATATAGTGTAATAACACCACAAACAGTATGGATGAAGGAGTATTGTTAGGGCGTCTGGCCTTGAACGAGTGAGGGGGGGGGGGGGAGGCAACGTCGGCATCGCTGTGGTATGTGACGATCTCTGATGCTGTCTGAAATCACCATACCAGCTAAGTTGTACAGTTATAGTGAACAAAACGTGTAGATACTTGTATATAACATCTGTATATAGTGAATAAAAGCAAAAACAGTATGGTGGAAGGAAGTGTGTTGGTGAGGTGAGGGAAGGTGGCGGCATTTGCTGGCTGGTGTGTGGCGCCACTCGTTGTTGGTATGACTCGCCCTACCAACTTGGTGGTTCATTATGGTGACCAAAACATGCAGATACTTATATATAACCTGTGTGTATATAGTGTAATAATAGCAAAACTATTTGTTTATGGTTGTATGAACATAATAATTGAATCACTAATATGCACACCAAAAATTTTGAGTATAGCGATTATTCACCCCTTTTATTATATAAATATATCACACTACACACTATTGAATAATATTACTGTAAAAAACTAAGGAAAAATCAGGGACATTGAAATAATTATGTAATAATATGTGGCAATTCCCGCCTGACAGCTCTGGCGAAGCTGACACGTCTCCAACAATTGCTCTGTGAACGTCTGAATTTTGCCAGACTTCCTCGCACTATTGCGGCCAAAATATGTCGCCTACAATTTATTTTTAATTTTTCCTGTGGTCAGGTAACGTAAATGAACACTTTTACACAAGATTTTTTTTTGGGCATGTTGCTGGGCATGTTGCAGGCTATAATCATAAGAGCAGCCCAGGGGTTAAGGGGCTGGGAAACAATAAATATTGCCTAAAAATAAAATATTTTTGAAAAATTCCAGTGAAATCACGTGGGCTGTGGCATCGGATTCGTGAAAAGTTTATTCAAACATGTTTATAAATATATATTTTACGAATAAATCTTTGCTGGCACTACCGTACGGTCACACACGAGTGTTGACAAATTAGGATTTACTGCAGAAACATTGGAGAAATATATAGAAATAATACTGTATCTGTGAAACTTGGCAAGCACGCATTCCATGCGGGAGATTAAGGTCTCCGCTGTGTCGAGTCAGTAGCGTGATGGCTTTCACAGAGAGAGGAGGTGCAACATGCTCATGTTTCGATGCACTATTTTGTCATGGCGTATCCCACAGTTTCATCACAGCTGCATCGTTCTTGCACACACTGCCTTATGTGTCTCAAAAGAAGAGGAAGATGAAGGAACGTGCACCTCATGCCATATTACTTATATCTAAAACTAGATTACAACTTTCAGTCGGCTTCAATAATCCAGTTTGACAGATTCTCACCATTTTTACATACAGTGTGCACAGCTGTCTGTTCTACAATCCCATAGATTAAAATTTTTCATAAACCTTAAACGTTTGGAGTTAGATCTTTTTTGTCCAAATTTTAGCACATATTTCAAATGCTGTATTGATGATTTTTTTTTACAGTAAACTATACTGAAAACCTATATTCTAAATCTATGAAAATGAGATCATATAGTAATCTGAGAGCATAACACCACCATGTGAACAGTTGGGGATATTTTATACTGTATTTTTAAGCTGATTTCAAATCCTTGATTTTTTTGTATTCAATTTTATAATTATTTATTATTTTTTTTTGTTTTCATATTACGTTATTCATCATTTACACAAAGTTGGGGCATTTGTCTAGTAGATTATGCACAAAAATCTGAAAGCGTTTAAGTTTGAGAAAATCATTTCCTGTATACCACACCCCACTACACCCCACCCTACTACACCCCACCCCACAACACTCCACCCAACCCCACCACACTCCACTACACCCCACCCCACTACACTCCACCCAACCCCACCACACTCCACTACACCCCACCCTACTACACCCCACCCCACTACACTCCACCCAACCCCACCACACTCCACTACACCCCACCCTACTACACCCCACTACACTCCACCCAACCCCACCACACTCCACTACACCCCACCCTACTATACCCCACCCCACTACACTCCACCCAACCCCACTAAGAGACTGAGCTTTTCACAGTAGATGATCTGGATTTTGCTGTGTTGACTACGTATTACACTCTGCGTTCTGTTTGTTGGGAAGTTGAAGATCCATATATCTCAACTTTGCCAGTAATCCATTAAGCACGCATTTTGTGCACAATAACACTATGGTCACATTAGTCAAAAGCTTTTGCAAAGTCTGTTGTCCTGGGTTATGTAGATGTTGTGATTCCATGTAATTTGTAATCTTACTTTTAACACTCTCTCAAAGATTTTTTTATGATGTGTGAGGTTAGAGCTGTTGGTCCATAATTTTTTGCATCTGGGGAAGATGCAAATTTTAAGATAGTGGAAGAGGTGAGAAGGGAGGTGGGAAGGTTGGGCTGGGGGGAGGGGGTGAATGATACCGAAGCACAGTCGGCTCCCCTATTTAGTGTTATATAGATGGTAGTAATTTATCCTTCCATTAAATAATTACACAATTATTGATTTTTCAGAGAACTTGAATCACAAGAAGGACTACGATTAAATGCTGAAGGCTCAGCTGCAGCAATATCTAAGAAAATTCAGAATTATGAATTTGAGTTGGCATCTTATAAGTGAGTGATTTTAGTTTATACCTGTTTATATATTTAAAATATCTGTAAATGTATAGCTTAAAGCAGGTCACTTGAGAGTTGGGTGATCCTTCTGTCCATCACTTAGCAATATAAGCAGACCTACATTCCATCATCAATTGCAATAAAGGAAAAAGATTGAGATTGGGAGATGACAAGATGAGCATTCTTCTTGTTTTCTTTTTTCCCTTTACATTAGACAACATGCTGAGATGCGGGAAGCTGCAAGTAGTGAAGTTTGTCAGATATTAAAGATGAGATATTTTAGGTGTAAGGAAGGGCAAACAAAAAGTGGTGCGATGATTAAAAGGGCAGGAATGAGAGCATAAGGAATGAAATGGGATAACTTAATGTTAATGGGATAAGGTGCAGGGAATGTATACTGTGTTAGAATTATTTTTATAGTGATAATGAAAGTGAGGATGAAATCGAAATTTCTTTTAATGCAGAGTTGAATGAAATTTATTTGAAACTGCCGAAATGTAGAGTATGGCACTGTGCTGTGTTATAATAATTTGAGTAGCAAAGTCAGGGCTGAGAATAATAATATGCATATGTATAGTGTTACAGGTGTAAATGATTGACTTTTAAATAAAACATGTTAAATTTTTTTTTATGCCACATGTACATTTTAAGACTGAGATATACATGTACTTGGTAGTATGTAAATGGTAGAGATAGGATTGATGCGAGTTAGATCAAATGTGTATTTAAGCACACACAGAGATCACACTAACGTGATGCATCAAATGAACAAATCCACAAGGGCCGTGACGAGGATTCGAACCTGCGTCCGGGAGCATCCCATATATATGGGATGGATACCTACATTCCATCAGACTAATATGGTGGTCTGGGTTGGAGGAGACTACTTCACACTTGGAAGGGTTCAGGAAGAGACCCAGGCTTACTTCTTGCTCCTTTACTTTTCTGATGTCTTCCAAGAGGTGGTCTAGGGGGCCAGCTATAGTGCCATCATCCAAAAAAAGATGTTGAACTCGCTGGACAAGCTTTCAGTGACTTCTTTTAAGACTAAACAGAAAAGAAGAGGAGCTAGAGAATCACCTTGCTGAACACCTTCACATGATCCTAGTTTGTGTTCGACAAAGAGCAATTTTGATTCACCGCTGTAGCAAGATAGTATGAACAGGTAGAGGGGTCCAGAAATGGCAATGTATGGCACAGAGCACTGCATCTCTTCTGACCATGTTAAAGGCATTCTTAAAGTCCAGTTTGAGCAGGGCCTTTTCGTCAGAAATATTGGCGATGTATTCTTGTGCTGCATGAGTAGCTGCTTCACAGACTTGGGGACTCCTAAATCCTATCTGAATTGGTTTCAGCAATTCCGCCGCTTGCTGGCTGACAACCCACTTGGCAGCCTTAGCAACAAAGCATCGGAAAGTGTTGCCAACAGCGATTGGCCTGATTTCCCCACCCTTCTTGTTGAGAGTGCAGGAGGCGGCACCAAAAAAGAGAGGCCTGATGACCTCGGATATCGCCAGCCAGGCACACATTGACGATCCTTGTGAGTTCCACAAGATCTTGTGCAGCATCACCAACCACATGATTTAACATTTGGTTGATGTGTTGAGGTTTTAATCCTGTAAAGCTGCCTGCTGACCCAGGTGGAAAAGAAAGAGCTGCTTTGTAGACCTCAGATTCACTAACAGTTAATGGGTCTGGACTGGTCTCAGCTGGTGGCAGCACGATGTTGTCGGCTCGTGAGGTTCTGGGTGGGTGCTTGCTTTGCAGGGCTCGTGCTGTGGTAGTTTCTAGGAGCAATTTTCTCGTTACTGGCGAAGACTCGAGTAGCACTTGCGGTATTTCCCTCTTCAATTTTCTTGGCGATTTGTGCTTTGTATTTGTGCGATTCCGATGTGGTGGTGTTACCATTTCTGCGATGTGGTGTGTTTTGCTCGAGGAGGGAGGCAAACTAGGTTATCCACCCTTGAGTATTCATTTATCGCTGTAAGGACTGAGGATGCAAGTGTCCCTCCTTGAAGGAACAATGAGGGACGCTTCTTCTCAGTTTTAAAGTATGCTTGAGAAATAAATTTTTGTAGGTCACTTCTTCAAGAATTATATTGGGTATGTTACACTACAGTATACAGAGTATTATTTTATGTGTACATTTAATCAGAAATTTTAATTGACCTCAGGGCTCAGGTGGAAAGCATACGCAAGGAACTGGAGGACCAGGAGAATTCATACAAGGTGCAGATTGCCAGCCATGAACAAAAGGCCCATGAGAACTGGGTGAGAAATAGCAAAGAGCTTTTTATTTAAGAATCTGATATACTGTTTTAATGAATGCATTTATAATAGTTCTGTGGAACAATAGAATACATAAGCATTTAAATCTTTGATTTTAAATTATTTTTATTGTATGTAGATTTTCAAGGTGTATTTTGCCATATATATAATGGTAAGCTGCATGTGTTTGGGAGGACAGTGAATGTATAACGCGTTATTCATTAGTTACAAGCTCGAGCTGCAGAGCGTAAACATGAAGAGCAGAGACAAGAGAATAGCCAGCTGCGAAGTCGCCTCACTCTACTGCAGAAGGAGAAAGAGGAAGCTCAGCAACTACACATCAGTATCATCAAACCAACACCCAAACGTGAGTACTATGACGGTTCTGCTCTGAAGGAGGAGAATTTACTTAATGTTTTACAATATTTACCATAAAGAGAAGGATTACATTTAAGGCCCTGAGCCAAGTTTACGCCTGAACATGTGTTCAGGTTTCTATTTGTTGTATTTAGCTTTGCCATAAGCATGATTACTACAAATAGTTAAAAAATTTATAAATAAATTTAGGGGGTCTTCGTTTTTATAACTAACAGCTATAATAACATTGGAAAATCTAAATACAGTTCTATATATTGTATTGAGAAAAATATTAAATTGTTTTCTAATAATACAAAAAATAAAGGTTTAATGAAGGAGTGCTGCACCCCCCCCCCCCCCCTATTTCCCAGAAGCTGTCTTGCTCAGATTGCTCCTAGTTACTGGGTCACTTCAGTCACGGAGTTCTGTTCAACCTAACAAGAACCAGAACCAAAACTAGACCCCAAGCACAGAAGCAGAGTAACATTCTACCACTCCACTTGGAAAGCATCCAGAAAGTGAATAAAGCATTATAGCCAACTACAAGGTTCACAGAGACCCCCCAAATAACCATGAAACCCCCCAAATAACTCTCCACAAAATTAAAAAGAAATGGAAGTAGCACTTGAATTCAGTATGAATCTGTTAGTATCTGAATCTGCTATCAGGTGGCCCATAGTCCTGCCTCCCCTCCCCCCTCCCTGGCCAACTCTCCCAAGTCAATTCTCTCACTCATGCACTATAAATGACCTCAACACCACCTTGGGTCACCATCAATAATGGTAGGTTTCTGTGCTTCTAAGCAATGTGCCAGCCATACATCCTTGGATTTTGTCCTCCTTGGTCCATTTGCCCGAGTATTCACTTTCTGGGGAAAGCCCGTTGTGGCCCCCCTGAAACTATACACTGAGATGGTTTCCATCTACCAGGTTGCATCAGTCATGGAATTCTTAAGTCTACTGAGGAACAGTGTCAGAACCTGGTCCCCACACAGAGGTGCAGGTAGCAGTGACATTTTGCCACCTCACTAAGGAGGGCATCCAAAAAGTCAGCAAGTCAAAACAAATTGCTGTTGGGTTGAAAAGAGATAAAAGCTTTAAAACCCCGCCTAGTGAACGCCCCACCAACTAAGTATGTAAACAAATGATCGAATCTCTTGAAACTAGCATGAGCTTATTTGCCCCACCTCCACCACTCGTTTGGGAGGAGGAGGAGGAACCATCTTCCGGGGTCTGAGCAGGCAGTTCTTATTCTTATGTGGTCGCGACAGGACTGCTGTAGTGGTTCCCAGGTCTCCTCTGTTTTGTGTGGTTTCTGATGTTCAGTTAAGGGGTTTTAAGTTTTTTGTACAAGTGGCTTTTCTTGTACACTATGGTGTAGCATGAGCCTGGTTTGTAGTATGCTCGGAGCTAATTGTACTCAGGGTTACCTTCCCTGTGTGCTTCCTTACATTGCCAGAGTTTCTTTTCTGTAGTGTTTGAGTGTCGCTCCCTTAGAGATCCTCCTCGCTTGGGGTGATTTTCACCTAGGGTGAGTAGGGGGGTCTTGAGACTTCACTATCTTAACCTGGGTCGGGTGCGACTTTGGCTGGCTGCGTTGAGGTCGGCCTTCACAGCCGCATAACCCTGTCTGTGTTGGCATATTTTAGATCCTGCATAGCATCCTTATTGTCTAGATGTCCTGCTGGGGGACCACAAGCCCCTACTGGCTCGTGGTCCCAGTAGGCCAATAAGAACTTCGCAACTAATGGCACCTTGTGGTCTGGCACTATATCAGTGTAGTAGCTTCAGGAAGCCACTGGGGCTCAGCCAGAAATTGGCATTTTATTACATTGTGCTTTTTTTTTTTTATTTGGTTATTGTGAAATTATGGCTTGTAGGTTGTCCTTGGAGGTGACTGTTGAATGTTGCCCAGACACCGGGCTCTATGCCTTGCCTCTTGGCAGTTGAGCTGCTGCTGCTGGGCTTGTGCCCTCCCACTAAACTTGTGTATGTCCTGATCCTTACATTGTCTGCTCATATCTTGGGCTGAGCTCAAGTCCCAAGGGCTGAGCTCAGGTCCCAAGGGCTGTGCCTTGGACTGGGTTCCTGGCCCTGATGGTTGTGTAGTTACCTAAGTGTAGTTACAGGATGAGAGCTATGCTCGTGGGGTCCCGTCTTCCGTCTACACTGCTGTATGAGGCTTTCAAACTACTGAGGGTTATGGCCTCCACCACCACTCACTTAGCTTGTTCCAACCATCTACCACTATGTTTGCAAAAGAAAACTTTCCAACATTTTTTCAGCACTTTTGTTTCTTTATCTTAAACCTGCGTCCTCTTGTTAGTGAAGTTGCTGGTTTCGGGAATTCCTCTTTATCAATTTGATCAATTCATGTTAGTATTTTGTAAGTGGTGATCGTATCACCTCTTCTAGTTTTGCCATGTTTAATGCCTTTAGTCTCTCCTCATAACTCTTGTTTTTCAGTTCCAGAAGCCATTTTGTAGCATGCCATTGCACCTTTTCCAGTTTATTTATGTGCTTCTTGAGATTTGGGCACCATACAACTGCTGCATATTCCAGTTTTGGTCTCACAAAAGTCATGAACAGTTTCTTCAGTATTTCACCATCCATATAATTAAAAGCAAGTCTGAAGTTGTAAAGCGATGCATACGCTCCTCTCACAATGTTCCTTATGTTCCTCTCGCGACAGCTTACTATCCAAAACCTGAAACCTAGATCTCGTTCTTTATTAGTTCTGTAATTCCTTTCCACATGATTTGTAAGTTGTGTGTGTGGTCTATTTTCTCTGATTCCACATTCCTTAACATGGCATTTATTCACATTGAATTCACATTTATTTACATTCACATGGGGAGGGGGGGAAGATTGGAAGAAAATTGGTACAGGGTTTGTTACCAGCGTCTGTCAATTGACATGTTTTCTAAACTTTCTGCTCGTTTACTCTCCAATCATTGGATGTTTTGGGTAACTTCCTAACTGTGCGTTATTTGCTTTGCTGCTGCAGGAGATTTAAACTCCTATGCTTCCTTCTCATTTGTGAGACCACCTTATTCTGGTCTTCGAAAATTGTCTGAAGCCTTATTGTTATTAGCAGCTCTATTGAATCAGAACCTTTAGCTAAGGAGGTTCACTCAGAGTTCTACACAGAAAGTAGCGTTTCATTACGTGCATAGCTTTATTTCATTGACTGTCTTATAATTATTTTATTAGTACTTGAGAAAGTACTGTTCTTATAAAATGAAAATGATAAATGTAAATACTTGAGTACGTAATTACATGTAATAGATGATTACTATTTTTTGGCAGGTGTAGATGCTAATGGAAGCATGTCGTCGCCTGGACCTATCATGGATGGAGTAGTTGATGTCAATCACTCTGGGGTCTCATCCATGCTCAGGGATGTAGATTCACCACCTGTTCCTCCACATCCTATGCATGGACCTCCACATCCTATGCTTTCCATGATGTTTCCACCGGGTGGCCCTCTGCCCCCAGGAGTACCTCCACCTCATGGTTTGCCCCCAGGAATTCCACCACCACCTGGGTTACCCCCCCATGGCCTACCCCCCCATGGCCTACCCCCCCATGGCTTACCCCCCCATGGCCTACCCCCTCCTCCTCCATTCCTCTCTGGGGAACCTCCATTTATAGGACCCTTACATCCTCTTCCTGGGGATCGTCGCTTACCTCCTGCGGGTGGAATGTCTTCGCCGCCATTCCGACGGTCTGGGTCTCCAAGTTACGATCACCGAAATGATCGTTACTCGCCTGGAAGTGACCGTTCACATTTCTCGGACCGCCGATACTCACCTCCACCCCTTCGTAATAGACCACCTTCACCAGAGTCACATCGCAATCGCTCGCCTGATAGAAGGTCTGATAGAACAAGATCGCCAGATCGACGTTCGGATCGAATGAGATCTCCAGATCGTCGGTTTAACAGACATACCCCTGAACATAGGTTAGATGGACATTCTCCAGACAGACATTTCAGCACAAGGTCTCCAGATGGTTACATGAGGCATAGAACTTCTCCCCATTATTTTCATCAATCGGATTATAACAGTGATGATCCCAGGTTACGATCAACTCACATAAAAGGTAAGTTTCGAATAATTTACACTGTTATGGGCACTGTCCAAAGAATTTCTTACAAATGGAAGTTAAGCTAAAGTATGTGTGATTGCTTTTGCGTGTCAATTTTGCAAGTTCACTTTGAGTTTGGTTATTGCATGTTTTTATTTTACATTATTTCTTATTTTTGCATGTTGCTATGTCCAGGGAGCAAACAATTTTCTAAACTACAAAAGTTCTGGCAGTGTGTAGAACAAGACGACCCCATGACCATCCCTTCACCAAAATGATGTCTCACATACAACATTTAGCAGCATATTATTTCAGGTCTGAAAAGAAAATAAGGTACTTTTAGTAACCCTGTAACTACTTATCTAGTCTGCTTTTTTACCCAGTTTTAGTAACATGGAGTAAATTTAATGATTGACAGTAGACTGATAAAGGGTATCTTCAAGGAAATTTGTAAGTAAAGATAAAGGCCAGAAGAATGTGGGTGGTTATGGTGAATGAGCGAGGAAGTGAAGAGTGTGTGTAAATAAGGCGTGGCATGTGGTAAGGGTGGAAACAACTTGTAAGAAGTCGGTGAACGAATTTTGTATCGAACATATCTGAAATTTCATAAGGATGATAAGACATCTCGTGTTATGAAGCACATTGGTTCTGCTGTTGATGATTACTAGTGTGCACGTACCTGGTGCACACCTGGAGAGGGTTTCGGGAGTTTCTCAGTGTCCTGAGCCCAGCCTGGGGCCAGTGTCGAGTGTGGAGGTGCTTATTAGAGAGATGCTTGCCTACCTATCAGTGACTACGGAGGAGTGAAATGTAGCTCTTTATATCCCACCTGCTACCTATTTATACCTAATTGTCCCAACATTGTTTTCATTATATTTTTCTTAGTTTTGGAGGGAATTTTCCTTCAATGCATTTTAATTACATTGAATCTTCCTTCAATGCATTTTAATTACATTGAATCTTCCTTCAATGCATTTTAATTGCCTGCATACAGGAAATGTGAACTTTCCTACATCTCTCTGATTCATGTGTCCAGTTTCCAATGATGTTCCCTTGTCCTACCTCTCTTTAATTTAAATATGCTTCCTTTGTCCACTTTGTCTATACCCCCCTAAATCTTCTATGTAATTATCATATCTCTTTTGTTTCTTCTCTACTCTAAGGTCGAGCGAGTTCTCTCGACCTGTCCTCATAGCCGAGGCCTCTCAATTCTGGTTCTAATCTATTTGCAAACCACCTTTCTCAGGTGGCCAATTTGATCAATTCATGTCAATTTGATTACAAGGCCTGGTTTGTAATCAAACCTGGTTTCATTTATCTTTCATTCGTCTTCTGCTTCACAAAGTGTGGGTTTCATGCTGGTGCTGCATACTCTAGTAACGGTTTCACAAGTCGGTGTGTATGTACTTGTTAAGCCTCCTTGTTTAGGTTCTTAGATGACATTTATATATTTGCTAAGTTCTGATATTATCCTGTTTACATAACATCAGAATTAATGATATTAATATTGGCATTGTCTACTCCCACACCTTTTTCTCTGTTTCTGGAAATTGCTTCCTCCCTTCTGGTAGTTAAATATAGAGGTCCCTTACCTATTTTCATTACTTTACACTTATTTGGATTGTATTCCAGCGATCATTTATCTACCCACTCCTGAAATTTGTGAAGGTCTTTTTACAATCCCTTTCTGTTCTTTCATTAACTCTGCATCGTCTGCAACATCAATATAAGTACAAGCTCTGTCCTTCTAAAAAGAGCACTGGTCTAATGGACAGAGTCCTATGGAATGTCACTTTTCAATCCTCTCCAGCCTGACATGTTTCCTCTGACTACATGTATTCCTGTACCCAGTTCAGTGCCTTTCCTGTTACCCCTAATTATCTCTATTTTGTATACAGTATTAGACTTTTTGTGAGGAACTGTTTCCAAAGCTCTTTGCCAGTCTAAGAATGGGGCAATATACCCATCCTTCCTTGTTTTGTTTTGGTGACCCTGTCATAGAATTCATTGAAGTTTGTTAGGCATGATGTTCCTTCTCTGAAGCCATGTTGTGCCTGTATTATGAAATTTACTTTCCAAATGTTCATCAATCCTTTATCTGATGACTTTGTAGCACCTTGCATAGAATGCATGTTAATAATACTGGTCAGTAGTTTTGTGCTTCATGTCTGTCCCCCTTTCATGATATTGCAACTACATTTGCCTTTTCTAGATTTCTGGTAGCTTTCCTGTCTTTATATATAATGTTGAACACTATGTATAGTTAATGGGAAGCACAAGATCCCTTTAGCTTTTACAGTAGCCATGGGGATTCCTGGGCAGATCACCTGGTCTCGTACTGTTCTTTTACTCTGTTTATAGCCTTACAGCAGCTTAGATAAGCTCTTTGTTTTTGCTGTAATATTGTTTTCAAACTGCTACCCTCCTAATTCTGTTGTGCTCATTCCTGGCCCTCTTTAAGGCTTTTAATTTAGTTGCCTCTGTACTCATGTTCCTATATTTTCCATGCCTTTTTTTTTTTGTCTTCTGTTTCTTTCCTACATTGTTGAACCATTGATATGCTGTTCTCTTTTCTTCCACTTGCCTCCTGTTCCCAACTGTTTCATTGCTTCTTTGCATTTGTGTGTTATGAGATACATCTCCTCTCATTTGCTGCTTTTCCTTCCATTACAGCCTCATTGAATCTCCTGCAGAGAATCTCTGACCCTCCTGTAGTCTCATTATCAAATATGATAATGCAGTAGTCACTGGCTTCTAGTGGTACCTCATATTTGCAGTTCTCTGTATCTTCATTTTGGGTAAACACTTATATTATAAAAGAAAAGAAAATATTGCAAAATATTAGTGACTGGTTCTGAATCTGCATACAGAAACAACTCGATAGATCAGGAGGCATTGTAAGAAATGCAAAATAGCCCCATTGAAAAGCAAGAGATGCATTAGGTATGCAATTATCATCATGTATTAATTTTAACTGTTATTGTCTCGGTTTTAAATGAGTTGTTCTAATACGGATATGATGTCTATATTACTGTAGAGAAGTTTACTTGGACACACACACACAATAATCGTATCATTATTTCATGATTGTTACTATGCATATGCGGTTATCATTACAAATGTTACTATGCCAATGCATTAATAGTCATGATATAATATTGTCATGTAATTATAATGGAATATTATAAGTTAAATAAAGGGACACGAGTTAGTTAATTTATTATGCACCGCATACCCATCTTGTGGGCGGTAGTGGAAAGGGTTACAGAGGCACATAATGGGCTCAGGGACTGAACCCCACAATTCATTTAGCTAAGCAAGTTACAATCTTGATGAGCTAGTCACGAAATTCAATACGCATCTTCACATCAACAATGGGCTCGAGATCGACCTCAAGTACAGGTTCTAAATTAAGCAACCGACATATGTGGAGAGCTAGTGTCACAATTGATATGTTTGTCCTGCACACCGCCCCCCATCCAGTGGGCAGCGGTGGATAGGTTACAATCACTTAGTTACTACCTACAGTTTGCAAACTGGGGATAATTGGCTAAAATTTCTGATAGCAGATCATTTTGAATTAAATATTTACACATCTATTGAACATCTTTTATAGAAATGTCTCTTAATTCACATATCTTTTCGCACTCCATCACATAGTGACAGAGGGTGTGTGAATAATTTTGTTGACACAGTTTACATTTGGTCAGGTCTACATCAGCAGATGATGAGTATTCCCAGAGATACTTGTAACCGAGTCTAAGCCGAGCAGTAGTAACATCTAGAAGTCTGCTGATTTTATTGGATGATCCATAGATGTGTGACTCCTCTTGCATGATAGTATGATGATAGATGGAATTACTGGTGTCAATTTCACTTTGCCTCAGATCTACAAGATTTTGTTGAAGTTCTTGGTGTACTATTGTTCTCAGACTGCTTACATGCATTCCAAGGTTATACTCAATTTCTCCTTTAAAGGCAGATTCTTTTGCTAACATATCAGTTCTGTCATGCATTCTGAGGTCAACACGAGATGGAATTCACATGAAATGCACTCTTACTATTATTAATAATTTTGTTGTATTTGTGTCTGTCTTCAGACACAAGCATGTCACAGTTATGCCTTAGAGTTGAGTGCAATTAAGCACAGAGTCACTTACAATTAATGTATGAAGTTTGGAGACTTGTACACATTTCAGTGCAAGGAGCAAGGCAAATACAGGTAGTTCGGTCTGAAGGGTAGAGACCCAGTTGTATATACGGACTCCCCAACCAAAATATAAGCCATCGCCCATCGTCAGGACAACTGCACTTACAGCTGTACCCATGGAGCAGTGTAAGGGAACAGTCATTGTATTAGATTTGTGTGCTCTCTCTGTGGACAGAGCATCAATATGGCTTATGGTGTTGAGCTTTGCCTCAAGGTGAAGCTTAGGCTGATCTCTAATTTGCTTCTTGGGTGGAAAGGAAGGGATTAAAATTGGAAAGGGTGTAATCTCCCACGGTGCAGGAAAGTGCCATTGTTGTGCGTCTTGGTACAAATTATAAATCTGATACATTCTGAGTTCAGTTCCAGTTTTAGTTATCCATTTGGAACAATGTTGACCTTCAATAAAGAAATTCTTGAGGGCTTCTGTGCAAGGGATAGGATGATCTTCTTGGTTATCTTGAGATGATTTCGGGGCTTTAGTGTCCCCGCGGCCCGGTCCTCGACCAGGCCTCCATCCCCAGGAAGCAGCCCGTGACAGCTGGCTAACACCCAGGTACCTATTTTACTGCTAGGTAACAGGGGCATAGGATGAAAGAAACTCTACCCATTGTTTCTTGCTGGCGCCCGGGATAGAACCCGGGACCACAGGATCACAAGTTCAGTGTGCTGTCCGCTCGGCCGACCGGCTCCCTCTACTTAAACGACTAAACTTAGGTCCTGACATGAGTCCAATACAGAGTTAAGTGTGTTCTGCGTGTTAGCATACCCAAGTTGGTCCAAGAAATAGGAAGTTCCCTGTAATATAGCTCATATTATACAGCTCAAGAAGGGGATTTCCTGGTACTAGAGGAAGCAAATGCAGTATGTCATAAATGATACCATCCTCACCGGGGGGATGTGACTACCTTTGTCTAGGGCCAAAAGTAACTCAAACTCGGTAAATGGCACATTACATTCATCTTCCTTGTGGAGCATGACGTCAACGAGCCTCTCTGTCTCCATAACCAGCATTTAATCTGACTCGTGTGTCTGGGGGAAGATTATTTTAGCTAGAGGTGGTTGCCCAAGCATCGACTAACTCATTTGCTCTGTGTAGAGGGTGAGGGTGTGATACTTGGCCTATCATATCGCCTTTAATTCTTTTAATATCCTTCCATGCCTGACTGAGGGGGGTGTGAGAGTTGAGACTTAACAAGTTTCCCAGTTATCTTCAATGTTGGTTTTTATATTTGCCCAATACTTATTTGCCCAAAATGCTATGCGTATTATTGGCTTTAGGTATTGTATGTACTAGCTCTATCTATAAATCCAACAGTATGATTGTAACTCTGCATCTATGTATGTACTTTTCCTAAATAAAATGTTATCTTAACTGAGCTCCGTCATGCACTTCCTTGTCAAGGCCCTCGCTTTGGCTAGGGCCTTCTGAAAGGGCTTGAGCATTGCTGGCATACGTGTTTCCCTATATGCAAGTCCAACTTGTCTAGCAGTGCGTTTCATAGTATGCAGTTTGGGGTCATTGTAATAGGCATGGTGTTTATTACTTTTCATATTGTTCCGACTATTGGATGGTGTCGAGACCAACCTAAAGGGTCGGCGAACATCTGAATGTTCTGTACTAGATTGTCGTTAAATGTCTGGACTGTGGAGGAATCATAAGTGCTGTACCACTCTGACACACAAACAACAAAGTCTTCATGTTGAGCAGGAGGAACACTGAGCCGTTTACGTTAAAAGTCCCACCAGGTAGGATGGTATTTGATACAAAGTAGTCAATCTAGGGTGATGATCTGATGACAAATCTGTTACAATAGATGATGTGCACCAGACGTGAGAGACGTTGAAACCAACACAGAGGTCTAGAATGCCTCCAGAAATATGCGTGGGTTCAAGGTTGTCCACAATCTGCACATCTTGGTGACTATTTAGTAGCGACAGCAGTTGATTCCCATTCCCGTTACTGAAGTGAAAGCCACCAATGTCCTTGTGTCTAGCATAGTCACCAAGAATGATGGTGGGCTCTGCTTGAGCACAGACTGGAAGATCAATATGATTTAACTTTCCTACTGGAGCATATAGATTAAATTCATTGAGGATGGAGTTGCCCACATAGATCTTCACTCGGATATTGTTGCCCCTCAGTTTTTTTTTTTTTTTTTCCTCTGGAAGAAATTGATGGGGAAGGGATTGTTTGATGTATATATTGCAAGAGTTACTGGATATGAGGTTGTAAGAAATAAATGAGGGCAATTTCGGAAGTGAGGATCTTGTGGGAATTACATGACATGTACACTGCTTATTTTCACTGCTCTCTCTGGTTGTAATGATGTAGAGTATACCAGTTCGACCAATCATCATTTGAGCATAAGAATAAAGGAACTACAGAAGGCCTGTTGGCTCATAAGAGAGCTTGTATTTATATTGAGGATATACAAAAAATAGGAGCTGCTTTGTATGGGCCAATAGGCCTATATGTTAATGACTTTCAGTGGATATAAATAGGAGCTGCCTCCTATTTATATTCCCCCAAACTCACTCATATATATAGGCCTATTGGCCCAAACAAGGCAGCTCGTGTTTATTTATATACAAAATATAGAAAGGAGCTGCCGCATATGGACCAAAGGCACCTTCTACAGTTTCCTTAGTTATTTATACATAGAGTACATGTATTTATACATTTATGCATTTATTCATTCTTTAATTTGTACATATATTCATCTATTCATTGGTATATACAGTACTTAATTCATTCTTTGTTTTATTCATACATAAGATTGTCTAGATACCCAAAGTCAACTTTGTGTTGCTGACAGCAAGTTCTGGCATTGACAGATGGAGCTGGACCGTCACGTTCAACTGGTTCAGTGCATGAAACCGGCTACAATGTATATACATATACTGTATTCAGTTTATTTCCACTTTTCAACACATTTTGCATCAAAGTTACTCATTCTATAAGATTTTTATTTTATTTTTTCTGCATAGACAGATATACCTGTATATCCATAAACACACATTAGGGGTTCAGGGAGTGAACCAAGACTTTAAACACTCATTAAAACATAGGGGGCATAACTAATTTCTCATACTGTGTAACAGAGAACATAATAAATACCTCCAAAGAATACCTGATCAACTGGGCTGTGATTCATAAATCAGACTGAGAACCCGCAGTCTGACTTCCAATCAGGAGGTCTGGTCAGAGACTAGGTTCTGGTAACATTGATTCCCAGAACCAACTTACAAGCCTGGCCCCAGGTTGAGTTTGGGCATTTGAACTCCCAGAACACACTAGGTATGATCCAGGTATGAATAGGCGGCAGGTAGGTTGATAGCAACATGAAGCCACCAGGAACCTCTCAAAAAATCAGCATTGAATGTAGTGAAACATCTTTTTCTGGCAAGTCCTTGGTGGCTTCCTCGACCCTCCCTTCCCCCTTTTAAGGTGTGTGTGTGGGGTTGGTTGTATATGGATTGCAACTGTGGAGATCCTCGGGCTAATCCAGGAGGTCCCTGGTGGTGGATAGTTGCTACCAGTGGGTGAACAACCTAACTACTGGGTGTCTTGTTTTCTGACTTTAAACGTGGTGTTTTCTGTTTTGTTTTGCTCTACCTTTCGGGTGGCTTATTTCTTGGTTAGGGTGATCATGAATTTCCTGCCTGTGAGGGGAGGGCCAGGTTTGGCCTCTGGTTCAAAGGGGTCTCAATAAAGGTCTCACAAAAGCCTAGTGTGATTTGAGATATGTGGAACTAACCTGTAGATAGCAATAAGGATCTACCACAAAAAGACGAATCATTACATTTAACGTTGAATTTTTATACACTGTACTTAAATTTAGGTAAGAGTTTAGGTCCACTGGAAGTGTCTGAAATGTTATTAATCAGAACGGGTTCCCAAGATGTTTCATAAAAAAATCTTGAGCTAAATAGTTTTAAGCATGGAAAAATCAATGGGCATAGTTCATTTGCACTACTTAGTCATGTCTGTGCTTAGCTCTGTGCCCGATTGTGTTTTTCCTGGTTTTGGCCTGCATTTGATCTGTCCTTGGTATCTTCCTCTGCTTTCCTAACAGCTTGGTTGGTTTTAGGTCATGTTCAGGGTAATCCACTTGGGTGTTGACCATTGGCTCTGCCTGGGTTGTTCCTTGGCTTTGCTGTGCTTGTCACATGTGCAGTGTTGGCCTGTTGTGGGGTCTCCTCTGCTCTAGGCCCTCTTGGGCCATTTTCTGCCCTGGGTCAGCCTGGCTTCTATTCTGTTCTGTTCTGTTCGACATGCCAGCCTCCTCTACCACGATGCTATCATTGAGATTAGGACTGTGGAAGCTACTAAGGGGACCCGTTCAGAAATAAACTATTAAATGCAAACATACGCTCTTTTCTGTCGAGATATCACTATTGTGGGAAAATTGTGTGTAAAATAGGAGGTAAAACAGTAAATGTGAAATGTAGTTATAGTTATAAAGTGCAGAAGATGTGAGCTGTGAAGTGCTTAATATTAGTAATTGTATTGATTCATTTATTAATTACTTGTGCAGCATGTAATTGGATTATAGATGGTGTCTGGAAATAACTGGAAAGTTGATTGTTGGTGTTTAAATTAAAGTTTTTGCATTTTTTCTTTGAAAAGTAAAAGATTTTTGTTCACAAATTTATTTGCACAAAGTTGCATTATGACTAAAACTTCTAATTTATCTTTCCATTGCTCAGGGAAGAAAACTACACTGCTGAGTTCATCAGAGCGATGAGAGAGTGAACGTAGGCAGAGTTGTGCAACAGTCAAGTGCGTCACGAATGCTGATCGTGTTAGATTTGCATCTTCGGGTTATCATGGTTCTTCATATCTGTCATCTTTTAAATGCTTTAAATTAGGAATATGCAAGTTGTGCTTCCTCTGGCTGCACCAAGTGTTCAGTTGTTGCTGTTAAGAAAACAAGATAAAGGTCCACCTTTCAAAAGATACAGCAAATGTATTGTACAGGTAATGTCAAACAAATGATGAATTGCACCTTCGAGAAAGTGAAAATTAAAATTGTTGGAAAGTGCAAAGATTATCAGTTATCAAGAAGAATTTGTGTAAATATGACCATAGATTGATGTGCTTATTAAAGATTATTAATAATAGAGTAACAATTTTTACCATTTATTACTCTTAAGAGGTTTCTGCTCACTGGTGTAAGGGGCAGTCATTTGGCACACTTTCACAATTCCTAATGGACAAAAATAGGGATTTTAAGTTTAAAAAATTCCCAAATGATATGAGGTGCTAAAAATAACTAATTTATTATTGAAAATCTTGTGTATAATATTCGTAATGTCAGAAAATGTATGCACTGTACTGTCATTACTGTATTTAAAAAAATTTTATGGGAAAAGTTTACAATTAATATGGAAAAGGGTATGGTAGGAAATTACTCTTAATGGAAGTACAGTACAGTAAGTAGACTCAATGGTTCTTAAGACATCCTCACAAATACTGGCAGGTATGTCCATCACATCTTCAAGTGCAAGTAATAATGGTACATTATTTCATTTAAACATTTCATTTTTGTTTCAAGATAATATGTAAAGCTCATTAAACCTAGAATTTTTTTTTTGCCCCTCATGTGTGAATGACATTGGAAGTCATTTGATACGCATGTTCATTTAATGGAGAATGCTATATTGTCCTTATCTTCAGAGTGATCCTGGGTGAGTGCATGGAAGAATATAATGAAACTGTACATTTGTAATTTTATTATGCATATGAGAAGCAAGTATTTTGTACTTGACCCCAAACTCTTGTATTCACCGGATGTAATTTGGTGATGAGAGTCAGGTGCAGTAGTGAGCAGGTGTTGTCTGTCTGTAGGTGAGTCTTGTTACATCAACATTAGTTGATTGTGATTTAATAAACTTATATTAATATATTGTTTTTTTTTTGTCATTGCCTAATTTACATTCAGTAACATGTGAATTGGTGTTTAGCAATTTTTGAATGACTTAATGAGAGCTTCAGTGGTTGCTATAATTGTGTGCAGCACTTGTTTGTCTCAAAATAGACAGTGAAATATTGCATTAACAGAGGTAAAAAGTACAAATTTAATGAGATGTATTAACTCTTTAATGAGATATTCTTTCCTTATTGTATGGATGTGTGACTAGGAAACAATAACGTACAGTATGGCACCGATGGCTCTTCATTCTGTTTATGTACCACTTATATGATGGTCCTCATTGTTACTATATAAACTAATGTAAAAGGCAATTAGAAAGTCGAAATTGGTACTACTTAATTTGGACAAACTAGGAAAAGGTTTTATATTTAGGTTTTCTTTGCAACACCACCGCCCTTTCTGGCTCGTTGGCGTCGTGAGGGGCTTGGTAATTACCCAAGTGTAGTTACAGGATGAGAGCTACGCTTGTGGTGTCCCGTCTTCCCAGCACTCTCTCATAACGCTTTGAAACTACTGACGGTCTTGGCCTCCACCACCACCTCACCTAACTTGTTCCAACCGTCTACCACTCTGGTGGGCAGGTGCCGGAGTTTGATGCTCCATGGGTCAGTCCTCTGTCCTTTTGAAGCCTTATGATCCTGCTGTTGTCTTTACCAATTTTGCCAGAACAATTTTTTTTCCTTGATATCTGGTTGATGGGGTTCTGGGAGTTGTTCTACTCCCCAAGCCCGGCCCGAGGCCAGGCTTGACTTGTGAGAGTTTGGTCCACCAGGCTGTTGCTTGGAGCGGCCCACAGGCCCACATACCCACCACACCCCAATTGGTCCGGAACTTCTTTTAGAAAACAGTCTAGTTTTCTCTTGAAGTCCACGGTTGTTCCAGCAATATTTCTTAGTCGCTGGGAGGACGTTGAACGGCCGTGGACCTCTGATGTTTATACAGTGTTCTCTGATTGTGCCTATGACACCTCTGCTCTTCACTGGTTCTATTCTGCATTTTCTTCCATATCGTTCACTCCAGTACGTTGTTATTTTACTGTGCAGATTAGGGACCTGGCCCTCCAGTATTTTCCATGTGTATAATATTTGATATCTCTCTCATCTCCTTTCTAGAGAGTACATTTGGAGAGCTTTGAGACGATCCCAATAATTTAGGTGCTTTATCGCGTCTATGCGTGCCGTATATGTTCTCTGTATTCTCTCTATTTCAGCAATCTCTCCTGCTCTGAAGGAAGAAGTGAGTACTGAGCAGTACTTGAGACGGGACAACCCAAGTGACTTGAAGAGTACAACCATTGTGATGGGATTCCTGGATTTGAAAGTTCTCGTAATCCATCCTATAATTTTTCTGGCCGACGCAATACTTGGTTGGTTATGCTCCCTAAACGTTAGGTCGTTGGACATCATTATTCCCAAATCCTTGACATGCTGTTTACCTACTATGGGCAGATTCGATTGTGTTTTGTACTCTGTATTATGTTTCAGATCCTCATTTTTGCCATACCTGAGTACAGTACCTGGAATTTATCACCGTTAAACATCATGTTATTTTCTGCTGCCAAATCGAAAACTTTGCTGATATCTGCTTGTAATTTTTCAATGTCTTCAGCAGAGGTAATTTTCATGCTGATTTTTGTCCTCTGCAAAGGATGACACAAAGCTGTGACTTGTATTTTTGTCTATATCTGATATGAGAATAAGGAACAGCAGTGGTGCAAGGACTGTACCTTGAGGTACAGAGCTTTTAACTGCGCTCGGACTTGATTTTACTTGATTGACTGTTACTCTTTGTGTTCTGTTCGACAGGAAATTGAGTATCCAGCATCCTACTTTACCAGTTATTCCCATTGACCTCATTTTGTGTGCAATCACTCCATGGTCACATTTGTCGAATGCCTTTGTAAAGTCTGTGTATACGACATCTGCATTCTGTTTTTCTTCTAATGCCTCAGTGTTATTGTCATAGTGGTCAAGTAGCTGTGAGAGGCATGATCTTCCTGCTCTAAATCCATGTTGGCCTGGATTGGAGTTCATTGGTTTCCATGAATCTAGTGACGAGACTCCTGATCACTCTTTCAAATACTTTTATTATGTGGAATGTTAGTGCAACTGGTCTGTAATTCTTTGCCAATGCTTTGCTACCACCCTTGTGTATAGGGGCAATGTCTGCTGCTTTAAGCGCATCTGGTATCTCCCCCGTATCCAAGCTCTTCCTCCACACTATACAGTACTGAGTGCCTGTGCTACTGGCACTTTGCATTTCTTTATAAATATTGAATTCCATGAGTCTGGACCCAGGGCTAAGTGCATGGGCATATTGTCAATTTCTCTTTCAAAATCTGTTACGCTCATGTTGATATCAGTTATATTTACACGTATTTGGATATCACTTGTAAAGAAATTGTCCTAATCTTCCACTTTCGTGCTGTGTATCAGAGTGCTAAACATGTCCTCATACTGCTTTTTTAGGATTTCACTAATTTCTTTGTCATCCTCAGTGTATGAACCTTCACTAATACGAATAGGTCCAATACTGGCAATGGGTTTTGCTTTTGATTTAGCATGGGAAGAAATATTTTGGGTTTTTCTTTATTTCTTGAATTGCTTTCTGTTCTAGTTGCCTTTCTTCAGTCTGATAGGAATGCTTCAGTCTCTGTTCGATTTCTTCAATCTCCGTTTAAATTATTTCTTCTTTGTATGGAGAGTCATGACTGCTTAAGCATTTCCGTTAATTTCTTCCTTCTTTTGTAATGTCGTCTGCGTTCTCTTTCTACATTTGACCTCTTTCTGGCTTTCCTCAAAGGAACATGTTTCAGATAGACTTCATATGCTTCAGAAGTCAGTTTTTCTATTCCTTGTGTAGGATTTTTATTTCTTACAAACATTCAATGTGAAAATGTTCTAAGTTCCCTGTTTATTTTCTCCCAGTCTATCTTTTTATTATTAAAATTGACTTTATTGAATAGCCCTTCTCGCTTGTTGTTTCTCTTGGGCCTACTACCATTATTAATGTTAGTTTGCATTTCAGTGAGCTTGTGGTCAGAGTACGTAGTGTCTGAGACAGTAATGTCTCTGATTAGCTCCTCATTGTTCGGGAATATCAAGTCCAGTGTGTTCTCGTTCCTAGTTAGTTCTGTAATCTGCTGACTGAGCGAGAATTTGTCATAGAATCTCGGTAGTTCTCTGACCTGTGGTTGGTTATTTCCAGGTTGATTTCCTGCTATAATGTTGTTGTTTACTATTCTCCATTTTAAACTGGGTAGATTGAAGTCTCCAAGGAAGATAATATCTGGTACTGGGTTTGCTAGGTTATCAAGGATATTTTCTATTTTGTGGATCTGTTCAGTGAATTCCTCAACTGTTGCATCTGGCAGTTTGTATATTGAAATAATTAGATTAATATTTTCTATTTTGATTCCAAGTACCTCTACCTCTACATTGTCTCTGATTACTATTGCCCTAGTTAAAAAAATTCATCCATGTCATTAGTCTCCCTGTCACCTCTCCAGCATGTTCGTTTCCATAACAGCCTCTTGTGTGGGACTATCAAAAGCCTTATTTTAGGTCCAGATCAATCAACCCATCTCTTTCCTGTAGTATCTCTGTGGCTCTATCATAAAAACTAAGTAGATTTGTTACACAGGATCTTCCAGTTTGAAAACCATAGTCTGTTCGTCATTACATCATTACTCAATGTGTTATCTTGGTTATCTTGATGATTTCGGGGCTTTTTTAGTGTCCCCGCGGCCCGGTCCTCGACCAGCTGAGTAACACCCAGGTACCTATTTTACTACTAGGTAACGGGGGCATAGGGTGAAAGAAACTCTGCCCATTGTTTCTTGCCGGCCCCCGGGATCAAACCCGCGACCACAGGATCGCAAGTCCAGCGTGCTGTCTGCTCGGCCGACCGGCTCTCCATGGTGTTCAACCCATTTAGCTTTTAACCATTTCTTCTAGTGTTTTGACTATCACGCTTGTTAATGACACGGGTCTATAATTGAGGTTTCTCTAGACTACTATTTTTATAAATATTACTGTTTACCTTTTTCCATATACAGTATCTGCTAAGATTCCTGTGCACAAGGATGTCTGGAATATTAATTGGAGTGGAATGCTCGGCTCAGGTGCACATTCTTGCAGCACCGAAGGTGAAACTCCATCAGGTCCAACTGCTTTATTTCTTTCTAGCCTCAAGAGTAATTTTTTCAATTCATCTTGAGATACCTCTATGTATTCTATGGCGTGTTCTGGAATTGGTATTTGATCCGGCTCTCTGAAATCCTCATTTTGTACACACACTTTGGAACTGTTCATTTAGTATTTCACATAATTCTTTTTCATTCTCAGTAGTCCTGTTCCCTATTCTCAATCTCTGGATTTTATCTTTTACATGCAGCTTGCTTTTTAACCCTTTAGCTGTGCATGGGGAAAATATATATTTATTTTTACAAGTTTACAACCTGGTTTACAAATCTGCCTGACCACAGGCAGATTGGTAAACAAGGTTGTGGTACACAAAATTAATAGTACAGCATGTTCATTTTCGGACATTCCTGAAAAGAAATTCGGCAAATTCGAATGTGTGGCAAACTTGAATGGGGCCATAATTGAACCCCATATGATTTGGATTTTCTGAGCATTGACATTAAACAAGCAACGGTTATACCAGGTCTTAGTATATAAATGTTTTCTCTCAAATTCAATGATTCCGTGTATAGTAGTGTCAACAGTACCTACCATATTAGGTGAGGGGGGGTCAGAGTTACCTCCAGTGTGTATTCTTCCATCAGTGAGCCAATCTAAGGGACTGAGCATATCTCTGCGTGGGCTGTATTTTGTGTACCACATGCCGGGGTAATTGGATTCCAGAATTTTGCAGGTAGGCATAAGGACATACAGTACTGTATGTCCTTATAGTAAGTATGGACTCACAACTGGATGGAGAATTTATAGTTCCCTAGAATAACTTTTGTGGCAGTTCTAAGACTCTGTGAAGATTGCAAAATAGACCCAAAGCAGGGATATGTTACAAAAAACTCTTAGGCATCATAACTGCAATAACGTGTTTGGAGTCAACAGTCAAGGTCACACAGGTTAGAGATCATACTAATAGAGGGTGAAGTATGAATAGATACTTCATTGGTGAAGCAATTTTAATTACTCTTAATAACATTTACATCTTCACTTTTGTTCAAGAATTATGTTGCAGATAAAATTAACATTTATCAGAACAATACCTTTTTTGCAACTTCTTAACCCTTAAACTGCGCAACGCGCCTGCAGGCTCACGTCTGGTTTGCGCAACGCGCCTCCGGGTATTTGTATTTTTCACGTTCCATTCAAAACTCCCGCGGCTACATGGGGTTCACATCAGCTTCCTCAGGGCTCTTGTAAACAGACGCCATCTTTAAAACAAATCGTGGTCCACATTCCCGGGTGTGGGAGCCTCGGTAGTGTGTGAGCAACCAAGGCTGTCGCTCGCAGCATGAGCGCACAGCACTGCTGTTCAGCATGTGACCACAGCATCGCCTAATAATGTCAAAATATATATACAACTTGTATTATTTAGCTATGATAGTGTTATATTAGAGCCTGAGTGTGATAATGACTGGGTACAATGTTCAAATATCAGTGATTCAATGCTGTTCACGATGTTCACAGCGCTAGCCACAGCATTATTTCCTTCATCTAGGAATCTTCAAATGATTTCTTAGGTTCCTTTTCAAAATAAACGTGTGGTCAATTATTCATTTACAGGAATTAGTGACCAGGATTGTGATAATAGCAGGAATGTGGTTATAATTAACGTTGTGCATAGTATTGTGGAAGGAGGAATTTTGATGAGGGAGGGAGGGCGAGAATTGAGGTAGCCTCATTGTGTGTGGCTGCCACTCTTGTTTTGCTCACCATACAATACAATACAATACAATTTTATTTAGGTAAGGTACATACATACAATAAATTTTTACAAGGATTGGTTGACTTATAGGTAGAGCTAGTACATACAATGCCTAAAGCCACTATTACGCAAAGCGTTTCGGGCATATATACTAGCTTACTGGTTCGCTATGGGCAACACATATGTACATGGGTATATATAGTGTGTGTATATAGTGTAAGAACAGCAACAGAAGAATGTTGAGAGGAGCTATTTTGGTGAGGGAGGTGACGTAATCGTAGCGTCGTCTGCTGTGTGATTTTTCATGCAGTGTATGGTGGCCACTGTACTGTTTGGACACAATACGGGCTTACTTGCATAGTTCTGGTAAATAAAACATGTAGATAGGTATATAGAACATGTGTAATAAGAACTATAGCAATATGGTGGGAGGAGCAATGTTGGCGAGTAAGATGTTGGAGTGAAGGAGACTGGCTGGGGTGGCTGCTCTCACTCGAGGTGTTCTGAATGTGTTCATGGCCAAATGCTCCTATTGGCCCATACGAGGCAGCTGCTATTGGCCCATACGGGGCAGCTGCTATTGGCCCATACGGGGCAGCTGCTATTGGCCCATACGGGGCAGCTGCTATTGGCCCATACGGGGCAGCTGCTATTGGCCCATACGAGGCAGCTGCTATTGGCCCATACGAGGCAGCTGCTATTGGCCCATACGAGGCAGCTGCTATTGGCCCATACGAGGCAGCTGATATTGGCCCATACGAGGCAGCTGCTATTGGCCCATACGAAGCAGCTGCTACGCGGTGTTCTGAATGTGTTGATGGTGAATGTATATAGTGTGTGACAGTGTATAGTGTGTAGATTGTATATATACACAAATTAGCATGATACATAGTAAATATGTGCTGCTTATGTGTACACAAGTTTCATGCACGTAACACAGTGTCTACGGACAGTACGGATGTTGTACTGCGATATTATAGTGTACGTGTATGAAAATGTATTTGGAAAGGTGCGCAAAAAATAATTGAAAATATATTCGAAGCAACTCCCGCACCCCGCCCCGAGCGCCCCACCGCCCCCGAGAGCTTACAGCACGGGCGCACGGGGAATGATGACGTCACGCCCCAACTTCTGGACCCCATAGCAGCCAAAGTAAGTACAATTTCGAGTTTTTTTTTACATACCCATAATGAGGGAAGGGTTTTTGACACTTTAAAAAGAAAAAATAATTTTTTCCAGAGAATTTATTTCCTGCGCACTGCGGGGGTGTCACATTTGGAGGCAACGCAGTTAAGGGGTTAATGTGCAGGTATACCTTACATATAAATTTATCTTAGAAAATAAAGGTATCATTGCAATTTATAAGCTAAAAGAGTGTAATATGCAAGCAATTTTATTTATATAATTATACATTATATATTATTTTAGATTCCCGATGATACCATAGGGTCATCGGCAGGTTACATTTCATATATATTATATATTACTATTAGGACTAGTTCCAAATCGGACACACAAAAATAACTCCACGAGACCAGAAGGCATGATAGGATGTGTAAAATAGCCCCACTGGAAAGCAGAGGTGTAGTAGGCATGCTGAGAGAGAACTCTATCAACATCAGATTTTTTCAACAATCTTGGGCAACATATATTTCAACACACACACATACATATAAATAATTCATAAATTTGTAACTAACAGCTGACATTCCTCCCTAGATATAAAGCAAAGCAACTTATATTGCTACTCAGTGTGTCTGTTGAACACGACCAGCTGTTAAAAGAGTTGCAAATTTATGAATCTGAGCATTTTTGCTTCGGATGTAAACCATGGTCTCCCACAAGGCATTGACAAGAATGTCATCTCGAGTGTCATCCAGCTGAACATCCAAGGACAGTTGAGGAGAGAGACGTAAGTACGTGATGCCACACGATGCACACCAAGCTCGTGCCCTGTCAACTGTACAATTATCTGCCATTGTTGCCTGTAACAGAAAGAGTCAGACATGTACCATTATATTTATAATTATTTTTAATTTAGTTTAAAATAAAATAAAAAAAATAAATCTATTTATATGTATGAAATGGATAGAAGGATGATAACAGATTGAAGAGTGAATTTGAAAATAGGGAGGCTGGGAGGAAAATTGTGAGCGCAAGGATGAACACACACCACCTAAGAACACTTAGGTCTTGCCTACAGCCCACCAGCAAGCAACACATGGACAAAGGAAGATCTGGATGACAAACGAGAGGGCCTCAAGAGCTGATAAAGATAAATCCCGATTGCTGGTACTGAGGGACTTCAACTTTAAGGCAATAGACTGGGAGGCCTACGAGGCAAGAACAGAGGACATTTGGACAGACAGATTTGTAAACCTCATCTTGGAGACATTCATGTATCAACACGTCAAGCAGGCCACAAGAATGAGGGAAGGGGATGTTCCGTCAGTACTGGATCTAGTATTCACCAGGAAAGAAGAGGTATTTGACATCCAGTACCTTCCTCCCTTGGGAAAGAGTGATCAAGTCCTCTTGGACATTAAATATGCTATGCGATATAATTTAGTAGAGAATGGGGACAGTGAAACAGTTGTTAAACTCGATTTCAAGAGAGGACACTATAGGGAACTTATAAATTTTTTTCATGGGTATAATTGGACAGACATGTTGCTAGGCAAGGAAGTAAACGAGATGTATGCCAAATTTTGCAAAATATATGATGAAGGCACACAAACATTCATACCAAAACAGACATGCAGACCTAGGAAACAGGGTTGGTTCAACAGAAATTGCGAGAGGGCCAGAGATCAAAAGACACAAGCATGGAATCGTTACAGAAAGAGACCAAACCCCCAAACATAGCAGCGATACAAAGACTCAAGAAACAACTACACGTCAGTAAGGAGGGAGAGGCAGAGAGGAAGTTTGAGAACGGTATAGCAGACAAATGTAAACCAGATCCAGGCCTTTTCTATAAATTCATTAAAAGCAAGCTGCAGGTAAAGAATAATATTCAAAGGTTGAAAATGGGGGACAGATGCACGGAAAATGAAAAGGAAATGTGTGAAACATTAAACGAAAAGTTCCAAAGTATGTTTGTACAAAATGAGATGTTCAAAGAACCAGACACATTAAGAATTCCAGAGAACAGCATAGAGTACATAGAGGTGTCTAGAGACGAAGTGACACAAATGCTCCTGGAGCTAAGTAAGAACAAAGCAGTTGGTCCAGATGGAGTTTCACCATGGGTTCTGAGACTGTGCACCTGAGCTCAGCATTCCACTTCAACTGATTTTTCAGACATTCCTGTGTACAGGAGTCATAGCAGATATGTGGAAAAAGGCTAATATAGTTCCAATCTACAAAAGTGGCAACAGGGAAGACCTCCTGAATTATAGACCTATATCATTGACAAGTGTAATAGTCAAAATATTGGAAAAATAAAAACTAAATGGGTGGAACACCTGGAGAGAAATGATATAATATCAAATAGACAGTATGGTTTTCGATCTGGAGGATCCTGTGTATCGAATTTACTGAGTTTCTATGATCAAGCAATTTACTCAGTTTCTATGATCTAGCCACAGAGCTTTTACAGGAAAGAGATGGTTGGGTTGACTGCATCTATTTGGACCTAAAAAGGGCTTTTGACAGAGTTCCACATAAGAGGTTGTTCTGGAAACTGGAAAATATTGGAGGGGTGACAGGTAGACTTCTAACATGGATGAAAAATTTTCTGGCTGATAGAAAAATGAGGGCAGCGATCAGAGGCAATGTATCGAACTGGAGAAATGTCACAAGAGTACCACAGGGTTCAGTTCTTGCACCGGTGATGTTCATTGTCTACATAAATGATCTACCAGTTGGTATACAGAATTATATGAACATGTTTGCTGATGATGCTAAGATAATAGGAAGGATAAGAAACTTAGATGATTGTCATGCCCTTCAAGAAGACCTGGACAAAATAAGTATATGGAGCACCACTTGGCAAATGGAATTTAGTGTGTATAAATGCCATGTTATGGAATGTGGAATAGGAGAACATAGACTCCACACAACCTATAAATTATGTGAGAAATCTTTAAAGAATTCTGATAAAGAAAGAGATCTAGGGGTGGTTCTAGATAGAAAACTGTCACCTGAGGACCACATAAAGAACGTTGTGTGAGGAGCCTATGCTACACTTTCTAACTTCAGAATTGCTTTTAAATACATGGATGGGGAAAGACTAAAGAAATTGTTCACGACTTTTGTTAGGCCAAAGCTAGAATATGCAGTGGTTGTGTGGTGCCCATATCTTAAGAAGCACATCAACAAACTGGAAAAGGTGCAAAGACATGTTACTAAGTGGCTCCCAGAACTGAAGGACAAGAGCTACGAGGAGAGGTTAGAGGCATTAAATATGCTGAAACTAGAAGACAGAAGAAAAAGAGGTGATATGATCACTACATACAAAATAGTAACAGGAATTGACAAAATTGATAATGAAGATTTCCCGAGACCTGGAACTTTAAGAACAAGAGGTCATAGATTTAAACTATGGTGGAGGCCAAAACCGTCAGTATTTTCAAAGCGTTATATGACAGAGTGCTGGGAAGACGGGACACCACGAGCGTAGCTCTCATCCTGTAACTACACTTAGGTAATTGCTTACAGTAAATGTTTTTCTGGGGGAGCTCCTTGGTGGCTCCCTCAAGCTGCCACTAAGATAGCTTGCCATTAATCTGTCCCATCAGTCTTAGGCTTCCTGTTGGCCTACCAGAGCCAGTACCTCCCCCCCCCCCCCTCACAGAGGCACAGGGACCAGGTGATTGTTATGATCACCCTCACTGGGAAAGCAACCAGCAAGTAGATGAGACAATACAGACAACTGAATGCTTCAGGAAAATGAAGCATGAAAACAGCCAACAGATACAGCAAAAGATTAACTCAAAATGGGTACAAAAAACACTTCCTCTTCAGTGCACAAAGTTGTCAACAGGTTGTATCCCAAAGTTCCCAGCTTCAAAATTAGCACCTACCCATTCCTTTTGCTGATGTGAGATATTCCATGTCTGACATACCATAGCAACTCCCACTTCTCCAAGATAAGTGCTGGCCATCATTTGGACTCTTCCCATGGAGGCCATTTTGCTAGTGTACTATTCCTAGTTTGTTATATTTGACTTGGCATAATGTGTGCTCTGAGCTGCACATGTTTAGGGCTACCTTTCCTAGGCACCAATTTAGCATTGCCCCTGAACTGCTCAATTGAGCTGCTCAATACAGCAATGCTCAATACACAATACAGGGGTTCCATCTGAGTATTAACAATATATAGACTTTACAGTTAAACACTTTACTAACATGGATCAAAATTGAGGGAGCACGGAACATGTGTGCAGGAATGCATGACCGAAACAATACAAAACTTGGTTTGTCCCCAAAACACAGGAGACTATATATACACTTCTACATAAAAAGACCTAATCCTACACTAGCTGTAACTCAGCACCACTAAATTATAACATGAAATAGATTATCATTATACACTTATTGTTCTTGTAGACCACCCGAGCATCGCACTGATGCTGACCGCACTCAAGGTGTTGTCACTTCGTGAATGACCAAGTCACTGTAGCTCTCCTCTGTGTGTGTGTGTGTGTGTACCCACCTAGGTTCTAATAACATTCCATACAAACTCGTATCCCAAAATTGTAAATTTCTATGAATTATAGAGTTCCAGACTGTATTTTCAATCACTGAATGTCCTTTATGTAAGTATTTTTTTCACTGTTTTTGGGAAGGACATTTTCCTACTGTAACAGTGCTCTGCGCATGTGCAGAAATGACTATTGTACTGGCGGGGATTCTAAATTAAAGAGTTAAACCATGTACTGAGTTAAGCAACACATGGACAAAGGGAGAACTGGATGACATATAAGAGGGCCTCATAATTGTCATGAGTGAGATTACAGTAAAAGCAGATAGATAAATCATGCTTGTGAGTACTGGGAGAACATCAACTTTACAACAATAGACTGGGAGGCCTACGAAGCAAGAACGGAGGACAACTGGACAGGCAGATTTGTAATCTCATTCTGGAGACATTTATGTATCAAAACATCAAGCAGGCCACAAGAGTGAGGGAAGGGGGTGTTCTGTCAATACTGAATCTAATGCTCACCAGAAAAGAAGCAGAGATATTTGTCATCCAGTACCTTCCTCACTTGGGAAAAGAGTGATCATGTCCTATTTGACATTAAATATGATTTGAGATATAATCTAGAAAAAAATGGGGACATTGAAACAGCTGTTAAACTCAATTTCAAGAGAGGACACTATGGGTAATTTGGAATTTTTTTAAAAGAGTTTAATTTGACAGACGTTGCTAGGCAAGGAAGGAAATGAGATGTATGCCAAATTTTGCAAAATATATGATGAAGTCACACAAACATTTATGTCAAAACAGAGATGCAGGACCAGAAAACAGGATTGGTTCAACAGAAATTGTGAGAGGGCCAGAGAGGAAAAGACAAGAAAATGAGTTAAATATAGGAAGTCACACAAACATACCAGCACTACAAGCAAGCAAAAAAACAAGTACACAACAGTGAGGAGAGAGGCAGAAAGGAACTTTGAGAAAGGTATAGCAGACAAATGTAAAACAGATCCAAGCCTTTTCTATAAATTCATTAAAAGCAAGTTGCATGTAATGAATCAAATCCAGAGATTGAGAACAGGGAACAGGACTACTGAGAATGAAAAAGAGATGTGTGAAATGCTAAATTAACAGTTCCAAAGTTTGTTTGTACAAAATGAGGATTTTATAGAACCGGACCCAATACCAATTCCAGTGCATGCCATAGAATACATAGAGGCATCTCAAGACTAAGTGGAAAAATTACTCACAGGGATAGGAAGAAATAAAGCAGTTGGACCTCATGGAGTTTCACCTTGGGTGCAAGAATGTGTAACTGAGCTGAGCATCCCCCTCCAATTAATATTCCAGACATCCTTGTGCATAAGAATCTTAGCAGATTTATGGAAAATGGTAAACATAGTACCAATCTATAAAAATGATAGTCAAGAGGAACCTCTAAATTATAGACCCATATTATTAACAAGCATGGTAGTCAAAATACTAGAAGCAATAGTTAAAGCTAAATGGGTTGAACACCTTGAGAGTACAGTACTAGGAGGGTTATGACCTTACTACTGGGGGGATCACTTGATAAGTCATTTGATTGTCTTTACTTTCTTTTGACCTTGCTGTTGCCTGTTTGCTTCACTTTCTTTCTGGAGATCTGAATATTCAGCGAGGGTGATAATGAATCCCCGCCCTGTGCCTCTGTGAGGGTTTGGAGTGACCCTGGTTTTGCCCTCTCATCTCCAGTAGTGCCGATCAACCAGGAGCCCCAGTCAGAGACCGGGTTATGGGGACATTGAGCCTCAAAATCATCAACAGGTAGGTATGCTTTTAATAACTTGCAAGGGCTAATGGGACTTTAAAGTGTAGAGCTATTTCAGTGTGGCTCCCTGCTGCTAGCCACGCTAGCCATCATTCAACCTCTACAGAAAAATAAAATATCTTGTTGTAGGAGTAGGTCCAGGAACCAACTGATTACCTTGAGTAAGATATCACTGAACATTGAGATATGAATTTATTTTGTAAAGAGCATCTTGAGAATATTAAATCCAGTGCAAAGATAATAACTAAAAATTGTACATACTTGGTCAATCAGCATCTTTGCAATGTTTGAGAGACCAAATGCCATCTGCACTGTACTCCACATACTTTCAGGTCTGAAGCAGTCAATGGCATCAACCTGGAATCAAATCAGTCATAATTATTCATAAAAAAATAAAGTATACATGCTAGCATCATCAAAAGAACATGAATAGTTGAATATTGTACATTCTGACCAGATAATCAAAGCGGGAAAAGAACATCACTGTAAAATTTTACATTTCATCATTTTGAGCATGAACAGCAGAGAACCAGCACTAACTGTTTTTATTCGGTTTTAGTTCAAATAAATTTTCTAACAGTAGTTGCATATGTACAGCAAATCCATGCATATGTTTCAACTTTCTCTTTTTCAGTCAAATGAAGTATTATACTCACCGATTTGAGATGCACTTTACCAAATTTCGTGAACAGAGCAACAGAAGAAAGTCAGGACAACAGGCAAGAAAAGCCAGAAACTAGAGCATAACAGTCACATAGGAGCCCATAGAAGAAAGTAGCCTCAACCTAGGCAACAACAGAAGCAGCAGTTCAACCTGGAGAAGAGAAAAAGATGAGCCACCTCCCTCAGACCAGAAAAAATGTGCCCTCTGCTAATGTCATGCACTCCAGTATCAGTGTCCCACAGACAGAAAGCTGCCAGGACTCTGGGACTGCATGTGCCAACAGGCTCAATAAAAAATCCAAGGCTTATCCAGAAGAGACAATGGAATCAAACGGACAGTAGTCTTCCAAGCCTCTGTCACATTTCCCGAGGGATATGCCACCAATTCAAGCCCTGCAGTCATCTGAGCCAGGAACCAAACCTCCAGTAAAGCAGCTGCCATCCCCAAAGATACATCCACTAAGTAACCTGTAACATACAGCTGATAACAAAATCTAATATAGAATAGGGGTGAAGCAAGATTGGATATGCAACACATCAACCCATCCTCAAACCGTAAAATTAAGAGCAATACTATACAAACAAAAAAGCCCCTACTAACAAAGCCCAAGGATGGCCAGCATTTAGCTTTAAGCGACAGGACTTGCCCACGACTGGGGTGACCGTAACACTAAAGGCAGAACTAAACACTGGATCATCAGCAACAGAACTGACCAGGGTAGCTGGCTAAGGGCTTTGGCCAGGCCGCCTGATGGCAGTAATTGATACGAATGAGTTTAAAGCTAGTTTGCATAAATTCCTTGTTCTGTGGGAATCGTTTGCGGAGTTATTTGGCGACTTCGAGGCTTCGTTTTTTGTGAACCCTCCAGCTATTTGTAAAGCTTCGCTTGCTTCATGGAGACTTTTTCCAGTGGGATGGAGGACTTTCTCACTCTCCCTTGTAAGGTACGAGATTAAAAGCCATACCGTAGAGGATAGCTAACAACACCCTCTCTTACTCTTATAAGTAACGGGAGGGTTAGGGGGAAAACCCCCAGCATTGAATGTAATGAAACGCCATTTTCCGAGCGAGTCCCGAAGGCTCACTTGAACTAACCAGGCTGATATGTATATCATTAGACTTTAGCATCAGTCAGTGTGAATGGATTTCTAGGCCTACCGGGGACCATGAGCCAGAACCTGGCCCCTCTCAGAGAGGCACGAGGAGCAATGGCCTATAGAAATGCACATGGGATGTGGAGCATTATATGTCTGCCATCGAACGGGCCAGGCATCCAGAAAGGTAAGCATCCCAAAACAAACCCCTATTCTGGTTAAAACGACTAAAATAGACAAACGAGTGGACAGAACTCTCCTAATGAAAACGAGCAAACGAGCATGACGTCACACGAACTGCGCCGCATGTTTGCGCAGCTTTCCCCTCCCTGGGAGGGAGAAGGGGAGAGCCCCAGACGCACTGCGCCGGCGATCCATTCTCCAGTTCGAGGCTGGATGTCAAAACACGCGAAAAAACGCTGTCCAGGGGGGAGGGATTGCCGGGGAGCCTTTGGGTCTCACCCAGAAAATGGCATTTCATTACATTCAATGCTTTTTTTTTGGGGGGGGGGAGCCCTTTCGGCTCCCCAGAGCTACATCACCAAAGACAAAAACTAGAGGGACTTACCCGGGAGGCAGTCAGTGCTCGCACCTCAACTCAAAGTTGAGACAATAGGCTGCAACCGCCGACCGAAAGCGACACAGGCCCGACTAGCCCCCAGGAACATTTACAAGGCAGCATGCAGCCAGGACCCTGTTCGACCGCCAAAAACCCTGTGCCCGAATGTCAGCCCAGGACATGTTAACGAAGATGGCAGCCAATGTAGCAAACTTACGAATGTCATGGGCACGGGAGTAGACCGCAGGCTGGCTAGACCGAATAACCCTGCAGATGACCTGAGAGACCCGAACCCTAGAACATGGAAGAAGGGAAACTGGATCAACCCAGAGTGCGTCCCCGGACACAGAGGCTGTGGCACGCAAATAGCGACAGACAGCTACAACTGGACACAACACATGATGCACCCCCGCCCTGACCAACCAAGCATCAACATCCCAAGGACCCCTCCAGAAAGCCACTCTCATTCTTCGCCAGAAAAGAAGGATGCAAAATGAACCCATCACCATGACCAAAAGAGCAGAAACTCCAGCACTGAAGAAGAGCATGAGGCTCACCAACCCAATCCCCAGAGGCCAATGCCAACAGAAAAAGAGCCTTGGAGAAACAATCCTGAACTGAAGGGGCCACAACAACCGAGGAGAACGATAAGAGTCCAATGACCAGGACGGCTCAGGCGGTGCATGAGCAGGCCGGAGGTGAAACAACGCCAGAGACAGTTTGTAAAACAGTGTAGAAGTAACATCAATACAGAAAGCAAGCTGAAGAGGCTCCGCACGACACGAGGCGACAGTGTTAGGCATAAGGTGACGGTCCTGGAACAACCGAGAGAGAAAGGACACCACCACCCTAACAGAAAGTGAAGTACAACGACAAAGACTCGGGAAGAAACAGAAGGACCGCCAGGAAACCTCGTACTCCCGCCAAGACGAAACCAGCAGGTGGGACACTAACAAGGAAACCACCTGATCACCATAGAGATGATGATAAACTCGAATAAAAAATACCATATGCAAAGACTCGAGGAGAAGATCGAACCAGCCATGTGACGTTCCAGTCCGATCTGCTGGAAAAGGCAAAGCCGCGGGAAAACCTCCGGGTTCGGACACCGAGCAAGCAGTGCCTGAAACCACGTCTGGGCTGACCACAACGGGGCCAAGAGGACAACTCTTCCCTGGTAAGTCTCCAAGCGAGTCAGGACCTGAAGTAACAGCTGAACCAGGGAAAAGAGGTAAAGGAACCCCCTACCTCGACCAGTCCTGCCGTAAGGCATCGACCCCGACGGCTTCGCAGTCGGGGAAGGGCGCCACATACAGGGAAAGGCGCCGTGACCACGCCGACACAAAGAGGTCCACCTAGGGGCGACTGAACGTCTGGCAAACCCAACTGAATGAGTCAGCGTCGACCGTCCATTCTGTGGAGAGGGGAACGAAATGGGACAGGCCGTCGGCCAAGACGTTGGACACTCCTTGCACGTGAACGGTCAGGAGACCCAAACCCCGAGAACTCAGCAGAAGAGTCACCTGAAGTGATCAGTCCCAAAGAGCTAAGGACCACATCGAACCCCCTCGGTTCAGGCAATGAACCCCCGGGGAGTAGTTCGAATGGAGCCAGATCGTCGACTCGCGGGTGACCCGAATCCTCTGAAGCGCAAACTACACTGCCACGAACTTCCGCACCGTGCTGTGGGCTCGATGGAAGGACGGACCCCACCCCCCCTGGCCGGCCTGGTGAGCACTGGTCACAAAGCCCCAGCCGAGAGACGACGTGTCTGTGAACACATCAAGCCAGGGCTCGGGCAGGTGCCAAGGCACCGAACCCCGAAAAACCCTTAGAGGAAGCCGGCGACGCAGTAGCCGATGCAAGGCCCCTGGGAGTCGAACCCAGCGATTGCAAGAGAGGCGGAAGGGACGTCCCCAAAGGAACCAGAACAGCCGACGAAGCCAAACCCGACCCGGCGGGTAGACCAACACTGCGAGGTTCAGGCTCCCGCACAAACCCTTGAGCAACCGCCAGGTGACCCAGGAGCCCCTCAGAAACAGGCGCAAGCGGAACTGCAGCCGGAGGGGAGACTCCGGAGGAAGAGACAAGGAAGTGGTCTGAGAGTCCCACACAAGACCCAGCCATGACCGAACCTGGGAGGGCACCAGATGGGATTTCCTCCAGTTCACCTAGAACCTAAGACAGCGTAGTCATCCGAAAGAAGGGGCAAGGAACTCAGGGGGTTTAGACGGGACAAGTCCAGAATGAACCTCGGGTCCGCACAGTCTCGTTTCGACACTGGAAACAGACGGGAAACCGTCTGTTTCCAGATGGGGCGTGGACAAAGGGGCGCAGACTGAACCAGGGTTGAAGCGACCCCCACCCCCAAGTTCGGGTCCCTATAGGTAAAACGGGGCAATCTCAGGGCATCCAGGTGAGCAATCAACCTAGTGTGTTGCAACAGCCAAGAGCGTACATGCAATGCCTGCGCTGCCTGTACCCGTAGATGATCATCATTAGACTGGGTAAATTGAGTCACCAGCAAGCAACAGAACTCACAGGACTCAGGGTCAAAAGTGTCACAACCGTGACACTTTTGAACAACAGCGGAACAACCGTGGACATTTTCAAGAGGAAACTAGATTTATTCCTCCAAGGAGTGCCGGACCAACCGGGCTGTGGTGGATATGTGGCCCTGCGGGCCTCTCCAAGCAACAGCCTAGTGGACCAAACTCTCACAAGTCAAGCCTGGCCTCGGGCCGGGCTTGGGGAGTAGAAGAACACCCAGAACCCCATCAATCAGGTATCAACGACCCAACAGGCAGCTTGATGGAGGCAAACACCGTGAGGGTCACCCCGAGTCAAGGGAACCGAGCAACCCTCGAACTCGCACGAAGCGAGGGGGGGATTCCGGAGACACATCCATCGGACCCACGTGCCTCCTAGGGGATTCCCAGGGTCCTGAGCGTTTACCAACAGGGACTCACGTCCAGGTAATCTCAGGCAGGGTACTGCTAACCGGCGCCCACAACTACCAAACAACTATCTAAAAGCTGAACCCCAGGGACATGTACACTCACAGGGACCTAGCAGGGGGCTCCACCAGAAAACGAAGCGTGCACAGGTCAGGCACAAGTGGGGAAGCAAGGTGGACCCCCCCCCCCCACAAGGCAAAAAGAAAAGGAAAAACAAAACTCCGCAAGAGGACAACGTACCCCAAGGAACAGAGCCGGCCGCTGTGAGTGGTGAAAACAAGCTGCACAGCTCCCTGCGCCCCACCAGTGCAAACTGCCTCTTACCCTAAGGTAAACAAGGAAGACAAAACCCCCAAGCACCCAAAGAGTGACCGAAAAACCTAGCAGTAATATGGCCTAGTAGAGGCAGGTCCCAAGGAGCTTGTGGAAGGCGGCCCCAAGACCCAAGGGCAGTACTTACAGGGCACCTAGGGATGAAAACCCTAGGCTCATGTAGCCCAAATACTGTAGAATAACTCCTGGCTCTCGCACCCCTCGAAGACAGCCACCACTCTAAGCACAGTACTGAAAACTCTGGAGCCAAGCACACGACCTCCGCCTCTAGCATCAGCCTGAGAACTAAAGGGTGGATAGCCGGCATGAAGGGTCTGGGGCTCCCCCTTCCCCCTCCCGGGGAGGGGGGAGCTGCGCAGACAGCGGCACGGCGATGTGTGACGTCATGATCATTTGCTCGTTTCGTTTAGGGGAGTTCTATCCATTTGTTCGCCTTTTGGTAGCAATATTTTCACCAGAATAGGGGTTTGTTTTGGGATGCTTACCTTTCTGGGTGCCTGACCCGGTTGATGGCAGACATAGAATGCTTCCAACCACACGGGGGTTTCTATAGGCCATTGGTCCCCTTGCCTCTTCTGAGGGTGCCAGGTTCTGGCTCGTGGTCCCTGGTAGGCCCACAGAACTCCATACACATGACTGATGCCAAAGTCTGACATTAGCACATCAGCCTGGATAAGCTCCGGGGAGCTGAAGGGGCTCTCCCCAGAAAATGGTCAAGTATACTAATAACAAGTGTAATAACCTTGGACACTGGTGGTCTCCCTGTTCCAAGTGAGACTAGAACAGATGGCCTGGCTGCCTCCTCACTTCTCCCAAGAGCATTCAGGACCACGTTGTATTCAGCTATTTCCGTCAAAATATCAAGAGTTGGGTTGTTGGAGATCAAGCCACCATCAATAAATCTGCCATAAGCCCTGTTGGAAGATAAAGTGATCATAATCAAATGTAGTTATTTGCCTGAAGTAATTCTATTTTAGTTTATTAATTAATGATGCCCACTGGCATATATTTATGTAAACTGATATACCTTAACATGTGGTGATTCTGAGGAGTAACAAACAGGATCATACAGTGGCAAATATTGTGTTCACAGACCAACTATTCACAGGTACCTGTGCTTACTCCTAGCTGGGCATCATGTTCAGCCGCCCACTCCTGGTCCCCACCTTTGTATGCCAGTAATCTTGCCACTGAATTATTAACATTTATGTCCAATGCATGAGCCTATCCAACTTATTTCATCATAAATACTGTACAGAAGAAATATAGTGTTTTTAAGGTAAGAAACAATAAATAACATGACAGTCATGGAATGTGTAAGAAAAGAGTAGTGGTGATAGATTGCTAGCCTGGTGTTTCTTACCCTTTTCTGACCTCAAGTGTCTTTAGTAATAAGGTTTCACTGTCCAGCATCTCCTTAAATCTGGTTACTGGGAATACATTTGATAAACGAATAAAAAGATAAAGTAAATTTAAGTGAAGTACTACTTAACAATATATACTGTATTGCCCATTCCCAAAAATTATACATTTAAGATGCCAATATTAAGCAAAACCAATAAAAAAATCAGCATTGAATGTTATGAAACACCTTTTACTGGACGAGCTCCTGTGGCTCCCTGAAACTGTTGCCGAGATACCTTCCAACTACTAGGCCAAATCAACCGCGGAGCTTTGTTTGCCCTACCAGGGACTAGAGGCAGAACCTGGCCTCTTCAAAGAGGCAGAAAGAGTGGACAATATTCTGCCACCCCACCAAGAAAGCATGCAGAGAGTCAGCAAACAATACAGACTACTATTGGGGTTCAAGAGAGACTGAAGCCTCAAAACTGCCTAATTAATTCCCCAAACAATGTACAGTACTGTGCTGTAAATACAGTACTAGTCAAGAGTATGTGCCCCCTGCTCGAGGCGGCACATACTTATGGCAAAAAAACCAGCGTTGAATGTAATGAATCTCCATTTTCTGAGCGAGTCCCGGAAGCTCCCCAGAGCTTACAGGGTTGATATGTATGTATTAGACAGTGGCATCATTCAATTCAATTGGAGTTCTTGCCTACCAGGGACCACGCGCCAGAACATGGCCCCTCCTCAGTGAGGCATGAGGAGCAATTGCCAATAGAAACCCCCATGTGGTTGGAAGCATTCTATGTCTGCCATCGACCGGTAGACTGATCAATATTTTTACTCACCACCAGAAAGGTAGGCATTCCAAAACAAACTTCACCTGGCTAAAAATTGCTACTGAAAGCAGAACTATGAAGTAGAACTCCACAACCTGAAAACAAGCAAACAAGCATGACGTCACAACCGCCACTGCTATGCTGTCTGCTCAGCTTCCCACTTCTCGGAACGGGGAGGCCCGGAGCCCAAGACCCCTATGCTGGCTATTCAACCTCAGTTCGGAGGCTGAATATCAAAAACGCAAAAAAATGCTGACAGGAGGAAAGCAGGGTTGGCGGGGAGCCTCCAGGACACGCCCAGAAAATGGCGTTTCATTACATTCAACGTTGGTTTTCTGTGGGGAGCCCTTTCGGTTCCCTGGAGCTACCTAACCAAAGATAAATAAGAAAAGGGACTTACCCGGGAGGCGGCCGTCACTTGCCCCTCAACGTGAAGTCGAAACAACTGGCTGCAACCTGTGACCCAAGGCTATACATGCCCACGAAGGATCAGGAACATTAACAAGGTACCGTGCAGCCAGGACCCTGTTCGACCGCCAAAAGCCCCGTGCCCGAACGTCAGACCAGGACATATTACCAAAAACAGTAGCCAAAGCCGCGAACTTACGAACGTCGTGGGCACAGGGATAGACCGCAGGCTGGCGGGACCGAATAATCCTGAGGACAACCTAGGAGACCTGCACCCTGGAACAGGAAAGAAGGGAAAACCGGGTCCATCAGAAGCGTGTCCCCCTACCACAGAGGATGTGGCGCGCAACTAACGGCGAAGAGCTACAACCGGACACAAAACATGAAGCACCCCTGGCTGAACCAACCAAGCATCAACAACCTAAGGACCCCTTCAGAAAGCAGCAGACTCATTCTTCGCCAGAAAAGGAGACGGCTGCAAACGAATGAAACGACCGCCAGGACTGAAAAGAGCAGAAACCGCTGCGCCGGAGGAGAGCATGAAGCTCCCCGACTCGACCCTAGGAGGTCAGTGTCAATAAGAAAAATGCCTTAGAAAAACAGTCCTGAACCGAGGGGGCCACAAGAAACTGAGGAGGAAAGAGAAAAAGAGAGCACCCAGTCCAACGACCAGGACGGCTCAGGCGGCGCATGAGCAGGCCAGAGGTGAAACAAAGCCCTAGAAATCTTGCAGAACGGAGCAGAAATGACATCCACCCCAAATGCAAGCTGCAGCGGCTCCGCCAGTGCCACATGATACGAGGCGACACCATTTGGCAAAATATGACTGTCATGAAACAACCAAGAGAGAAAGGACAAAACAACCCGATCAGAAATGGAAGACAACCTACAAAGAGATAAAAAGTGCCAAAAGGACCGCCAGGAAATGTCATACTGCCATCGAGATGAAACTCGCAGGTGGGAAACCATCAATGAAGCCACCTGATCACTATACATGTGGTGATGAACACGCGTCAAAAAGACAGTGGGGAAAACAGATCTTCTTTAGCTGATGACCCATTTGCATGGAGCAATCCCAGAGAGATATGCCCAGAGCTTCAGGGAGCCCCTGGGATCATAAAGAAAAAGGTGTTTCATACATTCAATGCTGTTTTTTTTTTTTTTTTTTTTTTACCTATATTGACTTATTCAGTGACAGTTGTTCCCAAGGTGTGTGTGTGAAGACCATGTTAGCCAGTTTACATAAATACCTGAAGTATGATGGAGCAGCCCCTGATGCTCTGGCTGCATGCCATACCAGCTGCTGATGAGGTGGTTTGGTAGGAGTGAAAGCAGCACCTTCCTGTGCCTCGAGCAACTTCTCTCCGCTCACATAGTTACGGAAGAGATGAAGATCTGCCGGTGAACGATCGGCCAAAACGCCTGTGACTATAACCCTGAAATATTGTCATACATAAGTAAATACAATAACACAAAACTGAAAACTGCACATCAAATTAAAATTGTTCAAATACACAAGTAGACTGAGATAAAGGATATTGAGAAAGGTGGTGTCATGTTATCACAAAGTAGACTGCCCTTTAAATGGTTACTATTAAACTCATCTGTGACCACCTTATTTTCCCCTTGCCACCATCACTCACCTATGTAAGAATTAAACAATTGTAAAATATTATGGTACCACTTACATACACCTTTCTTACCTCAATACAGTATATAATTTTATGTCAAATTGAAAATCTTGATTATTTCTTTCACAAGTGACTGTATGCAGATGATGCTGTGTTCCTTGTCGAGAATGATGAGGAATTGCAGAAAGATTGTGAATGAGATGATAGTGTGTACATTAACTACAGTCAAAGGCAATTTTGAGAGCCTGAATATGAAGTTGTCATGAATCCAAATCACAGAAAAGGACACGAGCTTATAATACCCCATTAAACACATCAAAATAAAAGACGTGTTTTGCCATTTTTGTTTTGCCAAGAAAATTTGCCATTTTCAGGGCAAATAAATAACTCACTTCTAAATGCAATGCCCCAGTCACTAGAAAAAAACCAACATTCAACGTAATGAAATGACCACTTCTTCAAGAAGTGCCGGACCAACCAAGCTGCGGTGGATATGTGGGGGGGCCTGCAGGCCGCTCCAAGCAACAGCCTGTTGGATCAAGCTCTCAAGTCAAGGCTGGCCTGGGGCGAGCCCCAGTGGCTTCCTGAAGCTAACTTGCTAAGAAAACATCTCATATAGTCACATCAATCTTAGGAGTTCTGTTGTTTTATTTGGGACATAGAGCCAGATCCTGGACTCCCCTCAGAGGCACAGAGAGCACAAAGAAATCAGTGAACCAATAGATACTATTCTGTATGCTGGGTTTAAGGAGATCCAAGCCTCACAACCTGTTGAGCAAAATCCTCCAACAATGTAAACAATCAAAGATTTCTTGAAAGAAGACTGTGCTCATTCACCCCCCACCCCTCTCACTCGGTTGAAGAGGAATGGGGGCTGGAGCTCACGTTGTCCACTAGCTCAAGCCCTCAGTTTTCCCACTGATGCGACACCTTACAAACATCTGTAGTTGAGCCTCGGGTTCGTCAGTTAGCTGTGGCTGGCCTCAGTGCATTTCAGCTAAGTGCTTTTCTGGCCTTTGAACTACAGGTATATGCTTTTTTTTGTACACTATTGTAATGCATTGGCATGGCTTTTAGAATGCTTGGAGCTGCATTTGCTCAGGGTTTCCTTCCCCGAGTGCTCTCTGGCACTGCCCCTGCTTTGACAGAGTTCTCTTCTCTGGTGTAATCAGGAGTTTGCTCCCTTAACCCTTAACATGCTCGGGGTCTAATATCCTGCTATCCACACAGGCGCATGTCATTTTGAAAAAAAAAAAAATTTTTTTTTTTTGCTAATCTGTTAAGTTCTGTTCACTGATCACGGGAAAAATAAAAAAAAAAATTCTATTGTACTTACTTTTGTTGCAATAGAGCCGAGAAGCTCTGCGATGACGTCACAATCTGCATGGTCGCTCATGCAGTACACGCCCGGGAGATGTTGCGCGCGGTCCTCAAACAGCCAGAGTTGCCACAAATATATTTTCGCGCTATTTATTTACAATGTCTAAGTGCATTTTATCTAATTTTTTTTCACTAATTGTGTTTCAAATACTGTTTGAACATATTTTGTATCAATAATTGTTGCATATTTGAGTATACACAGGCGCACACAAATGTTTTCAATTACGGCAATATAATATGTCATTACAGTCTATTATATTATATGTTCTGCTTATATGTTTACATATTTACACACTCGCACACGCTATACACACTTTGAAGCACACTTAGAAGATTTCTAGACTGTGGTAGTCATTGAAGCAGTAGACAGCACATAATGGGATACCACACGTTTCACACCATGTTTGCACAAGCTTCCGTTTCTTGTCTCTACGTGTCGTTGTTTTACACACCAAGCAATCACGTTGGGCTATTGCACGCTTCACACCAGGTGGCAAATACTTAAGTTTGTGTGCTAGGAAGCCTTCAGTGTGAGCGAGGCGTGGAGTACCAGCATGCTGCAACAGTGGGTTTATGATGGGCCGCTGAATACCTGGGACATCTTTTGCAAACTTTCCTAATAACTGTATTGCAGCATCAAATACAAAGTCACGGAAAGTGGGCTTACGTCCAGTTCTCACAAGGTACATGTTGAAACAGTTCAGCATGCTCATGTCCACAAGATGGAAGAACACTTTTTTCGTCCACCTACATGTCTTCCGCACACACTCTGCAGTGCCAATCATCATGTCTGATTTATCAATCAACCGCATGTTGATATTATAGTCTAAAACACAGTCTGGCTTATATAGTGGTGCGTTTGTTTTATGGCTCACTTTCCCACTGTTCACCATTGTTCCATCATGAATTGTTGTCAACAAGTTCACCTCTCTTTTGTCTTTCCACCGAACTGACAGAATGTTATCACTTTTCCTTCTCTGACACTCACCAACTGCAATGTCGTTGTCAAACACAGGCATTTCCCTTCGTTGTGGCTTTACTGTACCAACCAATCCGGTTCTATTTTCTAGCAAGAACCGAGCTAGCAAGGGACTTGTATAGTAATTATCTGTGTATAAAATGTGTCCCTTGTTCATCCACGGAGCCATGATGGTCTTCACTACACTCCCCGAGAATCCATGTTCGTCGTTACCGGGAATGTCTACATCACTAGCCGAGTACAGAATCATGTGTAACACGTATCCTGTCTCACAATCACAAAGAACAAAAAATTTCAGGCCAAATCGGTTTCGTTTTGAGGGAATGTACTGTTTGAATGGAACACGTCCCTTGAAAAGTATGAGAGATTCATCAACCACCAGCTTCTGTGCTGGTACGTAAAAATCTCTGAATTTTCCAATAACATCATTCATGTAGTGCCTCACTCGCCACAGTCTATCATCAGGTGTTCGGTCCTGAACACTTCCAAAATGTAGACACCTGAGGAGTATCTGAAACCTGTCTCGTGACATATATTTCCCGAATAAAGGTGTTGGTATTGTCTTGTCCTTGCTCCAATAGTCATTTATTGCATGTTTGTGACAGTGCTTCATCAACAAACAGAGTGCCAAAAACACATACATTTCCGCCACTGTGGTATTTTTCCAACGCTGCAGTCGTGAAAATTCTGTGATTTCCCTCTCAATCAGGTAAGCAGCATGCAGGTTCGTTTGGTGTACAATGTATTCCATGAGTGGTTCATCATAGAATGCTGTAAAATATTCCATCTCAGCCATGTCCTCACCTTGATTAGGGAAAAGGTTTGTAATCCCTACATCTTTATCGTCAAAGTGAGGAATATTAGGAATAAAGTCGTCACCATCACTCCACTCAAGTACACCAGGCGTCCTGCGAGATGCAGAGGAAAGACGGCGAGGAAGCGATGCATACCGGCGACCAGGAGCTGAATACCGTCTGCGAGAAGCACGGCGGCTACGTGCACGTGAGGTGGGTGCACGTGAACACGAGGGTCTTGGTCCCTCATGTGGTGCCATGCGGTGGCGCTTGGCTGGGCGAGATGCTGCTGACGCGACAATTTCTCGCCCAGTTACACCACTGGTACCAGCCACAGGCTCAATAAAACTTTGATCTGAGTCACTAAACCCAGAAAAGGAGTCACCTCCCTCTGACTCGTCACCCTCAAACAGAAAATATCCACAGGAACTGTGAAGTCGTGGTAGAATTGGGGTAGAAAATGGGCGAGGAGGCATGGGAGAGCGTATAGGCCTCGCCATGGCATGGCGGTCATTCTCACTTTCACTGCTGCTGCTACTATCTCCCGACAACTGTGTATAATCCTCATCGTTGTCTGAATCGTCAAACACACTTTCTTCACCTTCAGAGAATAATTCGTGGGCTATTTGCTCTGGGGTGAGGGACTGAGTGATGCGTGCTCGTGAGGCGTTTGACCGTGCGCTCGCCATGGTGACTCTCGCTAAACTGAGGCCTCCCATGCCATCGGAGCGTGAGCTGGATTTTTTTTCAAAATGGCCGCTGTTTACTAGAGCCCCTGGGCAGCGTATGGGACCCCCAGCTACACCGCGGGCCATTCAAATCGTGCGCGGTACCCATACACTTCATATGAAGTGAAGCGCAGTTGACTGGTAAAACGATTTACACTTCATATGAAGTGATGCGCACTTTAAGGGTTAAAGGTCCTTCCTGCTTGGAGTGAGCCTTGCTTTTTGAGAGTCGGGTCTTTTTGCCCCTCTGTCTTGACCCAGGTCGAGAGTATGTATTTACTATTTGTAGCTGCAGAATCGAGCTATTAGCTCTTGGACCCTGCCTTTCTAACAATTTATTTTTCTTCTATTATGTCTACTACATATATTCTCTTACACACGCGCGCGCACACAATTTCTCAGACCCGGAACTTCAAAAACAAGAGGTCATAGATTTAAACTAATGAAACAAAGCTGCTGGAGAAATATAAGAAAATTCACTTTTGTAAACAGTGGTAGACCATTGGAACAAGTTACGTGAGAAGGTGGTGGAGGCCAAAACCGTCGGTAATTTCAGAGCGTTATATGACAAAGAGTGCTGGGAAGATGGAACACCACGAGTGTAGCTCTCATCCTGTAACTACACTTAGGTAATTACACACACACACCCCAGGAAGCAGAAAGAAACCCAACTGAACGAGTCGGCCTCGACCGTTCATTCCATGGACGGGGGAAATGAACCGGGACAGGCCGTCTGCCAGGACACTGGACACTCCCCCCCCCCCCGAACGTAAACGGTCAGAAGATCCAAACTCTGAAATCTCAGCAGACCCAAAGAAACCAGCCCTGAAAAGTGACCAAACTGCCAGATCGACGATATGGCAGTTCAAATGAAGCCAGATCATTGACCAGCAAGTGACCCAAACCCTCCGAAGCGACATCCAC